GCAGCCAGGCGTTGGCTTTACTTGCTCCGGTATTTCTTCCTCTCTTCCCTCCACAGCTCCTACCATCCCTTGCCATTCCTTCCTCTGGGGGCAGACTCTGGCAAAGTGACCTGGCTGTTGGCAGAGATAGCATTTCCGGGCGCGTTTTCCCTCCTTCTTTCCCCCTCACTGGGCTTTGAAACTGCGCGCGCGCTGCTGTTCCGATTTCCATCGGCTCTGCCGGCGGGAAAGTTGGCTCTGGAATGTCTGGAATGCGGAACTCCTTCCAACGTTCCCCCTTCCCTTCCCGCCTCTCCAATGCTCTCGCCTCCTGGCGCGCTCCTATGGTCAGCGCTGATTTGGTCAGCTGGTCCATAGACTCCGCCCTGGGCGCCCGGGAAAGTTCGTCTTTCACAGCCGAAGAAAGCCCTTCTTCAAAGAGCATTTGAATGGGTTCCGCCGATAAGTCCCACCCCAATCTGTGAACCAGCATGGTGAACTCAGTCCAGTACTCACGGACAGATCGGCTCCCCTGTTTGCAAGCCATTAACTGTCTGCGCACCACTCCCTGTTCAATATCGCTGGAAAACATCAGATCCATGGCGCGAAAGAACTTCATCGTGTCCTTTAGGACGTCACTATTCGCTGCCATCAGGGTCTAACCCAGTCTCTCGCCCCCTTTTCAAGATGCCCAATCACGAAAGCCACTCGTGATTCCTCGTCAGGGAATTCATCAAACTGCAGATTGAGGGCATATTGCATCTCTGTCCGAAAGCCATGATAGTCTTTGGGCTCCCCCCCAAACTTCTGCACCAATCCTGGTACCTTTCTGGCGAGCTGGGTGGCTTTCCCCTTCTTGTCTGCATCCTGAGCCCTCCTCTCCTCAAGCCTCGCCGTCTGCAGCGCTAGCTGGACCTCCAACACCCGGTACCTTTCTTCCAGGCTTGGACCCGCTCCAGCTCCTGCTTCTCCGGTTCCGGCTGGGTTGCTCATGATGCCTTCTCCTGCACAAGCTGCTTTCAAAGACTGTCGGAATGCTGTGATGGGATGATGAGCTGCTTGTGCGTAAAATAGTATCCCCTCAGAGTTTGTTCAAGTCCACAAACCTCTGTCTGTGACGGAGCCCCTCAGACATGGCTCCTCTAGTCACTAGCAGATTCCGACAGTGGTTGCTGTCGGAATCGCTTCCAACATAAAAGCTCCTTAACGGAAACACGTCTTCTGGACTCTCTGCGTGACAGTTTCCGGCGAGGAGTGGGTGTTCCTACAGGAGGTCCTGAAACCTCCCCACTGTTTTCGCTGGAAGTGTCTCTGAGCCATCCCTCCAGCTCACTTTCCCTCAGCTCAGCTCCTCTCCCCCTACTGGTTCCCTCTTCAGCTGCTGAGTCTCTCCCAACCTGTGTGAGCCCTTTCACCTCCCTTCCTTCCGATGGCAGTTCCCTGACACAACAGAATGCACGAAAGAAGTTCTTGCAGCAGCAGTTGCTGCTGCTGCTGCAAAACCAACAGGCCAGGCTAGCAAGAAGTTGGCGTCAAGAATCAGATGCCGGGATGGAGATAACAGGCAGTTGTGGTTACAGCCGCTCTAGTAATGTTGGCGTGCTATCGTGTTAAGTGAGAAGCAGTTCAAGCACATGTTACAGGGAGAGCTACAATTTCAATACACGGAAAGGCAGGCTGAGCTGTGTGTGCCTCATGACCCAGCAAGGGGAGGTGGATGCTCCCAATGCTAAAGTGGTCAGGTTTTTAATAGAATTGTAGAGTTGGAAGGGACCAATCCCCTGCTTTGCTGCAGGAAAGCAAATTAAGACAAGACAGTGAAATTTTAAAAACACATCCCACCAAATGTATATGTCATGAAAGACAAAGTTTTAGGGTGTTTCCAACACCACATTCAGCAACTGGACCCCATTAATTGGATTCTGAAGAAAGGAAGCTTCAAACAGCATGAACTCACAGGCTGCTCAGCCACTTGCAAAAAAGGAAGGGGGGAAGGGGCCAAAAATCCATTGTAAGCTACTTGCAGCAATGTGAAGATACGCCATGCATCTAAAGCTAAACCACAGGGCAAGCTGGTACAAGCCAATGGCTCACTTCAGAGAGCAGAACTGTTATGTAGCCGTATTATGAAAAGATGCTAAAAGTTTATGGATGTTAACAAGACATAAAGGCAGTGTTGCTATGCCACAAGCAAGACACAGCATAAACTGCTCTACATTTTGCAGCAATTGAAAGTCAGGAGGGACCTTTGATCTCTAACAGTGTTGGAGGTCTGTGTGCGTTAAGAAAATTTTACTACATAAGGAATTCAAAGTGCTGCTTTTGACTGATAGAGTCTTAAATGGTTCAGGACTACAATACTTCAAGGATCGCACCTCCCTATATGAACCAATGTGGACTTTGTGAACACCATCTGAGGCCGCTTTTCACGTGCCTCCCCCATGATAAGTGCAGAAGGTGGCAATACAGGAACAGGTCTTTTCTGTGGTGGCTTCCCATTTGTGGAATGCTCTCCCCAGGGAGGCTCACCTGGCACCTTCATGACATATCTTTAGGTGCCAGGTGAAAAATTATCTCTTCAACCAGACATTTGGCTGATTAACATTCTATGGCCTTTTAAATGTGTCTATGCGAACAGGGCTATGCGAAATGTGTCTATGCGAACAGGTTTGTTTTGCTTTTGTTTCATTATGCATGTTGTGTTTCAGTTTTGTATTTTTATGCTATGAGCGGCCCAGTGATCTTTGGATGAAGGGTGGCATACAAATTCAATATATTGTAAGCTTTTTATTTGCAACTGGTACGACAGCCTATGGCAGAAAATGGATCTCCGCCTGAGATAACTTTAACCTAGGAGCAGATGAGTGGGAGAAGAGGGTTCTCTACAGTCACAAAAGGGTGATGCACATGCGAGTCAGTGGAAAAACATGCCCTTGCTTGTACTCAGATAAGGCTAAATAATGTGCCCAGGCTAAAGTGTGCCCTGGCCATCAGCTGAAGTTCCATGCCACTTTGTGCCATAGCTCTATATTTAGATAGGAAGTTATTTTAACGATGCAACATTTCTCGAATGCCTAGAAATAAAAGGCAATGAAGAGAAGTCTTTCTGCAGTAGACCAAAGTTTAGCACAGGGGAAATCATCAGCCTTAATGTAGGCTGGTTTGAAAACTTAGCTACATGTGTCAAGAGAGGGTCCTGTTCTGTTCTGTGATTATGTCACAGATTGGGGAATGTGGTTTCCATTAATCTGTTGCATGTCTGAAAATCCTCTCCACAAGACCACTGTAGAAAGGGCTCATCATTACTTTCTGTTCAGTCCCAGCAAATATATCTTTACCCGCTAGACTACACAGACCAGACCAGGATCAATCTAATCTGGAAGCAAAGAAAGACAACTGGAGAAACAGCATGCTCATACTTAAGCCCCCAAACCAGTTTCATGCCAGCCAGGGATTTGTTTACTTTTTCTAAGTTCCAGCCAAGCAGAGGAAATAGCTGATGTTATTTCCATCAGGGTGGAAGAAAAATAAATCATTGGTTGCCTACGGGGTCTTGACCTAGTGATGGCTGTACCAATCTTTCACTAAGATGCCATTCCCTATCCACACAAGACAGCATGCAAAATTAAGTATTGGAACAAGTGAATTTGCTTTCTTAATCTAGTTTGTTCCAATAAAAGATTTGGGGATTTGTAGATATAAAGGGAGCATGTATGCACTTGGCTGTTTGAAAATGCTATTTAAAAATAGGTGGGCTTCTGCAACTTGGCAGTAAGACCCCATATTTTTTTCCTGACTCACTTCCCTCCCCAAAGAGCTACAGGATTCACAGGTCATTATCTTCGTTCTCCAAATTATAAAAAGCTTGTTCGTGTTCCAATATCAGACCACTGTAAATTGTTTTACAACATCAACATGTTTGGGTTTTAATTTGCTGGAAGCCACCCAGAGTGGTTTGGGGAACCCAGTCAAATAGGCAGCATATAAATTTACTGATTCTTTCTTCCAAGTTTGTCTACAACCCCAATTCTATTGGTGCTCACTCACTCAGTTTCCAGCCACCACTCCTCAGTGCGGTGCAAATTTTTATCCAAGCAGTGGTGGGAGGATAGGGAAGATTTAACCCTCATACCTCTTTCCGCCTGCTGTCATTGCCTTAAAAAATTAAGATAAAAATCCAGAGGGAGATTCAGTCACAGATCTCTTGTGCAACATGCAGGTGTGTGTTGTCCCAAAAACACTAGGAAAAAAGAAACTTGAAACCAGAAAATTCTCTGTATTGCATAAGCTTTTCACCTAACCACCTTAAGATGGAACATTCATGACCGACATTCAGCACTCACAGTGGATACCGACCCAGAACTGGCCGAAAGAACAATCCTGAAAAAAAGAAAAAAGGTATTACTTTCTCTACAAGTAGAGCATAAATATCCTAGGCAACTGAGAAAGATGAGGGGGGAAATGGATAAGGGATAGTGAACTGGCCTCAAGTTTAAGAATAGCCTAGAAATAAACGGGCCAGGCTGGTGAAGAGGAATGTTTACGATAGCTGCCTATGATGGAATTTGGTCGGGAGATGAACGAGAGTCATTTTGCATTGCTATTAAAAGACATCCTTGACCTATGCAAGATTCACATTGGAATTCTTCCTTTTAGTAGAAACTTGCCCTAAAGGCATGAACACTTAATCCAGGATGCTCTGCTGTTCTCAGCTATCCTAGTACTAGTTGCAGAGAGCAAGCTCAGCACTCTCCTCTGACTCCCTCCCTCCCCTCGAATACTTCCTTTTTTTTTTTTTGGTGCTGCAGAATCGAGGAATGCCACAGAAGAGTCCCTTGGCATCTCCACAATGGCAACCTATATGGGAGAGGGGAAGGAAAGAAAATAGCCAGAATCTGGTCCTCAGTGATCAACCAGATGCCCAAGGAAAGCCTGAAAAAGCAGGACCTAAGCACAATAGCACTCTCCCCATCTGTGATAGCCAGAAATGGGTATATAGAGGCCTGCTGCCCCCAATACTGGAGGGGCTAGCTCAGTTGGTAGAGCACGAGACTTCAAATCTCAGGGTTGTGGGTTCAAGCCATAAACATATTTCCAAGGGGTTGGACTAGATTACCCTTGAGGTCCCTTCCAACTCTACAATTCTAGTACACGGCAGTGAGCCATTGATAGTCTTATCCTTCATTAATTTGCCTAGCTTCCTTTTACATATTTGGGGGGGGGTGAGAAGCAGCCACGATTTAACGGAACAAGCTGCAAGTAAATCCTTTTCATTGGTTTCATTTGTGCAGTTGCAGCAGCTACAGAAGGAAGCTTGGCAATATCTCTTTCCCGACCTCCTTGCCTCTGTAAGCAGTAAAGCTATTAAACAAAATTACGGGGAGATTTCTGACCTCTAGATGCTCTGGTTTCCTTTTTAAGACAATTGCTTGAGCTATCTAGTTTACTCTGAGGCACTTATGTTTGGAGCCAAGGCAGCAAACAAGTTGGGATTTAATTTTTATTTTTAACAACCCTGTACATGACCTGGTAGAATGGAGCAGTTTCTTCTTCTCTCCTGCATGCCCACAACCTAGAATTCTATTTTATAAAATCTGATAGATTTATCTGTCCAGTATTTGAAAAATTTTAAAACATATTTTCCCACTTGCTTATTGCTGTTTGATTTTTTTAGGTTGGATCTTCTCCCCGCCTTTTTTCTTTTGCTAAGGAGAGCAATTCTGCTTAACAATGGACTGTTATCAGCACTTCTTAGCTTTGTACCAGTTAGACTATCACTCAGTGGTGAGGCTGTAACCACAGGAATGTGACAAGAAGCAAACTTGTCGCTCAAGAATGGAGATACAAGCATTGCACATTGCTAAATACTAGCAGTACACAAAGGCCCCATATCTGTCTTACTTGTGTTACTTCTAAATCTACAGGTTACAGAGAAGGCAAAATAAGGACTGGTCTTAGGCAGAATAACTTTTCCGAATGCTATAAAAAGAAAACATTTCATATATCAATTTCTGTTAGTCAAACGATTTGCTTGTTTCAAAATTAGCAGCATACAATGTAATGGTTCAGATGCCAAGACAGAAAAGGTAGTTTGTTTGGCAATAGAGAGGCTGTTGGCTTTTGAATGTTACATTACTCCCTTTCTATGTTTCAGGCTAGATCTGCAGAACTGGATTCCTGCCCAGCAACCTGGCCTACAGAAGCAAAAGAGGACAGATGTACTCAGTTACTAACCTTCCCAGGCGCAACCTATCACAGACATCAAGATAAAGGTGTGCTATTTCCACACCTTGAGCTGCTCACTTCAGTACATTTGTTAGCTGAATCTTATCTGTTGGCACAGTCTGTCATTAGAGTCAATACAGAAGTGTTTGGGTTTGAAGACTCCTCTCCCTATTACCAGTAGATAGATAGATAGATGATAGATAGATAGATGATAGATAGATATGGTATGTATTTACATATTCCCCAAGCAGGATCCCAGGTCCTAAAAGGAATCCACAAAAGGATTGCCAGTACAGTCATACCATGGGTTGAAGTAGCTTCGGGATGAATATTTTCAGGTTGCGCTCCGTGCCGACCCGGAAGTAATGGAGCGGGTTACTTCCGAGTTTCGCTGCTCGTGCATACGCAGAAGTAGCAAATCGCGACCCGCAGGCACGAGTTGCATTCGCTTCAGGATGCGAACGGGGCTCCGGAATAGATCCCATTCGCATCCAGAGGTACCACTGTACTGAAGAACAATATTCAAAGGCTCTTGTTAACCTAAAGTGCCCACCCAGCTGTTCCAGGAATGCCTCCTTCCAGTCAGGAAGCCTGCCTAGAACAGAAAGTTGTGTTCATAGGGTGCAGATTCCACTGAAAGTTTAAGAATGTGTCTTTAAAAGGGGTGTGGCGAGAGTTATTAGGAGCTTGTGAAACTGATCCAATATGTAATTAAGTCAAGTCAGGGGGGTGGGGAGGGGTGGTGCTCAAAGCTTGGAGTTTTTCAGTCCCCAGTTAGGCAACATTATTGACCAGCTACCTCTTGCAAGTTTAAAACTGCACTGTGAAATTAAATGCATTTATTAACAAGCAGGTAGCCACAATGAAAGATTTCTATGCAGTTATATCCAAGACTCTCCCAGTGCCTTAAGTTGTGGTACGATGAGTGAATCGTGCCATCAAGTGATCCAAGCAGGATCCAAGCACAAGAGCACTCGCCTCTCCCTGTGGGTTCCAGCAAGTGGTATTCACAAGCATGACTGCCTTCACCTGTGGCAGAAGGGGTGTTCCATGTCACTGAAGGTACCTGGGCTTCTAGTGACAAAGATGGAGACAGGAGCATCGCCAAGCTACATATCTGATGCCTCTGGGGAGTACACCCCCATTCAGAAAAGCTGACTGCCCTATCTTCAGCACCACTCATCTAGATGTCCTCTATATTGGCAGGATTCACCTGTTCTATATACCCTGAAGAACACAGGCTCTGAGATAGAACTTTGTATGTACAATGTGCTTTACAATAATCTTTGCTGATCCTTATATAAGTTTTGCAGTCCAGACCATTCTTAGCCCAGTTATTACTAAAGCGGGTATTGGCTTGTTCAGGAAGACTGGCAAAATGAATCAACTGCTAAGCTTCACTCCAAATCATTGCTTAGCTCAGTGTTCCCCACTGGTCTATATTTGCTCTCACAAAGCTGGCCTGGTGCTTAGGTGTTGAATGGCTATATAATTACCTGCAGGATCAGAGGCCTCTTAATAGCATGCATTGGAGAACAACAGGAAGTAGCTTGTGTTCTGCTGGAGGGCTTCCCATAGGCTGTTGTGGGAAAGAGGATGCCTATGGAGTGACGCAGCAGGATTCTTTATGTTCCCAAAGAGCTTCACTACAAAGTAGACATCCACCTCCACCCTTGCTAAATTAAAATACAGTTTCATGAATGAAGAGTGGAAGCCATTCTAAATGCCAAAAGAAACAGTAGCAACACAAATTAGCTGGGGGTGCCAGCGTGTTCCTTACACTAAAATAGAGAATTCATTTTATCTTTTCATTTTATTACAGGCATTTTTACCCCACTCTCCAATCATGTTCCCAGGATGGCTATAGCTGCAATGGTTTGTAGCCACTGGTGCATGTATGTGAGTGCAACAGACATACACTCATGCACCAGGACTTCCACTTCATAATGCTATCCCCTCCTTCAGCTCAGTGCATGTTCCCACTAAGAATCTGTTGCAGAGTGTTGGAAGATACTCTGGAGCAAATTTGGGGGTATGTGCACGGCTGTGGGAGAAAAGGAGGAGGAGGAGGAGGGGAAATCATTGCATGAAAGTCCAGTAAACGTAATAACTGAGAACAAATACATCTATACTGCTGTAGTCATGACTCCTTCTACTAAAAAACACTGATCACACCTGAAATTTTTCATTGTTAGTTTATTGCAATGTGAACCAGTTATTACGAATTCTTGACACATGGAACTTCTGAACATATAACTTGGTTTTATGTCGCAGCTCAATACAGTACAATAAAATCTGTTTATACAAAATACTCTATTGGCTTTATAAACAAACATATTCTAAAGTATGAAAATACCCTGACCTGTTCCTTTTTGTACAATTTTAGAGCAGAATGCAATTACAAAAAAAAAAAAATTAAAAATCCAAAACCTAAGCAAACAAGACAACAGAAAAGGATTTCACAGTGCATTGTGTAATACTGGCAAGAGAGTTCCAGAAACTTTTTTTAAAAAACAAAAAAACCAACAAGGTTACTTGTCAGAATCTACATATTTGGGGTGAGCAAATGAAAAACACAAAATCAATTTGTTCAGCTTTATTTGCATAAACCAAAAGTGTGGGCCAGTTATTAGAACTACTATTTGCGTAACATTCTAAGAAAGCAGACTTGAGTTTCCACAAAATGGTAAGAATTCTCTCTTCAGTATGAGCTTTGACAAGGCAAGAGTTTCACAGAGAAGTAATTTACCTTCGATTAAAAAAAAAAAGTAGGATACACAGTGAAGGAGAATCAAAGGTTTAAAACTTGTTAATCTATTTCCTACCCTTTAATGAAAAATGCTGGCATTAGTAAGTGGAGGGAAACTAATAGAAATGGGGTGCCTATTCTATGCCACCCCCCAGATGTTATTGGACAACAACTCCCATTATCCCATTCACCATGCTGGGATATACCAAAGGGAGCTGGAGTCCATCAACATCTGGGGAGCCACTGATTAGCCACCCCTGCAAGAGCATCGTGTTATATTTAGCCTCTAAGGATGTGTTTGCATGGACTTTTTGTGGGGACTGACAAATTATTGCTAAGTGTTACTAATCATAATTCATTTCACCACTCATATTAGCAAACTTTCAGGTGCTGAAAGTTTGTAGTTGCATATTTTCCTACAATCTGCCTACCTGTCAAAGGACAAACTCATGACATCACATATTACACATTACAGGGATAGTTGCTGTTATTAACTCTTCACAAAACAAGCCACACAAATGTGTGCTATTCATCCAAAAGGATCTGAAGGGTCCTCCTTGTTACAACTTGAGGCCAATCACAAGATAAAAGCTCTAAGTACAAAGTCTGCAGCTGTAAGTGGAAATGTGGGAAGGGAAACTGATGTGCCACACAGCAAACCTGCTTTTAGGTCGCACAAAGCAGTCCCTGCAGAGGAAACTCCTGTGCTTATGGCTTATTACGAAACTGCTAAATCAAAGGCACAGGAAGTTCCTGTGCAGATGATCATCAAAATACACTACCCTAGAAGGGAAAAACCCAACAGAATTTCAATTTATCTGGCCAAAAATTTGAGAACACTAAGAACACCCATTAATACTTAAACACCAGCTGTTTGGAATGGAACACTATTTTGCAGGAAAACAAGAAGCAACCACTGCACAAATTCACAGAATCACAGAATTGTAGAGCTGGAATTTGGTTCATATTAAGCGGGGTTCAGATTCCCAGAACACGCTTAAAAATCTATTTCTTTTCCATATCCTAAAAAGACAAATGCAGTACCACAATATTATGAACTTTATACATTGAGGCTAGAACAAGACATTAGAATATTTGCATCTCCCACCAAAAACAAAGAGCATCTTCTCTTCCTCCCTAATAGTACAAAACATACAACAAGGTCATTATGCTAAGGGCTTCCTGGCCATTGCAAGCAGCATCCAATGAAACTGAGTAGTGTGGGACTAACAAGGAGCCCAATGGCACATACAATGCATTTTGTATTACTAGACATTACCAGAGGAGACATTGCTGTTTTCAGTGTTCCCCACATATCTTTCTGGCCTAAACATCAAGCAAGGTGCTAATGTTCGCTTCGGCAGTCACACACTGAAACACACACTGTTCACACACACAAGCATCAGGTACATTCCAAGAAAATTGTGCTTCTGTTACTTATACTCCTCTACAGGTTTTCACAAGACTGGGTGACTCACAACAGTATGTCTTAGACTGAAATTCTATATATACACTAATCTGTGAGTCCCATTGAACTATGTGGGCTCAGTTATTGGAACTTAACTTTACAACCCACAGAGATCATTTGCCTCTATCTTCTAACTAGATGACTCACAAGATATATGTCAATATACTTGTGCACTTTGGAATGTGGCTATGAAAAATTGTTGAAAGTAGCATGAAAAACTACCAGCATTTGATGGGTGAATGAGATGATGCAAGTTTATGTGAAAAAGTAAATGTCTTACAGGATTATTTATTAACTTTTAGTAGGATTTATGACTAGCAAGAGGCTCTGCTATCCTCCCAAGTGTGGTTTTCACTCTCACTAATAAAAATGAATAAATATATACAAAGGATTCTCCCATCTTTTACCAAATAAAGCATCTTGCAGCTGAACAGCTACATCTCATTTCGAATTCTTAGCCCATTTGGAGTAAGTTGCCACATCAGAAAGCACAAGGAACTGAGAAAAAGTAATGTCTCTGTTCAGCTTTTCCACCAATCTATCCTTATCACAGGTTAGAAAGAAGTATCTGCTCAACAGTTTAGCTAGTGCTGAGACACTGTTCTCTGAGCATTAATCTGCACAAAATGGGGTACCAGATTTCATCGCCACCCAGTCAGATCACTACTTATAAGAGGAACATGAGAATGAAAATGCATCCCTTTGGAAGTGGTGGGGTTAGTAAGCAAGCAGCTGTGCTTAGGGTAACACCCTTAGTCTTTCCTATTCCAAAGGTAGCTCAGACACTGAATGAATCAAACGGGTATAGAAAAACTGTATAAATGAGGGTTCTCTTGATGCACAAGGCATGCGCAAAGTAACCAACTCTACTTGCACAGATACCCGTTTCATTTTGAAATGTTTTCTCAAGGCAGACATTCTAGGCTGATGACAACCAGTAAGTAAAGTAATAGTGACTAAAAGGTAGGCTTGACTCCATAATAAGTCAAGTGAAAGACAGTGGAAATGTCTCTTTGCATATTTTATTCAAATGGCGAGAACTCACATTTAACCAAGAAGGGACTTTAACAAAACAAAACAAAAACCCACAACAATGAGAAAAGTTTTCAAAAACTGTTAGAAACACAATCAAGCTGGCATGTACCTGGAATCTAGAAACAGCAGGACTGCAATAATATTGATTAAAACTCCACCAACCTTTTCATCACCTATGCTCCAAAGTTATTTGTACTTCTACCAAGTCTGGCCGTAACAGAATTTAGAAGCATGTGAAGTAGTGTTTATTTAACACCCAACCTTGAAACCTACTGCATAAAAAGTAGTCAAGATATCCTTTACAGATATAGCCTAAGCAGACTACAAAATTCTAAGTAGAACAGTTTGTAGAACTAAGGTAAGGCTTTTCCAGCAGAACAGCCTAAATGTGGAAGCTCTAAGGCACATATTAGTACATTCACATTACTGTTAAAAAAGCCAGAGTATAAAAATTTCCCTCCCTCCCCACCCAATACCCAATAAAAAGATGGCACTGCCCATTGAGCTCTGCTACTGTCAAATGCTGATAAAAAGACAATTTGCAGCTTTTTAAAAAAATCACCTGATTTATAAACATCTCCCCACTGTTCACTACCAACAGTGCTCCCCGCACCCAAGCACAACATATCATATTGATAATCTTTCATCATGCCCTCCTGGATTTAAGATACCAGTCTCTCTCACATGTGGCTATCCTCCTCTTTCACACTATCTTCTGTGCTTTTCTGAGGCAGACTGGCCACATCATTACTGGGTTCTTTTTGTTTTTCAGCCTCATCAATGTTGGTTTCTTCTTCTTTCGCTTCAGCCCTCTGCTTGTCCTCAGCCTTCTGCTCTTTTGCCAGCATCCGGTAATTGATGCCCATTCCAATAAACAGGAAGATCCCAGAGACAATCAAGATGATGCCACACGCCCAGTAGGTGTATTTGTAGTCACCATACATATCATTGAGTTTACCTAATAGGACAAGAAGGGGGGGGGAGTACATTAAAAGACCATTAGCGTTTTACTTCATGGCTAGATGAGAAAGTCTCTGCCTTAATACCAAGGAGTGTGGGACCGTCCTCCTCTCCCTTTTTAGGTTATTTCCTACACAGGTAAAAAAAACCCATGTTTTAAGCTGGATCAGCTCCACCATAAATATGTAATACAGGGATATGGGAACTGTACCACAGGCTGATGAGATCACTGTTCTGGCATTTGCAAAGTGTCAGAAGCAACATAATTCTGACTCTGGAGGAGAAGGAAATCTTTTTCAGAATGAAGGCCCTATTCCCATCTGGACCACCTTCTGCGTACAACTTGCCTTTGGTAGGTGAGACCAGATACAAAAGTGAGCAAGGCAACAAATGCAAATGTTACCTTCGTAGCATAGGCTAGTTTCACCACACACCCCTCTATTGAGGAAACCATGAGGACACATTCCAGCCAGGCAAAAACACTCAAGGAGGTACTGCCTGGGGAGAGTTCAGCAGGCCAGATAGAGAGGTTTGGAGGGCAGCAACTGGCCCCCAGAACTAACTGACTAACCTTCTTGCCCCCTTCTCTCTCACCAAAAGACAAATGCATCCCCATACACAACCCTCTGCAAGAGAAATACAGAAAATACTCTTACCTAGGAGAGGGGGTCCCAAAAGAACAGGGCAGCATTCCACAATAGTCACCAAACCAACAGCACTGGAGAACCGTTGCGCTCCAACTAGATCCATCAGTGTTTCAAACAAGACAGAGCTGAGCCAGCCAAAGGCAAATCCGAAAAACCCAGCATAGATGCAAAAGCCGGCATAGGTGGTGGATATAGGGGCCAAAAGGTGGCACACTCCATTATAAACGACAGACACAGCAAAGAAGTACTGGATCCTGGGCCTCACCCACTTGGTGTTTGCTACCAAGCCCATGGATGGCCTGGCAACCATATCTACAAAGGCTAGAATGGAGAGCAAAAAGGCAGCAGATTCTTTAGAGAAATGCATACTCTTCCCATAATTACTGAGAAAGACTAATGGAGTAAAGAGTCCAAAAAACATGACCACGTTGCCAAACAGGTAGAGCAAGAAGCCACGATGCGTGAAGAGAGACAAATCCAAAAACTTGTTAACAGTCCCCAAAACTGTGCTTTTCTGCTTTTTAGACTTCCCAGCAATAAGGTCTGCACTGACATCTCCTGCACCATCTTCTTTTGCCCCTGCTTTGCCAGCCTCCTGCAACACTTCCTTAACTTCTTTCTTTGGCGGCTCCGGCTTGGGACCTATTGGTCTCATCAGAGACCCAGCAACACAACAGTTCAGCAAGAGGCCCCCGAGGATTAAGAAGCTTCCTCTCCATCCAAAAATGCTATAGAAATACTGGTTCAGGGGAGCCAGTGTAGACAAGAACACAGGACTGCCTGCCATAGCCAGTCCATTAGCCAACGGGCGCTTCTTGTAGAAGTACTTGCCAATCATGGTCAGGGCTGGGTTTAAATTAAATGCAAGTCCAAGGCCTAGGAACAGAAAAAAAGTTGAATTAAGGGTATGAGAATGGCTGCTCTGCAAATCCACTGCTTTAGAGAACATATTTACTGAAGCAGGCTGAGTGAGAGAAACTAGGTCTATGTACTCTTATTTGCTGTTTTGAGCTACTAGGAAGGTGGGGGTGTGATTTTCTGACTCAGCTTCTACACTGTTGACGTATGTATGAAACAGAGATTCAAAGAATTTATGGAATAGGCAATTGAGGTTATTAAACAAAAACAAAAAACAAGCACACGCTGAAAGAGCCAAGAAGCTAAATAGTGTAGGGATAGACTGTGAGTTAGGGGTTCTTACCTGACAAGTGCCCCATTTGTTTCCCGGGAGGGGCACCTGCAAGGTAAGAAGCAGTGCTGCTGTGCTTTGCAGTCAAACTCCAAGGTTGGAAGAGGTGGTTGTTATATGCTGCATCTTCCATGCAGAGCTTCAAAATGAGACGTCAACACAGAAGTCTCTGTGGTGACACTTGGTTTCCCGAAGAGGGGTAATTGCTAGGTTGAGGGCAATGCACCCTCCTTCCCTTTCGGCCCAGTGCCTCTCTTCAAAGCACAGTGGACTCTGGCCACCCTCTTGCTTCCTGCCGAGAGAGGTGCATACAAAGAAGAAGCCATGCAACTCTCTCCTGGACCGCTCTGTATCTTTCAGCAAGCTTACTTAATTTTGAGCTATTTATATCACACCTTTCAGGGCACTTAAGGCAGACAACAATTAAAAACCATAAATTTAAACAGTCTTAAATATTACATTATAAAAAGAGCAGAACATTAAAAATGAAAGTATTAGAACCACAGAAAACCCAAAGGAGGATTGAAAAACGCAACAGCCAAAAAGCCCGAGCAAATAAAAAGGTCTTCACTTGAAACAAAAGGGAAAACAAAAAATGACATAGGTTTAGCCTTTCTAAAAGCCTGGGCAATTACTTGTTATAATCCTTTCAGTTCTGTTTCATAGGCTACACTAGTTTCTTTGCATCCTTCTCAGGATCCAGTATCATGACTTCAAAGGAAGAGAAGAGTTCCATGGATTGGGCGAGGAAGAAGTAGATGTTTTGCAGCCGTGCCACTCACCTCCTACAACCCCAACACAAAAGTAAAGCTCTTCCACTGTGTTACAGAAAGAGGCAGCAATCAAGCCACACCCTGAAAGGCAGCCGCCTGCCATCATGACTGGCCGGCTGCCATACTTGTTCACCAGGATACTGCTGATGGGACCTAGGAGAAAATCGAAAGGACAATAGTTATCTAGATGTGAAAAAGGGTTTTACATTTCTGTTCATTTCCTACACTTTGGAACAGGTGCCTGCCAAGCAAAGCATGAACTTTTGAAGGCTGTGGATATTATACATGAATCACCATGTTAAAGATTAGCTTGCTTGTCCCAGGCTGATCCATATTTGGATCGAAGAACTGCAACTGGAGCTCTGCTTGTGGAAAAGCACATTCCCACTCCAACAGCAAGAGAAGCTGTTCCTACAAGTTGGGTGACTTTTGTAAATGCCCCCCCTCGTGTGTGTGTGTGTGTGTGTGTGTGTGTACGCGCGTAGAAATTCCAACTTCCTCCTTCCACTCTATGTACCTTTCAAGGAAGAAAAAGGTAATCATTATCACATCTCATGACCAATGGGGCAGTGAAGGAGGTGGTTAGATGATCCAAGGGCGTCAGGAGTAGACCACTGCACCCACAGGAGTCATGCTGATGACCCATGGGTTAGGGGTGTGTACAGTGGTACCTCTGGTTATGAACTTAATTCATTCCAGAGGTCCATTCTTAACCTGAAACAGTTCTTAACCTGAGGTACCACTTTAGCTAATGGGGCCTCCCACTGCTGCCGCGCCGCAAGCATGCGAATTCTGTTCTCATCCTGAGGTAAAGTTCTTAACCCAAGGTACTACTTCCAGGTTAGTGGAGTCTGTAACCCGAAGTGTTTGTAACCTGAGGTGTCTGTAACCTGAAATACCACTGTATTATGGGCATGTCCACACAGCTGAACACTCTACTTTAGAACTGGCTGAATTAGCATTTCATAAACAACTTACAAAATGAAGAATGGGTAGCAGAGTTGGCATACATAAGAACAATTTGCTACAGGCTAATACAGGTGACAGCAGGATTTTTCCTATGACAACCACACACTGAAATGGTTGTGAGGGTAGGCAGTCTGTAGTAAACTCACTTTTTTACCAAATATGTAAATGTATGATTCAGCTCCAAAGCAACTCCTTGAGTGGTAAAAAGTAGTTTGACGATTGGCATAACAGATGAATTGAACAGTTTCAACCAGATATAAAACAGTGATAACAAAAGAGAGGGTATTTTAGTATAACTTGTGTATCAAATTCCAGGCTAGTCAGTAGCTGAAATCACAGCTGAAATCCTCTCTAGTCAATATCTTTTATGTATATACTATATTCTTTTAATTACCAACCAAAAGGTATGAGTCTGATAAAGCTACACGGCAGTATTTAAAGTACTTTCCTAAATCCAAAGCAAACAGTGACTAAGGACCAATAATAAAGCCCATTTAAATAAACCCAAATGTGCACGCCCTGGAGATTAACTGATCTGGTTTCTCCATTAACAGATAACAAGGTACTCAGCCCCATGGTGACCCTGGATAACTAAACAGAAGTTTGCTGGCCTTGATAACAGCATCCTAGTTTTTAGAAAAAACAACAACCAAGGCATTCAGAAATCCCAACAAGTTCCAGCTGGGTCACATCTTGTCCCACTTGGTACTGTTCCAATTGTTTTTAGAGAAGTACACAAAGTACAGCAGTCTCCTTTCTGTATGTCAGTTATTATTTTCCTAATAAAGCTTTTTAAAAAAAATCACGGTAAAGTGATTAGTGCACTTTACAGCTGTGTAGCCTATTCATAAGAAATCTCAAGAATTAAATATGGGGCTCCCAAATTCCAGGCCTGAATACATATGAAGTTGCCCTGTCCAGCCAACCAAAATTCAAGGTCTCAGGAATAGGTCTATGCAGTGCTTTATTTTACCCAGAAGGGTGGGAGAAGCTTGAAGAGCTACAGTTTGATATTCCTGGGGAGGGTCCCAGTGGATTAGGATGAGCCCCATCTGGTCCCCTGGGGGTCTCAAGAGTCAGCTGGGAAGGAGGTTGTAGGTAGAGTTATCGATTCTGAGGAAGAACCAAGTAGATTGCCAATCCAAAGATGACTCTCACCTTCAGTGCTGAAGTCGTACCTGTTCTACTCTTCACAAGCTTGTTGGATCTTAGTTTGCTCAACCATGCATGCAATCTACTGTGCCCGTTAACCAAAATCATACTGATTTTGGCAGAAAGACAATATGGGACTCTTCATATGCACAGCATATGTTCTGCCACTGCACCATGGCACTTTGCCCATCATTTTCTTTTTACAAGGCAACTGTAAATAAATCACTGAAATTTTATCCCTTGAAATTTTGCCTGTAGCAGGGGTGGGTAGACATTGTTTCCCTCATGAAGTACGTTCTATCAAGAACAGTATATTGGGGGCCGCATGCAAAGAATGACCAAGAACGGATGGAGCTAGAAACAAAAGAATTATGGATTAACTAATCTGAAAGGAGATTGCTTCAATTTTCACTGTAGCTACCCTTGGATGAGAATGTCCAATCCTATGGAGGTCTACTCAGAACTTAAGACCTGCTGGGTTTGACAGTATCACTCAAATAATTTAGATAAGAGGATTTTTAGTACAACAAACCAAAATAACTATTGTTCTGGAAAACAAATAAAATTAATTCCTTTCACACTTAAATTTGCCCCCCCCCCACAGCAAATAAGTAAAAAAGGTAATTTAAAACAAACTCCCATTTATTTTCATCAAATAAAATAACATCCTTTCAACTTCTACTGAAACTACATAAAAGTGGGTCACTGTTAAAAGCCAGGAAAACTGAGAGGGCATGCAGGAAGGAAGGAATTCTGATCAGATGGAGGAACAGGGCAGCTTTAGGAGGTGTCAGAAGGAGCATAAAATTAGGTTGGAGCCACATGCGGCCCCCAGACCACAGTTCACCCACTTGTTTTATATAGGAATGACGCTAGGCATGCAGTGTTCTGCAGCTACTGCTTTTGTGCAGCAGTCTTTTCTTATATCACTGCAACATCCAGATGCTTCAGCAGCTGCAGAACACCTACACAAAGCACACAATAGCTTCAGAGTGTCACATGGATATTAAACACTAAAGTTCTGTGTTTGTTAAGAGGACACTACTGAATTGTACCATGTTATAAAAGGGAGAATTGGCAGAATTCAAGTCCAGTTGACTGAGTGAGCACACAGCCAAATTACATTTCACTTCATGGAGTAAAATCTCATCTATCAATGGAGCGGCTTATGTAAAGTTTTGCAGAACATGAACCTTGACATGTGGTTATATGAAACTCCTAAATGGCAGAGCTTCCACCAAGTTTTTAATCACTACCTTGAAAAAGAGCACTGTCCTTTTCTGGACAAATATGCAATTTTAATAAAAAAGATTCATTTTACTGGGAAATGGTTTAAAGGACAACAGTGCAAACAAGCATATAGACTAAGTAAGCCACATGCTTAGCAAGGCCAGCCACAAATAAGCAAAATAAAAAATAAAACATTCACGACACTTATAGCCAAGTGAGACCAGAAAATATTGCTCTTTGGAGCCTGGATATTTTGGAAGTATACCAATAGCTAATGAAATAATTATGTCCCATCTTAGAAACAAACATCTCATTTTCTCTTATTATTCCAAACAAAGGAAAAGCCAATCTTCACCCGCCCACAACTTACATGCATTTAACTTGTGTGCATTCAGCTTTATGCACAACAACAACAACAACAATAAAAATTAAAAGCAGGAGGAAAGGGGACAGGCATCCAAGGGGAAAAAAGACTTTGGCAGTCAGAGGCTAAACTAGAAGGTTGGCAAAACTGACCCCTGCTGGGGGCACAGAAATCACCTCAGAAATCTGTGTGTGCTACTTCTCTGTGCCTTAGTTCCCCTCATGTTTACACAGCCCACCTTCCCTCCCTTACAGGGAAGTGTTTGTTTAGCACCTCCTGAGGGAAGAAGCTGCAAGGGATTCCCATTTTCCACCCTCCTCCATTTGCTGTTTGGGCTCTGTTTGCCCTCCCTCAAGCCAACTCATGTGCTGGGCAGGAGCAGCCCCGAGAGAGCTTGGGGAGGCTGGCCGGGGAGCTCCAGGCTAAGCCCGGAAGACCCTGGGCGCCTCTCCCCTCTGCATCCCCAGCCCATGAAGAGAGAAGAGAAAGGGCTGGAGGAGCACAGATTAGAAATAGGGTGTTTAGAAAACGGATTATCTAAACCTTTAAAGCAAATAATCACAGACGTCTCATTAAGTCAGTTTACGTGCTTGTTGTAACACTGAAGCAGGGAAGTCTGCTGGTTGGCTCACCAACTGAATAAGGACAAAGCAGAGACTGTTCCCTTCCAAGGAAAAGTCTCATGCAACAACGTCACTTGCTTTCTGAGGCAAAATGCAAAACAGAAGTCTGGCCCACCAACACTGTAGCAGCATTGAAGCCACAAATACCCAGCTCTGCTTCCAAAGGAGGAATTTATGCCGCGTCATCCCAAAAGGGAAACATCAGGTTAGAAAATGAAGAGAATCGGAATTCAGTACACATAGACGTGTTTGTGTGTGTGTATTCAGTATGTCCTGTTCTACAAACTGTTATAGTGCTTTTTTTTACTTGAGTAATATATGATGGGGACACGGGTGGCGCTGAGGGTTAAACCACAGAGCCTAGGACTTGCCAATCAGAAGGTCGGCAGTTCGAATCACCGCAGTGGGGTGAGCTCCCATTGCTCAGTCCCTGCTCCTGCCAACCTAGCAGTTCAAAAGCACGTCAAAGTGCAAGTAGATAAATAGGTACTGCTCCGGCGGGAAGGTAAACGGCGTTTCCGTGTGCTGCTGCTCTGGTTCGCCAGAAAAGGCTTAGTAATGTAGGCCACATGACCTGGAAGCTGTATGCCGGCTCCCTCAGCCAATTAAGCGAGATGAGCACCGCAACCCCAGAGTGGCCACAACTGGACCCAATAGTCAGGGGTCCCTTTATCTTTTACCTTTATGTTAGCTTCACCAGTACTTGAAGGTATCTTGTTTTGAAATGAACTAAGTTTAAGCCCTGATCCCCAATTAAGACAACTCAGAAAGTCCAATTATGAGAAAGCAAAAGCTTCCAGACTTCTCACAGCCATGCAGAACAGGGGAAGGGGAGTCATGGGGCAGACTAGGCTTGCTCAAATAGCACTCCTTCCATTTAGTACATGGGTAGGCAAAACTAAGGCCTGGAGGCCAGATCCGGCCCAATCGCCTTCTAAATCCGGCCTGCGGACAGTCCGGGAATCAGCGTGTTTTTACATGAGTAAAATGCATCTCTGGGTTATTTGTAGGGCATAGGAATTCATTCATTATTATTTTTTCAAAATATAGTCCAGCCCCCCACAAGGTCTGAGGGACAGTGGACCGGCCCCCTGCTGAAAAAGTTTGCTGACCCCTGATTTAGCATCTCATCCAAATGCAGCCAATAGGTTGATTTTTATCAGTGGTTTTAGGGTTTTTTAAGAGATGTTTGCTTAAGTATCAGTAGCAAATGGGATATATATATATATTTGTTTTCTATTTGCCCTGAGAAAATCATCTGACTCAGCATAGCCTAGGCCCCTTTTTCCATGGCATGCATCAGTTTTGCTACAATTGCCATGGCTGAGATTCCTATTCGGCAGTAGCTTGGGAGGGGGGTGTCTCTACCTTCTCCAATTACAGGACAGTATCCAAGGTCTGGCAACATACTGCACCAAGACAGCCAAAACTCAGTCTTGTAAGTTAGTAAAGGGTACAGTTTACATAACATTCTGTTTGCACTGTCTGGAGTTTTGTTGGATACAGAGAAATGAGTTGGCATGGATGAGTGAGAGGACTACTGAAAATATGAGCGTTGAGAAAGAACACAGGGGGGCAAGATACAGAGTACTATTCACTAACCAGGACCACTTCCCTGCACAAGAAGGGGGGGGGGATTGTTTTAAAAAAGAAAACTGGACACTGCACTCCATAATTGCCCCAAGCCTTTCAGATCCTGTGTTTCAGATGCTTATGACAAAAGAATGGGATCTTTGTCCTGTAGCTTGAAAGCAGACTGGAAATAATTCAGTTCAAATAAAATTTAAATCAGATGTATCTTGTTAGCTTTTCTATACACAGACCATTCTAATGAAAGACCTCCAGCCACAGCCATTGAAATGCTGATGAACAGGTAATTCTGGTTCAAATGTCATTTTCCCAATCAAATATGATTTGTTGAATCAGGAAGGGGGGAAAAACCCAGCCAGCTAATTTCAGCACTCCCTCCTCCTGCCTTTATGTGCCCAGCATCATAGAATACACCTTGAGAGTTTTAAGCAAGAGGGTTTTTGTTTTGTTTTTGCAATCTTCATAGCAGGAAACTTGTGGTTATAAGTGCACCTTACACACCTGGAAGTGGGGGAAATGCTTGACCTCACTGGTCACTCCCAATCAACAAATCCTACTTTGTTGGAACTAGGCATATGAAGTTCAAACCAGGCCACCATTGCCTTAATGTTAGTATATAATTCATGTGCTTTCATGCAAGGTTTATACACCTTGCATGGTAGCACATAAATTATATGCTAACATTAAGGCAATGGTGGCCTGGTTCAGATTTCTCTTGCATAAAAGTATATAAAAAATTTCCACACTCTCACATTCTTCATTTCTCAGGTTTATTTGTCAAGATCCTGCTTTATCAGGTCAAAACCTCTGAAAATAGTTAACCATGGATCACACATGTTGCACAGCGCAGATGCCAGTAAGAAACATCAATGGCTTCTAACAAGAGATGAGCATGAACATTTATACTGAACTATTTGGAAAGTGTAGTCATACCTCGTGTTGTGTTCTGCTCTAGTTACGGACTTTCAGGTTACGAATGCAGCAAACCCACGCATGTGCAGAAGCGCTGTGCACATGCACAGAAAAGACGCTCTAGTTGTGGACTTTTTGAGGTGCGAATGGCACCCCAAAACGGATTAAGAGGTACCACTGTACTATTTTTTTTATCTTTTCCCCTCCTCACCAAATTAGAAGTCCCATCCTGCTGCTCTATTTCCTCTTTCTATTAACAAAGTAGATTTTGTTTCATAGTTACAATTTTCAGAGAAAATGATTTATTGAATACTACCTGTAATCCACCCTCATTATGGAAAGCAGCAAGGGAGGAAATATTTCTTATCCTTGTACCTTAACCCCCACTTTGGAGCCTTACAGGTCATTCTAACAGAAGAAAGTGAGAAAATTCACAGCACACATTTCAGTTCCACTTGCAAGAAGCCAGGGTGGAAGCAATAACTCAGCCAAAGCTTCTACCCTGGGCAGGTTTTTCTTACTACTGTATTTATTTAGAGGCATTTCAAGACTACTTAATATTTTTTTAAATCCCTGAACAGTCTAAAAAAACCTAAAAGCAACTAAAATAATATAATAAAAACAGTAGAATCATGGAGTTGGAAGAGACCCGAGGGCCATCTTGTCCAACTGCAATGAATAAATCTCAACCCACAGTCCCCCATCCAATTTTAAACCATACCAGACCCTGCTTATCTTTGCAAATGGGCAACCAGTTTAATTTTATTTACTAGGATGTATTAAAAAACAGGAAAACACAGGAATTCTGAAATAACAAGATCTGATATACATATAGTCAATGCTTTATTTGCTCCTACAATGTATCTTCCTGTGACTTGCAGTGCTGAGCATCTACTGTCTTTCCTTAACCAGGCTAACTCAGAAAAGCAGTGCACTTGCCCTGTATGATGGCCTCTGCCAGGAGAAACCCAAGGAAAATATGTCCCTATTGATTCTCCTCAACTTCTCCTTGGATTTCAATACCATTGACCATGGTATTCTTCTGGAGCATCTGTCCAAGTTGGGGGGTGGCGGCACTGCTTTGCAGTAGTTCTGGTCCTGTGTGAATGGTCATTTTCAGAGGTTTATGCTTAGGCAGTGCTCTTTGGCTCCATGCAGCTTTCAATGTGGGGTTCCTCTGGATTCCATTTTATCCCATATGCTTTTTAAAATCTATATGACACCACTGAGTCATCTGGAGCTTTGGAGTGTGTTGCCAGCAAGTAGCTGGTTGGTGTCACACAGCTCTACTTCTCCTTTACATCTGCGGGTGATGTTGTAGACCAATGTCTTGCCTCAGTAAAGGATGAGAGCCAACGAACTAAAGCTCTATCCAAATAAGAGGGAGGGACTGTTAGCGGCATGGTCCCCTAGACCAAATAGCTTGAAGGTTGCCTGTTCTTGATGGGGTTTCATTCCCTCTGAAGGCGTGAGCATGTAGCTTGAGGGTACTGATGGATCCTTTGCTATCGCTTGACGCTCAGATGGCCTGGTGGCATGGAATGCCTTTCATTAGCTTCAGCTGGTGGCCCTATCTGGACAGAGAGAGCCTAACTCCAGTTGTCTATGCTCTGGTAACCTGTAGGTTAGATTACTGCAATGTGCTATATGTGCGCTGCCTCTGCAGATGGTTCGGAAAATTCAGCCGGTACAGAATTCAGCAGCCAGGCTGCTGACCAGGGCAAGATGGTTTGAGAATATTACACTGATCCTGGCCCAACTGCACTGGCTGCCAATTAGTTTCTGGGCCCAACTCAAAGCTCTGGTTTTGACCTATAAAGCCTTAAATGGTTCAGGACTGCAGTGTGTCAGGGAGTATCTCTTCCTATATGAACTGACCCGACCCTGCAGTCATCATCTAAGGCCCATCTTCGTGTGCCTCCTCCACAAGAGGTACCAGAGGGTGGCAACATGACAACAGTTGTGGAATGCTCTCCCCTGGGAAGCTCACCTGGTGTTTTCATTATTATCTTTAGGCACCATGCAAAAACATTTCTTTATAACCAGGCCACCTTGGGCTGATAGAGCATTCTATGGTTTTAAAAAATGTATGGGGGGGTATTGGTTTGGGGGGTTTTTTGTTTTATTATGCATTTTGTGTTCTCGTTTTTTATTTTTATGTTGTGAACCACCCTGTGATTTTTGGACGGAGGGTAAAATACAAATTTAATAAAGAATAAGAATAATTAGCTAACCTGGAGCAGCCTCCTTACAAATGATGTCAGAGAGGCACACCAGAAAGACTGCCAGGTCAGAAATAGTACCCCGGAAAGATTTTATTTTCAGCTTTGTAAAGGAGGAAAAAAAGTTAGCTTTGGAGTTGGGTTTTCTCCACCCCACCCCCATCCCATTTTGGGTATCAAGAATTCATTCTACCACATGGGAGACGAAGGGTCACATCCACACCATTTATTTAAAGTGCTCCTATATCATTTTAACAGTCACTGCTTCCCCTCCCCCCCAAAAAAAATAATAATCCTGGGAACTGTAGTTTAAGGGACTTGAGTACTATAGTCCTAGCAACTCCAGATATCCTTAACCTACAGTTAATTAGTTTCCAGGATTCTTTGAGGAAGCCATAACAGTTAAAGGTGGTATAAGACTGCTTTAAATATACAGTGTGGGTGTAAACGAAATAAGGTACCCACAACAAATCTATTAATGAATCTTTTGCCTCTGATTAAAACAGATTAAACTAGGAGTCACCATTATAATTAAGCCTCCACATATGACACAGTAAAGGCATGCAGCTTTATTTTGCTTGCAAACTTACCTCCTGCATACATAACTGCCAGCATAATGGAAGAGATCCAGGACACTTTGCTGCTAGATGCTTCGAAGATGATTTCTATCTCTTTAAAGAATACCGTGATGGATTTTGGGAATGCATAGGAAAAGCCTATAGAGATAAAGGCACCAACAACTACTGCCCAGCCCCACCCTCCTTCTGGTGGCGTGTATCCCACGGGGCCTCCAATTGCTGGTGGCATCTTGATTGAAGTGGTAGCAAATTCAACTAGAAATCAAAGATCTGTGAAGAAAACAGAGTAAGATCATTAGGGTTGCGGAAGCATTCCATTTAATTTTTTTCTAAGTCTCTTGAAATGAGACACATTCTACAAGCTGAAACTTCCCTCTACTCCTACACAGAAGCTTCTGAGAGGAACACTCCATCTGAATGAAATCCAACATTTGAATTTTGACTCACAGGGCTGTTTTTTAAACAGCTGAAGAGTATAAAAACCCATAGAAATTAACACTAGTTTTAGGTTGCATTTGGATGCAATGCTTACACATGGTTTAGTGCTGCAAGAAAAAGCCTTGCCTCCCACTGGATTCCCCCTGCCTCCTCCAGTGCAGTCCTAAAAAGTTATTTGGAAAGTCTATGGGAGGCTATGGCCTGCAAACCCAGGCAAACTGTGGTTATTTATGATTAATGAAAACAAAGAAATCAGTTTCTTAACTGTGCTTTGAAGCTGGCTTCTTTTTCACTGACCACTGTGATTAACCATAGCTTGTACAGTGGTACCTCGGGTTAAGAACTTAATTCGTTCTGGAGGTCCGTTCTTAACCTGAAACTGTTCTTAACTTGAGGTACCACTTTAGCTAATGGGGCCTCCCGCTGCCGGAGCACGATGTCTGTTCTCATCCTGAAGCAAAGTTCTTAACCCGAGGTACTATTTCTGGGTTAGCGGAATCTAACCTGAAGCGTCTGTAACCCAAGGTACCACTGTATGGGTTTGATGCTATGGCAAGCTGTGGTTAATTTAAGACAAAAAACAAAACTGTCCAAACTCCTCTTTGTGGGCACACTGGAGGGAAAGTGTGCGATCCCAGGGGGAAACAAGTTCATTCTCATTATGTAAAACAATGTTACAGCATTAAGTTCAAATCTGCATTTATTCTTTCTGGCAATTAGGTTTCTGAATTCCAGAACCAAATCGTATCAAAAGCTTCTTGTTTATGGGCATTTGCAATGCCAAGGCTGGATTTGAACAGCTCAAGGTTATGCCACCCTGAAACCCATGTCCATTTAAAGGCCAGAGACCACTACTGGCATTTCTTTCTTCTGAAGTTATTTACCTATTATAGGAAAAACTAGTTTATAAAATTTGCAAGCTTAAAAATATAAGGTTCGCTTTTTAGGATACATGGTCTGAGCAACTAGAAATAAAACAGAATAGATTAATTGTTGGTAATCTGGGATTTTCAAGTAAAATGAGTTAGTAATAACTAGAAATCTCTGGTGAGTCTCTTTGTTCGGCATTTTCAAAAATACTCTACGATAAATTATGCTGTGAACCACCCTTTTTTTTAGGATATATGGTTTTATATATATATACAGCCTTAAGAAAGGATGCAGGGGCTCACAGTACAAACACTGCTGTGAACCACCTTGAGATCTTTGCGTGAAGGGCAGATACAAATTTAAACTTAAAAATATGAAAAATATACATACTGTTCCTGCTGGATAGCTAGGTCCTGAAGTCAGAGATAGTTACACAAAACTTCGGCAATAAAACAGATGCATGAAGTATAAATTACAAGCAAGGACAAGGACCTAGAAGTTGCATAATAGTTGCAAAAGTTTCACCCACAAGACATATCAATTACAAAGCATTTGGCTGCTGAAATGGTTACGAAATTATTGCATTTCCAGTCAACAGCATTAGTTCCAATGAGCATGACTTTCACAGAGGTTTATTTAGGGTACATCTTCTTAAAAGGGCCAACAATCAGCACATACCATCAATCAAAATTATGGGAACCAAATCCCAAAGAACAGTTGAGTTCAAGAGTGTTGGAGTGCATCCTGGGTTCACTACAAACATAGTGACACACCAATTCAAACCATGCTGCCCCATTTGACCACCATAACACTATCAAGTCAGCCTGGTTTATAAGAAACCATCCCAACCTCAGCCACAACAAAAGTTTGCATGAATCACACTTTGGACTGGTGGTGTTCAGCAGAGAGAATATCCTCTGGGGCTATTCCAATATAAACAACAACATGTTTTGAATTTTAATGTCTGCATGTTCACTATCCCTTAGTATCACAGCAGAAAAAGCCACAAGTCCATATTCCTAAAAGGAGTAGAAGGAGGCAGTATGGGAAACTAACCCAGCACTTCAGTATTTTTTATCGCTTCTGCACAGCTATGACCACTTAATAAATAAAATTGTTTTTTAAAAAAGACAGAAGGAAATTGCACACACCTTTTCTTCAACTCTGCCTAAAACATTCCACATCCTATTGTCACCGTGCACCTTCTCCTATAACCCTTTTTCAATTATTGGGACTCCTATTGTTCTACATTAGTCCACTTAACATTAGTTCTAGAACCACACTTTTCCATTTGGTGCTTTGAGGGACCCATTCTTAGCTACTTTGCCAGAATCTCTCAGGATCCCTAATGGTCACTGCTCTCCATGGTAACATTGCCCAAGATTTTCTGAACCGACACCAGATACTCATCTATTGCCAAATGCTCTGCAATGCTGCTGTTGCTCACTATTTCCTGCTACGCCTTTTGGGGTCAGAGGAATCACATTACACTGGGCTCCTGCTGCTCTGTATCTGTATAGAGCTGTATACAGAAAGATTTCTCCAGCTACATTTCAGAAGTGGCAGACTCTCTCAGGGTATTCCTATTCAACCAAGAACTGCTGTTGTGCTTAACAATGATCATTCCTCAAGCTACAGAACTTAACACAATCTAAGTGTTTAAATCTAAGACTTTTAACATGTCCGGAGAGCACACTAATTAGCTAAAACATTTTCTGAAAATGTAAGAAGTCCTGTATTAGTATCAAATGAGTTCTCTTCATCCTTGAGGTCAAAGGACTGCTTTCTTAATTAGATGGTAGATGGGTCTTAGAAGGTATCAAGACTCCAGAAAGAAAGGGTCTGAAAGGGCAAACCTGAAAGAAGGAGAGACCAGAAGCTGAGACTGGGAGTGGACAGAATTTTAAAGAACACATTTTCTGGTGAAGAAAGGTCCAAGAGCCCTAATACCAAACCCTTTACAGTCACTCTTGAAAAGAGCCCTGAAGGTCAGTAGAAAAGTCTAAATTTAGCAGTGGTAGATAACAACAGAAAGTTCTGATAGGTGCTTCTGTGCTTTGTATAGGCTTCTTGAGTTCTGAATTCCTGACTGTTTTGGAATGTACTGTAGCTCATGCTGCAGATTTCCCAGCATCACAGTGCCACTCTTGCCACTTTAGGGCATGCTGAAGCCTTAATGGGTGCTGCAGCACACTATTTGTCAACATAACCCAATAACTATATCTGGCATCTTAACAGCATAAAAATTACTCCAAATATTATAAGCACTTAGGGATGAGGAGCTCCATCAGAAGCACAGCATTCTGACCTCCTCCTCCCATTTTGGAGTCTTCCAGAGCAATGAATCAAAATGAGGAAGCAACAGTTATTTACTTTAACTGGGGGGGGGGGGGGATACTAATTCTGTAGCAAACTTTGTACCTCTGGTTTTCTGGGTGGAAAAGGGGAGGTTCCCAGATTTACTGAGCCTGCACAAACTAACAGGCTTGCACAAACTTCCGTCTCAAGATAGTTATTTGTTTTTTAAATAAGCTCTACCAAAAGCTGTATCAAAAATCCTCACCATACTAGTACTCAAGTAGCCAAATCTCATGAGGCAATGCAGCCCTCAAAAGAAAGAAAAGTTTGCCCACCCCGCTTTATCAGATGGCTGCAGAAAAAGGATCTTTATCTCAGAATTTAATTGCTGCTTAAGATCAGCCACATATATTATTTATTGCACATACTTTTCCTAGCTAGGAAACTATTGCGACAGTCAATGAGGTTTGTGAATTTAGTTTTAAGCCTGCTTCATGTTTTTTACATTTTTCATTAGGTTAGTTGAACTTTAAACTATAGGCTTTTGTTTTGATGGCTTTATACGGTGGTACCTCGGGTTACATACGCTTCAGGTTAAAGACTCCGCTAACCCAGAAATAGTACCTCGGGTTAAGAACTTTGCTTCAGGATGAGAACAGAAATCGTGCTTCAGCGGTGCAGCAGCAGCAGGAGGCCCCATTAGCTAAAGTGGTGCTTCAGGTTAAGCACAGTTTCAGGTTAAGAACGGACCTCCGGAACAAATTAACCCAAGGTACCACTGTATTAAGATCTGGGCCATAAAGCTGGGCCATAAAGAAGGCTGATCACCGAAGAATTGATGCTTTTGAATTATGGTGCTGGAGGAGACTCTTGAGAGTCCCATGGACTGCAAGAAGATCAAACCTATCCATTCTGAAGGAAATCAGCCCTGAGTGCTCACTGGAAGGACAGATCCTGAAACTGAGGCTCCAATACTTTGGCCACCTCATGAGAAGAGAAGACTCCCTGGAAAAGACCCTGATGTTGGGAAAGATTGAGGACACAAGGAGAAGGGGACGACAGAGGACAAGATGGTTGGACAGTGTTCTCAAAGCTACCAGCATGAGTTTAACCAAACTGCGGGAGGCAGTGGAAGACAGGAGTGCCTGGCGTGCTCTGGTTCATGGGGTCACAAAGAGTCGGACACGACTAAACGACTAAAGAATATTAAGATCTTTTACTTTAAGGAGGTTAGGGGCATTATTCTAACCACTATCTCCTGATAAAAAGGATGCTTTTGTTCTTATATTTAACTTATTTTTGTATCAAAACAATGCAGAACCAGAATTTACAATGTAGGCCCCCCCCCTTCATATAGCCATATTGGTTTTACTGTTTTTAATCAAGACTACCACAACACACAATGGCAATGCATACAGCCAAGTCACATTTGAACCTTAAGAAAGAATTCACAAGATGCACACTAACACAAAACCCTATTAACTTAACTATTCTCTCCAGCCCTCTTCCCATTGTGTATTAGATGATAGCAGTTGTTTTTACCTTCATTCACCAGTTAAGAAATCACAAGCAGAAGTCTTAATGCCAGCTAAGGTCAGTGTTCGAAAATCCCATTGTTCTAGGCACATTTTGCAACTGGGAATTTCATTGAGCTCTGGGCGCAGTACTGAGCCTAAGATTTCAGATTAAAACTGCAGAATGGAAGGAGAAAGGAGGACCTTTTTTTGCCTCCCCACTTCCAGCTACACTCTGAAGACTGGAGAAGAGACCCTCTTAAGAATATTAAGGGGGTGGGCAGCGGAAGGACTATGCCGTGTGAAAAATGAACATAATATTTTAGCTGCAGTTCATTCATTTTCAGCTTTGTATTCTTGTTATTAAAAAGTGTGCCTAGACATTCCGTTGTTGTGCCCACAACCTTGGTTTAAGGTGCCATTTAGCTCCTAGCTTCCGTATCTTCTAACACTATCTAAGCGACACAGTAGTCTGGAATACAGCTCAGATTTTTGATACAGATGCCCATAAGTATAATATGCAACAGACATCCTTGATCATTCCCAAGTTCTATTAAAAAAAAACATACATGGCAGTATGATGTACACAAGATGCTTTATGAAGTGATGAGATGCTCTTCATGTAGAAGAGATAGCCCTATTTTGCATATAGTTATGCACTGTACACAGTCATGTTCAAAGTGAGCTACTGATCAAAGTCAAGAGCATTTAACACAAGGACTTCCCTGCACTACAGCTTGCTATATATATATTCTGTTTTACTTTCACTGCTGCTCTATCACTGCCTAATATCAAAAGGGATGATATGTGAGGCAATTGCCTCATTTAGGGGGAAACAGTCCAAAGGCAAACTTTGAAAGTCTCATTACTATACACATTTGAGGATCACAGCCCTCTTAAGTTGAGCTCACGCTGCTTTATACTCATACCAAGACATCCTGAATTCCACTTTCGGTCAGCTCCATATATAGATTCATAGTAAGTGGACATCAATATACGTTCCAGCAGTTGCACAGTTTTCTATCTCCTTTGGCTGAAACAGACGCTCCCATGAAGAGCTACTCTTTTTCTCCCTATACAGAGATAATTTGTGTATGGGAAGAATGTCTTTCATGAAGTAACTCTCTTTAATAACCACAGTTCTGTCAGCCTTGCCAATGCATCCATTCTCTGCTTCAGGGTGGGAGATGAATAGTGCAGGCTCTTGGAAACTAACTAATAAACAATGTTGCAGAGAGGCAGAGATATCTTCAACATCAGAGGGAAAGCGTTTGCTGACCAAAGGTAACAATTTAGGAGACTTACTTCTGTGTTTACAAAAGAAATAAAGAGCTGTTGTCAGTCAGCTCAGCAATGCCCAACTACTTTTTGTACTTCCACTGAATCAGACACATTATTGCAAAATTGCAGTGAAGCAAAAAGCGCTTTATTAGGTGAGGTGTTGACCCACAGTTGTTAAAACTTGCTTATGGCTTAATGTGCCAAAGCATTGTCTCAGTAGCACTAAAAGGCAGGGAGCACCCATAAGGAGTACCTCGGTTTTAAATCTTCTTTTGCTGTGCAAATACTGACACACTGAATGCATTAGAAATTTTCCTGAGCTGGTCACAGTTTCAGTAAATTCAGCTCAAGTAACACTGTGCTAGTTTATTGCTTTAAGCCCCTAAGGCAAATTTGATGTATACACTGTTTTGCAGGCTTATTTCCATGAGTGTGGGGCTCATTTCCTTCTCCATCCTAATATGAAAGAGAAAAGGCAATAGCCAGTTCAGACAGCAACTTCTACATGCAAAAGTTTCCTCAAAGTTTAAAGCAGAGCTTGTAAAGTCTCCAGCTTTGTTTGGAAAACACTGCTACGTGTCAGGCGTGCTTGGAAGTGGAATTCAGAGATACTAGCCAAGGATAGTTATTTTAAAAGCCACATTTACAGTAAATAAGATGGTTGAGTCAAATGAGATGCTGCAAATGAATAAAAAGCATTTTTCCAGGCTCTATGAATAGGGACTAAATGTTGGTACAAAAAGAAGAAAATTGAATTAATTCTTATTTAGGCAATGAGAAGTATGGGTCATTCACCAAGTTTCTACTTCAATTAGGGTGTTGAAGCAAAGCAGAAATTCCCAGGATGTAGCACAAATTCCCAGGATGTTTTTTAACTGTGCCACTTTATGAAGAAGCAAACTTTATAATTGTAGAATTACACAGCACTTTCAAAGTACTGTAAATTCAGCAACATAATTATCTGACATAGGATTCTCTTTACGATTCTTTATGGAGGACACAGTAACAATTTTCTCATATCTAAGTCCAGGAAGGAACATTCAGCTCCACATCTTGGAAACACACAGTTGTGTTTCCCACTCGCTAACTTACAGGACAGTGCCACCACAGAATATGATATTCAAGAAAGCTGCTACCATCCATCCATCCATTTATTTATTTTACATTAGATTAGATTTATATACCACCCTTCATCATAAGATCTCAGGGCAGTTCACAAGATAAAGTCCTACCTCACAAGGTTGTTGCAAGGATAAAATGGGGAGGAGAACTATGCATCCTCCCTTGAGCTCCTTGGAGGGCAGGGTGCGTTATAAATGTAATCAATAGTAAGATTTCTACCATCCCAGTGAGAATCATGATCACCATATGAGCAGTTAAGTCTCATGTTCCTATGAGTTTTTCCATGAGATGGAATAATCTTGTTTATGGGAAGGAGTTAGTGCTGTCACCCAGTAATAGAGATAGTGTAGCACAAACCTACACAGGTTTATTCAGAAATTGGCCCCCACTGTGCTTGGTGAGGCTTGGGGTTAGTAAAATATGCACAGGATTACAATGCTGAGAAAACACATGCAATTCTTAAGGCTGGAGATAACTAAATGCAGTCTTCTACCCTGCCAGCAGGAGCCCTACCAGGTTATTAGAGGAGCAAACAATGCACTTCCTCTGTTCATTTGCAGGGTTCCAACACACACACACACACACACACACACACACACACACACACAACAGAGCAACAATTCCCCCCCCCCCATGTACAACAATTAGAAGGAAACAAACACCAACAGCTCCTAGGCTAGGATAATGCTCCCCTGGTTTAGGGGGGTTATTGTGGAGGGGGGCACTGGGAAGGAATTTGACCCAAGCCTCCCTGCTCCCCGCAGCTTGCCTCCAGCACACCACCTTTTTGCCTTGCCCTACTTACCTCTGTGTTCCATTGTCACTCTCCACCCTCAGAGAGATCCCACATGTCCTATCCCCCTCCCCGCACCAACCCACCCTCCCAGGGACCTTGGAATTGCAGTGCCCACTGACTAAATCTGCATGCATCTGCATACAAACAAAGCTGTTGGGAAATATATCCTTTGTTTCCTTGTTACAGTGGTACCTCGGATTACAGGCGCTTCAGGTTACAGACTCCGCTAAAACAGAAATTGTACCTCAGGTTAAGAACTTTGCTTCAGGATGAGCACAGAAACTGAGCAGCAGCAGCGGGAGGCCTCATTAGCTAAAGTGGTACCTCAGGTTAAGAACAGTTTCAGGTTAAGAACAGATCTCCAGAACAAATTAAGTTGGCTCAGCGGTTTAGTTGTAGGAAGTGCTCAGTTACCCACATACCACCTGTTCTTGTTTCACGTTAGCCAGCTAACTAAAGCCAAATGTTTTGAAAAAGACTTGCTGATGAGAGACAGCAATGAGAAGAACTGAGCCAGCATTTCTGCTCCCTTTTGGAAAGCAAAAGTTCAACAAAATATGAAGAATTTTCATTTCCAACAAGTCCTCTTCAGGTTAGCCCACTTCGTTTCAAATTGTTCCAAGCTCTTCAAAACCAAAATATTAAAATAGTTGCATATTGTTTATAGATCTACTGTATATCTGGTCAGAATTATTAAGACAGGCCTAAACACAATTTAGGGAATGCGGGTGGCGCTGTGGGTTAAACCACAGAGCCTAGGACTTGCCGATCAGAAGATCGGCGGTTCGAATCCCTGCGACAGGGTAAGTTCCTGTTGCTCGGTCCCTGCTCCTGCCAACCTAGCAGTTTGAAAGCACGTCAAAGTGCAAGTAGATAAATAGATACCTCTCAGGCAGGAAGGTAAACGTGTTTCCGTGCGCTGCTCTGGTTTGCCAGAAGTGGCGTAGTCACGCTGGCCACATGACCCGGAAAGCTGTACGCCGGCTCCCTCGGCCAATAAAGCAAGATGAGCGCCGCAACCCCAGGGTCGGTCACGACTGGACGTAATGGTCATGGGTCCCTTTACCTTTACCTAAACACAATTTACTACTATTGTCACTGGTTTCTGAGAACACTTGCCCATTTTCAAGAGTCCATCTACATTCTACAATCATGAATGCCAGAAACTGATCTAACATCACCACAAAGATGCAAGGAAGTTAAGGAACAGCAAAGCCTGTACCAGATGAACAACTGCTGACCAGCATGCACCTGACACACCTGTTCGGGCAACTGTAATGTTTTTCCAGCTCCTCTGTGGTGCAGAGGGAAAGAGGTGCAAGTATGAAGTACCTCTCTGTCACCAAATGTTTTAACAAAATCCAGCCAGCATCACTTGCTCCTTCATTAAAATATTTGCAAATTACAACCATATTTATTAACAGCTAGTAAACACCTGATCAGTGCAGGTACACAAACACACATGTAAGCAGCCTTCATCAGGGCCCAATACCATATTTAGTTGCATCATTTTCTCTAGAGAGAGAGTGTTGTCCTGCATTTGTCAAGTATTTTGCTCCTGAAGCTTAGCTTTGTTTGGACCAAAGTTTCCCAAAGCTCCAGTAGGTGTTAGCTGTACATAAGCCAGCTATTGAACATGGAGCATAACATGCCCATCTCCAGGAGCCCAGCTGTGCATGCCATTCACAGCCTTGATTTGCAGTAATGTTAGCTAGGCACTGCTCATAACATTGCTCCATAACTTGGCTGAACAAGTGGAACAGTTGGAAATTTTAAGTCTCTGACCAGGCCTATATATTTAAAAAAACAAACGAGCATATAAACTTGCAAGCATTAAACCTGGAGGAAGATATTTCAGCAATAATACCCAGGCCTCTGCTAAAAAAAGGGAGAGGGTCTCCATGGACCCTCATACACTAGGAAGTTACAGAACAATGTCTAGCTTCTCCTTTCTAGTCAGAAGTCATTATAATAAGCTATGGCCAAACAGCCTCAGGCACTCATGGATGGAATGGATTTTGGCTGGACTTCAGGGCAGAAAGTGCCTTTGTCTTCCTGGTCAAAAGTCTGTATTGGTAGATAGGGGAAACATGGAATAGTTACAAGCCAACTGTGCAGACGAAGTGCAGGGGTTCTGCAATGCTTCCGCTTCTATTTTTCCAAAAGGTTGATCTTGAAGGTGGTGCTGAGAGACTACTGTTCCTTTTCATGGGAGAGATCCAGGAAGGTTCCACAGGGATCTTTATGAGGCTAACTGTACCTGGAGACTGGGGTCAAAGTCTATTTGGTATGCTCCCTTCTTGTATTCTCATCAAAGACAGGTGAGTCAGTGGCTTCCCTGAACACCTTTCTAAAGTCTAGTAGCGGACTAGATGAATGAGATACTCAATCCAGACTTATAACCGTTGGCGCATGCCTAGAGTGGCAGTTCATACGCTGATCCTGTTTGATGTCACAGTAGCTTAAAAATCAGATTCACAAACCAGGAATTCTCTAGGTCCAGGTTTGCTTCTGGCATCCAAAGCTGTAAGTGATTTCGTAGGTTTGCTTCCTGGATACTACTTTGTTCCACTAGCTATAATTTTGTTTCCAGCCAAAATTAAAGGTGCAGGCCAACAAATTTAAGTCCAGCTATGCATCTTCGTATCACACACACAGAGAGAGAAACCATTGGCATTGAGCGACAAGACCCTTCTGTAGGTGTCACCAGATTTTGAAGCAGTTAGTTGCTACCAGAAACTGGGCTTTTTCCAGTGCCTGCCCCTTGAGAAAGGCCTCTTGAAAAAGCTTGGCCAGATTTGCTCTACTGGCCCGTTCAATAAGATAATAAACATTTTCAGCTTTTTATATAAACAATTTGGCCACAATGTACACGATTCAAGTTGCTCCATTTGCTTTATTTCAAATTATGGCTATGAAGTCCACCCTAATTAACTATTGTTGGGTTTGGGAGAGTCAATTTAATTGCAAGCATTAAACTAAAAGACATTGGAATCAATATTTACCAGACACTGGCAGTAGTATCAAAATAATTAAAACATGAAAACATATCTAAAGTTTTACTGGAGTGGGTAAATAACAAACTCTGTTCTATATGGCAAGCAAGGTCTTTCTCCTATCAGTTCATAAAACAATTACCCTATACTGCCTCTGCTGCACAAGATTGGTTTACATAGTGCTTCTGAATAGGTTTAAATGCCTTTTATCTGGCTATGTGCACTTTTCAAATGGAGCTGTGTCACCACCCTATCTACAGAGGAAAACCTCTCCCCAGTTAATTGGATAGGTTAAAAAAACTGTAAGGCAGTTAAAAGGGGACAAACTTCTTGCTCAACAGGAAGAAAACGTCTGAACAGAACAAAATCTCAACAGTATTTATCTGAAGAGGCACAAGCTTAAATAAAACTCATCATAGTCACTTTCCCCTCTTGTTTCATCTGACAAAAATAATTTGTTTCAAGTGGAGTTTTGCTCAGTCCCCTTGGCTAGAAGAAAATCTGGCTCTGCCTGGTATACGTGACTATCTGGGGCTTGTAAGGGCTCAGCACCACACAATAGACAATTGAGGGCCTCCTTGGTTATTGCAAAGCTCACAGGGTGAACTAAGGTCAGCAACAGGCAGACAGAGAACTACTGAGGGTTTTTCAACTAGTGGAAACGATACAACATTCCTTTTCACATCAGCCACAGCATATCCCATAAGCAACCTGAAAAAAGAGATGTTCTTTGTGTGGTCAGTCTCTGAACTTGGGTAAAGGAAAGACAGAAGACTGATAGACTTCTACAAAAGTGGCAGCAGTGCCTCTCCTTCACAAGAACAATGCAATTTGCCAGCACTTTAGATTCATAGCAGGTAAATACGTTTTTAGGCCACCCAATGTGACACATAACAGTGACCAAGCTTTCCGGTTTTCCAGCATGACTAAGCCACTTCTGGCAAACCAGAGCAGCACACGGAAATGCCGTTTACCTTCCCGCCGGAGCGGTACCTATTTATCTACTTGCACTTTGACGTGCTTTTGAAATGCTAGGTTGGCAGGAGCAGGGACCGAGCAACGGGAGCTCACCCCGTGGCGGGGATTCGAACCACCGACCTTCTGATCAGCAAGCCCTAGGATCAGTGGTTTAGACTACAGCACCACACGTGTCCCAGCCTTCCAAGTAGTTTCCTTCCAAAGTTATGCTTAAACATCCCTCTCAGGGACACCTTTAAATTCATACTTGTATGGTAAGTGTACAAATCTTGAGTTGAGAACACTAACAGTTTGATGCCAGGCAGCGTTAGAAACTGAGATGTGAAAGCTAGGAGCTAAATGGCACGTTAAACCGAGGATATGGCTGCAATAACGGAATGTCTAGGCACACTTTTTAATAACAAGAATACAAAGCTGAAAATGAATGAGCTGCGGCTAAAATGTTATGTTCATTTTTCACATGGTCTAGTCCTTCCCCTGCCCACCCCCTTAATATTCTTAAGAGGGTCTCTTCTCCAGTCTTCAGTGTAGCTGGAAGTGGGGAGGCAGAAAAAGGTCCTCCTTTCTCCTTCCACTCTGCAGTTTTAATCTGAAATCTTAGGCACAGTAATGCGTCCGTTGCTCAGAAACTGCTTGCGCTAATGAAATTGCCTATCACAAAATGTGCCTAGAACAATGAGAGTTTCAAACACTGATGCTAGGTGATTTTAGTACTAAAATGAACAGAGGGCGGAAAACTCCACACAACTAAACTCACATCTAGGTGCCAAGATATGCAAGTCAGTCAAATTTGTTCTACAGCAGCATTTCAGATAGTGGGCCTTGGGCTACTGCCACAGCCCTGCCTCATTTGCCTGTTCCCCTGCTCTCTCAGGCATGCCTTAGTCCTGTTACAGTGGTACCTCTGGTTACGAACTTAATTCATTCCAGAGGTCCATTCTTAAGCTGAAACCGTTCTTATCCTGAGGCGCGCTTTCGCTAATGGGGCCTGCCTCTGGTGCGTGATTTCAGTTCGCATTCTGGGGCAAAGTTCGCAACCAGGAGCAGCTACTTCCGGGTTAGCGGAGTTCGTAACACGAGGTACCACTGTGTTGGGTCAGCACCTCCTTGCATGCTCTGAGAGGAAAGGGCCAGAGAAAGCGTTCAACTTATAGCAAGTGATAAAAAGTTAATATATAACAGCAGCAAACAGGAACAACAGGCAGGGAATGGTTAAGGGGATGCGAGGGGAAAGAAGTTATACAAGAAAGAAGAGAATGTAAAATGACCAGGAAGGAAAGAAGCTGACACTGGGGGAGAGTGGGTGTTAAGGTACAAAATGAATGGGAAGAGAAGAAGCTTCATGCGGTGGGTGAAAATACTTTGAGAATCATATGGGGGTAGAAAGGGAACAATAGAGCTTCTGGATTAGCAACTCTGCCTAAAATGAGGAGGCTGCCACAAGAACTGCAGAACAAATGACTGTGCTTTTCATGAGTTGAGTAACTCCTTGCCAGAGGGAAAAGATGGAGCAGATATCAGTAGGAAATGATTATTATGCGAAACGCTTCTTCCATCTGCCACCATTGGCTGCCCCACTGACAGCAGCTTGATGCACCCCATCTCTATCTCCTCCCACTCAATCCATCAGTGGAGGTGACTCTGCTTCGTCTCCTTCCCCCAACCCCCATCTGATCTGCACTCACCCCACCTGCAGGACCTCTGCAGCTGCTTCTTCCCACATCCCCAAGCCTGATCTACACACACCCCACCCATCTGATCTTTTGTGTTTGCTCCTTCCCTCATCCCCATGCCTGATCTCCAATTTCAGACATTGTGATATATTGTGATACTTAGCTGCTGATATATCACAATGTTGAAAACCAGATATCGCTCAGCCCTAATCTGTTATTATTTTGTATACCTAAAATTGTTGCTCATTATCTTTTGCTTATTAGCCATTGTTTTTTGTTCAAAAATTGCTCTCTACCAGAGAGTTATCAAAATTTTCAAAAGTAGGGGGTCTGTGGCTTGGCTTTTGAAAAACAGAGGTCCTCAGTAATTAGCTAATTGGGAACCATTGACCTAGATAATAATGAGGTCCTAGAAGAGGAAGACTGTCACAGAAGCTAACCAAAGGAATGAGGGCAAGAGAAGGCAAACTGGAAAAACGGAATAATCAGAGGAAAGGTACATACAGGTAGGAGCTGCAGGTGAGAGAGGCTGAGGTTCATGTGAAGTTTTAAAAGCATGTGACAGAGGCTATCATTGGCTACTAGCCATGATGACTGTGCTCTTTCTTATTGGAGGCAATATGCTGCTGAATACCACTTGTTGGAAACTGCAGAGGAGGATAGTGCTGTCCTCTGCTCAGGCCCTGCTCAGGGGTTTCCCACAGGCATCTGGGTGGCGACTGTGAGAACAAGATGCTGAACTAGATGGGTCTGATCCAGCAGGCTCTTCTTATATTCTGCTATATTACCAATCCAGCACAATTGCTGGAAATCAAGTATGAAGTAACATTACTCTCTACCTCATTCAAGCAGAAATCAAGTTTTAAGAATTTTAGGTTCTGAAAAAATATTCCAAATCAGAAAAAAAACTCCATTGTATTAATGGGAAATCTCTCAGGTAGCAGTTTAAAGCATACTACTTGGAAGTAAATTGAGTAAATCACTGAGATCTTCCATTATGACACACTACTCATAAATGTTCAGCCCCAACAGAGTTCACACGTTCTTATCAATACATACATGAATATTGTCCCATCCCCAGTTCACCAGGCAGAAAGCCTATCTGTTTTGAAGTAACACAGGACTTAAACCTCAGATCTGAGAAAGCCACTATTTCATCAGTTTACAAAAGTGATTCCTTCCCCTGGAAGTTCACAATGATTCCCAGTCACCCTCTCACATTTCTTCCCAACCGTTTTCTTCCTAATTGTTGCTCCAGTCTTTGAACTATGGACCATCTGCAGTCTGTCATGGAACTATGGACCAGCAAGGTCAGTGTTAAATCACTTATATGTGACAGTGCTCAAGCTCAGCCAAAAATGAAATATCATAGAGAAAAATAAAATTGGAACCTCTTAGTTTCAAAACTGTATTTTTCAGATACTTATCATGTTAACAATTATGACAAAAAGCACCCCATTACTTACTTACCAACGCTAAAACAACAAAGTTAGATTGAAATGTCTTGTATCTTACAATGGGACTCATTAGATTGCATGCATACAAAGTTAGAGGACATTAAAAAGCACAGTCTTGCCATATTAACTTTACCTGCTCTGAGAAGTCAGCACAAGATCAAAGTACAACAAAGTGTGCAAACAAATCTATTTTCATCTCAAACACTAGGAACTGGCTCCAGATCAAGTGAATAAGGCTATGAATGTTAAAAAGATATTTTTAGATTTCCCCCCAGTATTATATTATTGTTTAGTTAGGGTCCTATCCATATGTTAATTCTCACAATGATTACATCTAGTGCGCATCAGGCTAACGGTATCCAAAATGACCCAGAGAGAGACTCATTCAATACAAGTCTAAATTACTCATGATTGTGACTAGGAACTGAGGCACTTTTGCAAGCTATATGCTGTGGCACAGAACAGCTAGCCGAAAACAGAGCCAGCCTGAATTGAAGTCCCTTATCCTGGTGGTTTATAGCAGGAGCAAGAGTGTAATTAGTATGAATAGTGCAATTTGTTTTTATAACTCAGTGTGTTCAAAGTTACAGGGAATGAAATAAGAGATTCAGATTTTCACTAAAGAAAAACTGACTTAGAATCAAGATACCCATAAGCAAAATTGTATTTTTTCCCATCAGTTGTGAAGCATCTCAAGACAAGAGTTCAGGACTAGAAATCATCACCAAGATGGAAGCATTCACCCTGTTTCCAAGGTTATGGTACAATTCCAAAGTACACTCAGAATTCAAATGTATTAATAATCTCAACACGGGATGCATTTATGTTCATGTTATCCCACAAATCTCAAGATGAGCGTAGGACAATAAGTGGCAACCACACAGCTGGTAACAATTGAGGAAAGATGGCTGATGCCCTAGTATTTCATTCCCATGTAATGCCTGAAGAGGACTGTGGTATGTTAAGATGGAACCCTTTCCCATGTAAGTAATGTTTTGTTGGCTGGGGCTGAAAAGATTTGTAGTACAGACTATCTAGAAGACACCAAGATGGCAAAGCCTGCCATAGGTTGTACATGGGACAGTCTATCAGGTGCAGGAGAGAGAATGAGCTCTGTGCTCTGTCACTAATGTATAGAACCTTCATATTGCAGTTCTATTTAATGAGATGTTCAATGCATCTCTTGTTTAAATTACTATAGATTTTTATTTGATATTCCATGGTTCTCATTTCTAGATTTATTAAAGATTATGAGCCAATAGATTCATTTTTATGTGGATATACTGCAGTGTAGCTCAACGCCCTGACAGAATGTTTTTATCTCGTAGAGCCACTCAGTACAATTGTTCCCATCGGCAGCACTTGATTGAACAGGTTGGTTTTAATTAATATTGGCACATCTTAAATATTAGAAGTAAATGGAGTTAGCACTGATTAACAAAAAGCTAACCCATTCAGGCACCAGCTAGATAGATCTCCTATTCACAGAACAGCATCTCTGTAACCAGGCCTTTATTCCACACAAAAATTAGAAGTTTCTCTGCCTTATTAGGACTGACTTCTAGAACAGTGTTTTACACCAGTTCAGTTTACTCTGTGATCTTTACAATTCAGCTCGGTCTATTCCGATAGCTTAAAATGGGAAAACGTAGGTAACCGCTACCAATACCTTATATAACCCAGTTGCATCATGCAAAACATGCTGTCAGTTCAGGAATTTATTTGTGCTAGGACTCACTAGACTTTCCAAATTACTCATCTAAACAAACCCTGTTCATTTAAATAAAAGACTTGAAATGCTTAGGCTTCCAGCTCCAGGAAAATTAAAAACAGTTTTGTAGATCCATTCCCCTACAGCAGAGGGATACTTTTATACAATGTTGAATAAAGTCAGTAAATTAACGGATACTGATGTATATCCTTAAATATTTTGCGTAGAAAATGATGCAAATCAGTATAAAAACAGTATACATCCAACAGTAAAAAGGTAAAGGGACCCCTGACCATCTCACTTTACTGGCGCTCATCTCACTTTACTGGCCAAGGGAGCTCGCATACAGCTTCCGAGTCATGTGGCCAGCAGAGAGTCATGTGCCGAACCAGAGCAGCATATGGAAACGGCGTTTACCTTCCCTCTGGAGCGGTACCTATTTATCTACTTGCACTTTGACACACTTTCGAACTGCTAGGTGGGCAGGAGCAGGGACCGAACAATGGGAGCTCACCCCGTCGCAGGGATTCGAACCGCTGACCTTCTGATCGGCAAGCCCTAGGCTCATTGGTTTAGACCACAGCACCACCCGCGTCCCTCCAACAGTAAAAATCTTAAAAAATTAAAAGAATAGGCATTAGGAGAACCTGCTATCCTGAATGCGAAAACATGGGTCAAACAACAAATCCAACCACTGGAAACAAATAAATAAACCAAAGCAGGTGCCTGGCCACCCAAAGCCTTGAAAACTTTTCCCTGCTTTATAGTGTGTGCTCCAAGGTTAGAAAGTAGCATGAATAATTTTCCACCGGGACGGTTTCTTACAGTATATTCTGGTGTACAAGTTATCTTGTTTGAACTGTCTTCCTGGTCCTAGTCAAAACAGCCCTGCTTCAAATTCCTTCTGCAACACTATGCTTTGAACACAGATAGTTAAGGGTACAGGCAAGTATTGCGGTGGGGGCACTCTTTATCTGTTATGACCCTACTCCTTTTATTTAATGTATGATGCCACTATACTGTGGTTTCTGCCACAGTTATGCGCAGGAGAACTATAGGATCGGGCTGCCAAAGTGTTATATAAACCCTCACTGCTGTGGGTTAGTATTCAGTTAAGTAGCTAAGATCAAAACAGCTCTGTTAAAGAAGTTAATCCACTGGCAGCTCTAGATTGCATGAGAAGCACAAGATTCATGGATAATGCTCCATAAGGAGCAGGAAGCTTTGCTTGAACAGTTCTCACTGTACAGAATATCAGAGTTTCGTTTGAATTACATTTCAAGTTGATCTACTGTAAAATTGTGAGAGTGGGAAGAAGTGAGGGGGCTTTTATTATTTTTGAATGTAATAATACAAAGAAATAATGTGGTCTATATCTCCATGATCCATCACTGTGAGCAAAAACTAGTGGATTGCATCTCTGCTTTCATTTAAACTTTCCAAAGGGTTGTTGAGAGGTCTGCATTTGGATCATAGCATAGGGGAGAGGCTTAAACCTTTCCCCTTGCATCAAACTCCTAATGAAAAATGGCAAAAACTATTATTTTCCATATTACCCAAAACATATATATAGCCATGGATTATTATTTTGTCAAGAAAGTCTTATCAGTTATTTGCAAAAGTTTAAAAGGAGTAAAGATGTATGAACACCTCAGACCAGAGGTCCCCAAACTAAGACCTGAGGGACTCATTTATGCAGCCCGCGGCAACCCCCACCGCCCACTCTTACCGGCACTGCGCTGCGCAGCTGCCCACTTTCAGGTCAGAGGAGCACCGGAAATAGCTTGTGCGCATGCGCAAGCATTATTTGCGCATGTGCATGCGTTATTTCCAGTGCAGATTGGGGTCGGAGGACACCCGTGCGCATGCGCACAAGCTATTTCCGGTGCCCCTCCGACCGGGAAGTGCGCCGGAAATAGTGTGTGCACACGCGGATGGGCACGCGCTCCCCCGCCCTCCGGCACTGACCCATGCCTCAGACCATATCTAGCTTTACTCTCATTGTCCACAGTTTACCTTCTATTGAAAGAGCTGATATCATCCCATGATCAGCCAGATCTAACTATTTCATGGTATCTTTCCCAGCCACTGCCCTTTCCCTCATTATGGAAACTTTCTACATAACAATTTTGCCAAAACATGCCTATTCACAATACACCTCACTAATGTTTTTTACTATTCATTAGGAGATGAAGGCTGGTTTAAAGTATAATTAATATGAATTAGAAGCTATAGAGTAGGAAAGAGATACTTGTTCTAGCCTTGCACAGGCTCAGACACATCCATTTCATCATAAAGTTTCCCCTGTCTTCTATTATTATGCTATTAGCATGCATACAATTATGAAAATGCAGCTTTACTTTAGGAAATGTTTTCTAAAGGAGAAAAGCTGAAGCCACCAGTCTTAAAAGGAGGAAATACATATATAAAGGATAATGCGAAAAGATTAGTACCAGGGCAATGTAGGGGGGGGGGACTAGAATGAAAAGATAAGTTGTAAAGTACACAGGTGCCAACACACCCTTATTTGTTCAGAACTCAACCAGCAACACCAAGGAGAGTAAGGAACTCAGAATGTCAGGATGCAAAAAGCTATATGGTACTATGGGCTACAAGAGAAATGAAAGAGAAATAGGGAAAGTGTTTGGTAAACTGAAATAACAAGGTTGGTGGAAAAATATAGGTGATGCTGACCAGGTATGCATGCCTAGAGCCAAGGTGGTAGACTCAAGGACACACAAAACATACTACACACTCAATGCTACCTTGATTGACACTTGGCCAGCTTATGATTGCAGCATGATGCAACCAGAATGTATTTGAGAGAGTTATCTGCAACTATGAGAAACGAATTGCCTCTTGGCACATGCATATCCACAGCCAAGCTGTTACAACAGGACTGGAAATATGGGCCAGAAGTTATAAAGAATGCCTGCCTAAACCAAGGCTGTTCCTTCTCCCTTCACTGGCTTGGCACGCATTCGTCCCCAAAAGGTTGTACCTGATATGGCAAAGTGCAAAGGAGTTGTTTTGTTCCTTCTTTAACGGCCAGCTGCAAAACCAGGTGGTGAACAGCACTACTATATTCTACTTGGCAGTTCTTCTTAAAGCAACTGCAACATTTCTGAAATGTGCAGAAATAGGTGCTTAACCACCATCAACATGGCTTAATCAAATGCATGCAGAACTCAGACAGACACACATGCTGAGGCAAAGATACACTGAACAGATCACGCAGCAAAACAATGAGCAATCATCCCATTGCCTTAAACATAAAAATGAAATGGGTCTCCAGTACTGCATGTACATTACGGCCATTTGTTTTCTGTGGTATTATCATAGATATCATTTGTTGTTGTTTAGTCATTTAGTTGTGTCCGACTCTTCGTGATCCCATGGACCAGAGCACGCCCAGCACTCCTGTCTTCCACTGCCTCCCGCAGCTTGGTCAAACTCATGTTCGTAGTTTTGAGAACACTGTCCAACCATCTTGTCCTCTGTCGTCCCCTTCTCCTTGTGCCTTCAATCTTTCCCAACATCAGGGTCTTTTCTTCTCATGAGGTGGCCCAAGTATTGGAGCCTCAGCTTCAGGATCTGTCCTTCCAGTGAGCACTCAGGGCTGATTTCATTCAGAATGGATAGGTTTGATCTTCTTGCAGGCCATGAGACTCTAAAGAGTCTCCTCCAGCACCATAATTCAAAAGCATCAATTCTTCGGCGATCAGCCTTCTTTATCATAGATGCATCCATATCTCTCCAGCTTTCTAACTGCAGTCATGTTCCCATGATTGGCTGCTGTGTAATTAGAAGGTTCTCATCATCAATTTGTAGGAAAGCAGTTACAAGCAGAGGTGACAGAATATAATAAATGTATTTAAGGTCACCCAATCACATTTGCTAGTATAAAATTTTAATAAAGTTTAATAAGTACTGAAGCTGTGAAGAAGCAAAAAAGTTTGGAAACATCTTTCTGTATCTGGAAATAGTGTGCTGCATAGCAACCAATTAATATTTTACTTAAAACTGAAGACATGAACAGCTTGAAAATGAAAAATGCAAAAGAATATATCATAATCATAACCTGATCAGCTTTCTCAGATGGCAGGAACAATGATTCAGTCCTATTGATAACTGTGCCTCCAGCTATGTAACCATCTGTAGTACTTTTCAAAAGATATAGAGACCTGAACAACTCCGTAACATAGTTTCCTGACATAGAACTGAGATTCCATATGACAATAGGTCCATACAACAAAACTCAGGTCATTCAAGAAATTGTTACCAAGGAAGGTGGTCAACAAATGCAAGAAATAACTAAAGTATTAAATAGGTGGGTAACTTTCTTTATTAAAAATTGTAAACAGAGAGGGACACAGAATTACTGGTTCCTTATTGGGAAGGTTTAACTGCTGAGCCATGCTTGTGCCTGAAGAAAACAACAGACAGTATGCCAGTTCAGCACAATTGCTTCTGTACCCAAGAATGCTTTAAGCTAACCTGATGTGTCAGCAGTCTTTAAGGTTCAAAATGTCACCAAAAGAAGGCACAGTAAACTAGGCAAATCACATTGTGAGAAAGTTGTCCTCCCCCAGTCCAAAGAGTGCCTATTTTGAAATGCTGATGAGCTCACACAAGAAACAGGCAAGGCTTTATTCCTAAAGGTTTGTCTCCTTTTCGAAAGATACAAGAGGTGATGCACTCAAGGAACAATGTTTGTTCATTTGCCACAACCAGAACTGCAAGCAGTCCCACATACCTGTTAGCATCATCTCACAAGGCAAGCTCACATCCTTGTATTTCACTGTAAGTAATCCACTGGTTCTAGACTTAAGAGTCGATTCACACATGGTTGCCATCACTTGGAGGTTGCAACATCTAGTGAAGACATCAGTGTGTGAAAGCCATCAAAGATAGAACTTTTAATTTACCACCTCACATTAAGTCCAACAAAAGTATTTGAAGTGGAGGCAGAGCACACATTGAACTACAACCAAGCGGTGAGAAATCGAGGATTGTCAAGTATAATAGGACATTTAAAGGAATATGGTAAGCCCTCTCGCACTTCTGCTGCAAATCATTTTGAGGTGAGTTGCTAGGGCTACCCAGTGTGGGCTAGATAGGCTTATCTATATTCAAAACCTGCATCTCAGCGGTGAGAGATGCACGCCTGTGCAACAGGGAAGTCAGATATCCTCTGATCTCTCAAGACGAATGCAGGCATGCAAAGCAAGCAAGCCATGCGCGCAACTACTCATACCCAACTCTAACCCTTGTAAGATACATAGCAGAAACATTAAAGAATCCTTCTTCGCCATGCACCCCAAACCACCACATGCTGAATTCAAACAAAGAAGCTAGCCAACCAGTCCCCTCTCCTCCCCGCCAGCCCAGCAAATCCCCAGGAATCAGGAAACAGACGAATGCAATGGCCCCTGACCCAAGCAGTCCTCACTTAAAGATAAAGTGATAAACGATCAGTAACGGGACCCCCTTCCCCATGGCCAACGTGGCAGGATGGCCGGCTACCTTGGGCCTCGGACCTCCTCGCTTTAGTGCATCCCCCGGGGCTTAAAACCCTCCCCACAGCTCTGTGCCAGCACCACCCCACCGTCGCCACGCGCCCCTTCCACCTCCTGCCCGGCTCCCCAGGCTCGGGTCGCCCGTCCGCGCCCCCCCCCTCCATTTCCCCGCGCTGGTGCTACTCCGGGGCTGGCGGGCAGACCGAAAAGCTGCCCCCAAGACGGCCGGCGGCCACCCCTTTCTGCCGCGCCACGTGGAGCGCCGCGGGCTCCAGGAGCCCCGAGAGGACTTTGCCTCCCGCCTCCCCAGCCGAAGCCCTCCCTACCCGTTGCACGCAGCGGCACTCACACGACGCGCTCCTGCCCTTTCCCCACGCCGCGTCTCTCGCGTCTCTCCTTCCAGACAGTCTCCAGAGCGCTACTCGCAGGCGCTCCCGCCCCCTCACGCACTATAACGGGCCGGGCGGGGAGCCTGCCTGCGGCGAGGAGGAGGAGCCGAGAGGCAAAGGGCGGGCTCTTGCGCTGGAGGGTCAGAGGGAGAGAGAGAGAGCGGCTTGACCAGCTGGCCTCCCCCACCGACTGCAAAGAGCCAGCGGCTTCTCCTTATAGGAGAGAGAGAGAGGCGCCTTTGTGTGAGAGAGGTTGCCTGAGGGAGCCTTTGTAGCGGGGGCGCCGCTCGCGAAGAGAGGCGGGGAAATATCCACCAGGGGCAAATGGAAAGTGGCGTTTCTGCACGTAGAGGCTGGCGGCGGCGTTGCCAGAAAGGAGCGGGGCTGCCTCGGGTCTCCCTGTGGCCGCCAGTGGGCTCCTCAGTCTCGCTCAGTAAGGGGTCGACACAAGGGCCCCTTATTAACTAGTATTTAAATATATTTATATATATATGTGGTTCTGGGGCTTCAGCAGCCCACCTAAATGTAACGTCTGTCTCCCTCCCGGGGTACTTTTTATATGCTCAGAGGCAATTCCCCCCCACACACGCCCTGCCCACTTCATATTTTGCGGGGAGGGAGCAAAATTGGAAACGGTGCTTGTGATACGGTAAGCCGTGACTTCTTAGCCCCCCCCCCCCTTCTTGGCAACTGAAACTCAGCCAGGTTCGCCTCAGCAAATGTGCTCCTTAGAAGTTAGCACACTGTTCCGTTTGCTGCAGAGGGGCAGGTGGATCCCTGCCCTGAGGGTGTCTGAGCCTAGCACTCCAAATTGCATAGAAATTGTGACACCCTCCAGACCGGTGCCGGATTTACTTACAAGCTATAGCTCAGGGCCCCGCTCTCTTGGGGGCCCCCCAAAAGTATACTTCTTCTTAATTGAATTTCACTATTAATATACTTATTAATTGTATTTCAGTTCAACAATTACTTTGATAAAATCCATATTCTGTTATGTGCAAATGGCTTTAGATACCTATTAGGCCCATAAATTACCATGTAGCATATATTCAACACAAAAAACAGCAGCAATTTGTTGTTGACAAAGGGCCCCATTACCTTCAGTAGCTTAGGGCCTCCTCAAACCTAAATCCGGCCCTGCACACACCCTCCAGACATCTGTGTTCCCTGCAATCGATGAACCTGCAGTCCTGAACTAGGGTCCCATTCAGGGCAGTGGGAGTTGCTTCTTGAACAAGCATGTTTATGGTTGGTTTTAGTCACTTACATTAAGGACGTAAAATCAGATCAAAGTCCACAGTGCCAAAGCTGGGGAAACCAGGTAAAGAATATCTACGAAAGGTGGCCTGAGAGCAGGAACAATCTCTCTGAGTGCTATTATTCCCTGTTTAGGGAAGCTTTTAATGTCTGATGTTTTATCGCTTTATTATTATTATTACAATCATCATTAATTCTGTTGTGAGCCGGCCAGAGTGGCTGGGAAAACCCAGCCAGATGGGCAGGGTATAAATAATAAATTATTATTTTCTCTGAGGGAATGAAATGTTTGGAAATGATCTGTACAAGAGCAACAGCGTCTTTATTTATTTACACATTCATACCCTGCTCTTTAGCTAAAAAGTCTGCCAGGTAAACTTACAAAAATCAGTAGTAAGAGAGCCCCTGCCCTCAGTCTCATAATCTAAAGGACATGATGTGAGGAAAGAGGGATGGGGAGGGTAGAAGAAGAAAGCAACCCCAGACATCAATTATTAGAGTTATTACAATGCAGTTATATAATTCTGTATTGGAGATTATCCCCTCTCCAAGAAAATTCTTCACCCACCCCAGGCAGATCTGGGAGCAAAGCAGGTCCAGGCAGAAAGAGCAGACCTCCTCCTGCAGCATAGGAGCGGACACTAGACTTGATGGTGGTTGGAATCCTTACAGGAAGGAAATGGATGGAGTTGTCCTCTTCCCTCACCAATGACAGTATTGGTTCTCTAAATGATACAGTACACAACACCATAGGGGAAAGGGTAGGAACTCATATAATACATTAACATTTCATATAACATAACATTTGTGAGAAATCAAAAACACTCCCTTTTTCAAGCAGCCATGATGACTTAATTTGCATGCATTTTGCAGAACTGGCAAAGCTGACGGGGGAAATCCAAAACCGACGAGTAAATTTATACAATATTTGAAAGATCATTGTAAGCAATTAACAACACTAGTAGGGTTATCTGAAGATTTCTAATGAGATTTTTTTTACCTTTATTTATTTAAATTTTGAGGGATTTTGTGATAGTCTTATTAGAATTGGAAAATATATAAAATGCTGTGATATAAAGGTTAACTTTGAAAGCCAAGAGGTGGGAGGGAAGGAAGTTGATAGGCTCTAAAGAGGTAAAGTGGACAATAATGATGTGATTATATATGTTTAAATGGGAAATTAATAAAAATTATTTAAAAAACAATTTACATGCATTTTTATAAAACATTTGCAAGGTCCATATGTCACTTAAGAGAAAACATCCAGTTAAATGAGCCATCATAGGCACTTCCCAGTACAGTGTATAAAGCCTGGAAAATCAGGTATTTGTAAACGTGACCTGCTATCAAAACTTAAGAGTAGCAAGATACTGTCACTATGTAAAGACCACTTGAAATACTAAACTTTTCCCGAGTAGTAAGCACACACACTGGCAATCAGGGTGGAATGTTGTTTGCCAGTACGTGATTTCCATGTGTGCACACACTGATCAAACAATTGTCCGTACAATTGCCATATAGTGATTGTGCTTTCTCCTAACCAAAAGAGTTTTCTGTCTATGAAACCTAGACAATTAAACAGCTAAAGTATTGTGTACCAAGAAACCAAGGGTAAAACTTATTTTTGAGATGCATTACAATTCTTGTCAAAGTGCTGTTTGCCATGAGCTCTCTTAATTTGTGATTCACCTGTCATTGTACCCTGAAATTGACTAAGGCAGACCAATTTTGCCTTTCCCAGAGGATAAATGTTTAATATCTTGTCATTTGCTCCATATTAGAAAGAAATGGGGAACAAATCCAGTGACACTAAACAGATGGGAAACGGTTCTTCTGCCACATCAAAGGGAAAAGTCATCCTTCTACCAGGCATGATCATTCAAGGTACGCTTCATAAATGTTAAGGCACTTAATGATGCTGAGAAATAGAAACAGAACCTTGTACATTGGACAATAACACAATTATTTTAATCCAGGGATTATAACCATTCCACTCATCCACTTTTAAAATCATATTACGTATAGACATAAAGACTGGTGGGTTGACCAAGGTTCTTTTAAACATTTCTTTGAATTTTAAGTGTTTTACTCCTCAGTATTGCATCTTGTGCAGAATTTTTAAAAGATATTAATCCCAAGGCTTTACTACACTTTCCCCCCAGACCTGAGAGACTGTACTGTACTTGAAAGAAACGTTAATTGCCATTAGGTGCTGGCACAACCATTAGACATCTTTGAAAACTGTTGAAGCTGCTGCATCTTTGAGGAGGGGCAAGTAACACTCATCCCCATTTCGTCTCAACATTTTGCCCATACACTTTGGCCATTTTGCTAGCTCTAGAAGAGCTGTTTCAATTGCTTGGTAATCATAAGGGTGAACTTTGGACAGACCTAAAAATGCTGAGGACTGAAGCACGGTGGTGCCTCCTGGCCTGTGGGAAAGTAAGCTTGAGATCACTCTCATAGTTTCTATGTGTCATCAGGTGGCCAAACTCACTGCCTCAGGGTTCTTTCATTCTAGAAGGCCAGCACACGCAGTCAAGTATGCTGATAGAGTCTCAGTGTGAGTTAGATACAGCTTGGCCAATTTTCGTCAAAAGGTTTCTTTACAAAGAAATACTCCATTTTTATTGTATTATTATTGGGTGACATTCAACTAGGTTTTACTCAAAATAAACCTAATGGGAGGAATTCAATACTGAGCTCCTCTGATTTTTGCATCAGCACAAGCATTTCTGCTTGCCAGACAGAATTATCCCCCTTCCCCTTCTAGGGATGTGAACTAAATGGTTAGGCACCTGCTGTTCACATTTTACTTGTATTAATATACTGGTGCAGCCATGATAAACACAATGTTAAACACAAGCACATGCATCTTCAGATGGAAAGGTGCATTGAAAAGCTTTGGATGGAAAAGTGTTGTATAATTTCGCTAAAGAAAATAACTATAAATAACTATGTTTTTATTGCAGCTATTTATATACCACTTAATCACCAAAGTTGCCAAACAAAGTTTCTCAGCTACTTCACACTTTTGGGAATAATATGGTGATGTTGGGGGTTGGAGAACCATGAAAGCTGCTCTGAGTTTGTTAGAGGAAAGATGGGATTAAAATATTGTAATTAATAAAATATAAAGCATGTCTGAAGGAGACTAAAAACAGGAATCATGTTCCTCTGAAATTATCAGCTGTTTCCTCATGCCTAGAAAGTATTGAAGAAGTTAGTTAATAACAATTTCAAACTTTTAGTGCCTCACCCCCTCATGGAAATGCTGTATCTCCTTTGTTTATAAGCGTTGACATTAAAAAGTTGTAGACTAATAATTCCTATGTCTGGAGACAGGACTTCCTTCTTGCTTTTCACTCAATGTCAGGTAGCCAAAGGAGACAGTGAAGACATGTAGGACTTCATTACATCTTTAATTTGGCAGCAGCATCTCTTCACTCCACTCCAAAAGTTTGCCCTCTTTCAAATTCAGTTCATTTTGTTTAGGGGGAAATTTGTTTATTTGTTTTTAAATTTATAAACTTACAAATTGCCCTACTAATGCTTTTGCACCAGGAGCTGAGAAATAAACTATACAATATTGCTCCAAACCCATCTCCATTGGAGATGGGGATTAGGGTGAGATTGAGATATTTTTTCATAGTGTGAGGGTTGGAGGGAAGTAGTTTGAAATTAAGAGATACTAGTTGTCAACAACCTTGTTGTACAGACTGGATTTATCTCCATATTGGCAATTGATGGGTGTAATGTAAACTGCATTATAATCTTCATATTTTGTATGGGAACTGGTGCATAATGGCTTGCAATTACTAGAAAAAATTCTAGTAAAGACTTGAAGAACCACCTGCTTGATATTTTTTGGCAAGATGTGCTATAGTACATCCCAGTTTTCTAATGCACAATCATGTTATTAAGATACAATTATATCTGTATCTTATAAAACTTATGTAATTTCTCCTATCTGCAGCATGTGCCTAAATCCTCTGAAACCATCACAGTCATGTAGAGAACAAATAATGCATCCAAAGCTGGCCTATCACTCACATAAAAATACCTCAGCTTTCAATAGAGCTTAAACTAATTAAATTACCTTCCACAACCCTAGCAATAATTAAATGCAGGTGCCTTGTGTCCTATTTGCATGCAGAGACATTGTGCTTTTCTGCCCAATGTTATCAAATGCAGATCCTAAACAAAACAGGATCCCAGGGGCACTTGTTACTCCTGGCTTTCCATCTCCACATATGAAACTATATTACTATATGATTTAATTAGGCAGTTCTGGTGATACTTTGAGCTGATGTGTTTGTTTAGTCACCAGATGATAAAGAGATGCTATTGTATGATGCTAATTGCAGAGTAATAAACTTCCTTGATTGTTCAGAGAACTACCAACGGAAGAAAATCATCATTGCTGATTCAAAATATACAAACTTTTTGTTGGCCGTTTGTTTGATGTTTTTATACCCTGCCCTCGTAAAATCATTACGTGAAAATCATTCATTACCTAAAAGGACCAAACATCTAATGTTGCCTCTCCCGAGTATTTCCTTAATTAAACCAGATTAAAGCAAAGGCTTCAGGTACTTTTTTCTATTGTGTTTTCTACCTACTATCAGTTTAACAAACATTTCCTCACTGAAGAGTAAGCCAATCCTTGCTGAGATCTTATCACAGAATTGCCCTTAAGTCTCTGTATTCACATACTGATGTCTCTGGTTTTTATTTATGCCACTGCCTGTCAGGTGGACGCAAAGCAGGCTTTCCCCCCATCCCTTCACGCTGATAAGATTTAATATCTGTTGAGCATTTACTTCATAATTCAAATTTTTTGCCACATAGGTGAGGCAACTATAATATAGAATGGAAAAGAAAATATCTGTGTGAGAAACAGCAAGTTCATCCAGTTCTAAGAAAATCTTCTCTCAGGTGATCCTAATATCTGTGTTCCTGAGTAAAGAAAATCAATCAATAAAAATATTGCAAGTATTGAGCTGAAACAAACATGTTTTGTGCATATTTTTTTACCCCTTTCAAAAGGATGCATGACTGGTGGAAAGGAAATGTATCCCTACTGCCAAGACAATTTGATCAGTGCATAAAGGTAGAACTCAGCTGAATGGTCCAGGTTTCAAGTCAAAAGCCAGACAAAAGCTACTTTCTGTTTTAAAAGGAACCTTCCACAGAGAGTTAATCCTCACACAATCACCATCCATTCCTCACGTAATCACCACTCCTTATCTACTCCCCTGATAAGATTAAAAAATCTGGACTGATTGGTAGCAGTTTATAACTGGGTACCTCAGCCTGGAAGAAAGGACCACATTTTTAGGATGTATCTGTATAACAGTATTGTATTTAACCGACGGCAACACAGACAAGTGCACAGAACATAGGAAGCTTCCTTATCCCAAGCCTTATCCCAAGTCAAACTACAGGTCCAACTAGCTCAGTATACCCCACACTGACAGGCAGTGCCTTTCCAGGAGATTCAGGCAGGGGATTCAAGGACTGAACCTGAGACATTCTGAACATCAACTGCCTACGTCATGGAATGCAATGCAGGCAAGTGTGTGGATTGGCAAAAGAGGGACGGATCATTCTGCAGGCCTGCTATTTACTTGTTAGATGGCCCGCTTTATGAGTAAATAGCAAAGTTAAAGAATAAAAATCTAGGTCAGTATCTTTAGGAGGCTTGCTGTATCATACATACTAAAAACAAAATGTGCAATGCTTACAAACACAAATTTAAAACAGCAGTTAACTCTCAACTTAGATACCTCATACAGGCACCCAAGCACATTTTTCTGCTGCCACCCTGCAACAGGCCAACAAAAAAACAAAATAAATGAGTACACATGGCAGTGGCTTGATAAATCAGTCAATTCATTAGGATAAAGGCTGAGTGTCCTGTATGAGTGGGATACTGGTGGCCACACCCACTTTTGATCACACCTTCTACTTGCATGTGGTCCTAGAGCCAAAAAAATCAAATCAAAGCTGACTCTTGAATTTCTATCTCTTGAACACAGCTTTTTCTGTTTCCCAGCTTTTAATATTCTGTATATAGGATGGGAAGTCATATTATTGCTGCATGTATACTGCTACTAAGAATGATTTCAAATACACTGGTGTTGTTTCTTGTGAAACTAAGCAAGTCTGGTCCTGGCCAGCAATACCAGGAGTCAACTCTTAGGAGCCGAGGTCCCTTCGCTCCCCCCAATAAAATATTTGAGTGGGCTGCCCCCCAAAAGTTGATGGGCATTGCCATTCAAATGGTGTATGTGTGCCTCATCTTGTGATCAATTATGTGGGGTGGGACTTATCTGCCTCCCAAATATTTTATTCAAGATGACACCCCTGCCAGAATGGGAAAGTAGTTGGCAATTCTTTAACAGCACTTTCTCTATGGAAAGCTAGTTAATGGTAGTCATCACCATTGTAATATTGTATTTCTCTAAATATCGACAAAACACTAAATATCTGCAGATCTTCATGTATTGAACTCATGATTTTCAGTGATCCATGAGGGATCAGGCACTGTTTGGGCATCAAAGTATTATAAGCTGATCATTGTAAGCTGGGTGATATAAACAGCTTCTGTTGTTTCCAATGGGCAAATTTCCCTTAAAAATCAGAGTAAGTAAATGACAATTCACCCCATATGTGCCAATGGTGCAATTACTTTTTCCACCTCCTTTCCTGATGGCTTGCAAAGGAACTGGCACCCAGACTAAGACACAGTGATCTTGCCAGCTCCATCTTTCCCCCCACAAAAATATATTGCTTGTATTCTTTTGCCTCATTTAAATGGTGGGCAGCACGTTTTGCTAGAATCTCTAATGCTGGCAGAGCTGGTGTGATAATTTCCTCCATAGGGATGCTACTGACAGTGTTCCCAAGAAGAAATACATGTGGAAAACGTGTCAGAACTGAAAATCAGTGTCCATGTTACAGCTTAAAGATCCTCAGGCAGAAGCCAATTGCAGGTATATGGTACCCCACTCCTGGACCTTTCCTGGGAAGCCATGGATTTTTATTTCTGTCACAATAGTTTCCACAAGTATTCCTCCATGGGATTCATTCCAAGAGCACTCTTATAGGGTAGAACATTACACTGGAATTGGGTCTCAGTGTAAACTCTGGCACAGGAGTTTTGTGACTGGCTTATAGCACTGGCAGTTGGGCATTGTGCCACATATATAGCTATTCCAGCCAAGGGGCATTCCAACTTTGTCTGTGAGTAGCGGCCATGCATGAGAACAAGCAGAGGATTTTCAACTGGGAAAATCGGATCTAGCAGCTGGGAGCATGCATGATTGACAGCCAGTAACTAGCTAAGCAAATAACCAATTACTATGTGTGAGTAAGAATCATGGCTTCACTTTGGGACATTATCAGTCAGGAGATGCATCACTGATGGGAATCACCAAGGCATAGATTTTAAGCAGGCTATTGGGGTGTTTTGTCAAAATGTAATTCTCTTTAGTGCTTCTGAGAAGAGAGCCAGATTACCTGTTTATTGGGCATTCACCCCGATTTATTTGCTAACTAAGTTTGGTATTGGTATGAGCTTTCGTGTGCATGCACACTTCACAGATCTGAAGAAGTGTGCATGCACACAAAAGCTCATACCAATAACAAACTTAGTTGGTATCTAAGGTGCTAATGGAAGGAATTTTTTTATTTTGTTTCGACTACGGCAGACCAACACGGCTACTTACCTGTAACTAGTTTATGCTGTGGTTGCACTGTACCACTGGCCATCAGGACTGGCCCACCCATGAGGCAAGCTGAGGCAACATCATCAGGTGGCAGAATTCATTGGGGCAGCAGAGTCTGATACCAATCCTTCTTTCCTTCTTGTTCCTGATGTAGATCTTCCCTCACCAGTTCTTTCCTGGTGGGGAGGGAAGTACCATTTTGCCAGATGTATAGGGCTGGCCCTACCCAGCCTTCTTTGAACATTTGCTCTGAAATATTTCCAAGGAGGTTATGTGACAAAGAGCATTAATTCTGCATTCATTATTGTGTGCTGTTTATACATATTTCCATACTTTTCAGTGCTTTCCCCTGTTCCTTTCCTAACCTCAAAGGTCCCTTAGAAATGGATTTCTTGCAACTAAAGCAATAGAGTGCTTTAATCCACTATAACTGTGCAAACTTGAATTCCCCAGTATGCTCTGGAACCTTTCCTGCAAAATGCTGACAGTCTGTAGACACTCTGAAAGTCTGGTTGGAGATGATAGATGTAAAATTGCATTATAACTTACCTGCCTGTAAGTTGGTATCAGGTGAGAGTGTTGCCTCTTGTGGAAAGTTAAGTGCTGTGCGGAAGAGTCCTCACACATCCTTACTTACTGTAGTTCACTTCTTCTCAGGGAGAAAAGAACTTAGCATCTCAGTTTCTGAGGGAACTATTTCAGGCAAAGGAAATCAAACAGTAGCTGTACAAGACAGTGTGTGGGTATTAATTGCACAGATCTCAAATTGCAGTTATCTAAGGTGGGGGCTCATCTTTCTTTGACTATGCTGCGTAAACCAACTCAATCATATTTCAACTGGAATTTGAACAGTTCTTTAACAGAGCATGATAAGCCCATATAATGCAACAGTGTTAGTCTAGCACTGGGGAGACCTGGGTTCAAATCCCCAGGCAAACATTAACTTCACTGGGTACCTTGGAGCAATCACTTTCAGCCTAACCTACTTCACAGGTTGTTGTGAGGAGAAACTGTGTCAGAGGTGAGCCACATATGCTGCCTATACTATACAGCACTTCTACAGGAAAAGGGGAAATCAAAAGCCTGCTGCATGCTTTCCTTGATCCTCCTTCCACTTCAGTTAGGCTGTGGGGTGGGGGGCAGCCTTCTACTGTAGGCAGTAGAAAGCTTTTTTCAAGCCTAATTGTTGTACAGGGGTACTTTGTGGGGAGGATTTCCAGCTGGGGAGCAAATGGTTAATTCTTGAATCTAATTAAAATACAGTAGTGTGTCTCTGTTCTTTACTCTGTCCCTTCTGTTGCTTGCCTCTCTTGCCAGATATCAGTGTATTTCATATTCTTTATCAGCTGCTCTTCCTAAACAGCAGTAATGCATATCCCAAACTGGCTGTTACAGGGGCAGGGTGGGTGTGTGTGTCCTGTTCCCAAGGTTGTTGCCACTGAGCAAAGATGGGAGACCTCAGTCTCAGGGGCCAGATGGGGCCCTCTGGTCCTCTTTATCTGTTAGGGACCAGGAGTGAGATTCCTCTTCATCAGCTAATAGAGGCAAGGACTCCAAACCAAAGGGCATGTGGGGTCAGCCTCAGAGATGCAGCTACCAGAAGAAACAACAGCTACAGCTGTGAGTATTTTGTGCTCTATAAGACTTACTTTTTCCCTCCTAAAAAGTAAGGGGAAATGTGTGTGCGTCTTATGGAGCGAATGCAGGCTGCACAGCTATCACAGATGCCAGAACAGCAAGAGGGATTGCTGCTTTCACTGCGCAGCGATCCCTCTTGCTGTTCTGGCTTCTGAGATTCAGAATATTTTTTTTCTTGTTTTCCTCCTCCAAAAACTAGGTGCGTCTTGTGGTCTGGTGCGTCTTATAGAGCGAAAAATACGGTAGTTAGTACATGCAACACTACATGTTTGGATTTACTTGCCCTTTACTATCAATTGTGAATTTATATGCTTGGACATGAAGATTTCAAGCAACCTTACTGGCCACAGGAGAGACATGGATTTTTGGTCAACAGACAAAACGCCACCAAAGAGGCAGATGCACCAATCAGAATGATGTATTGATGACCAGAATTCCAGGTTCAATTTAGGTTCTGATGATCCACCTAAGAAGCAATAAGGTAGTTTAAGTAGAAGAAATTATGACAATGTTGTGGTAGCTAGGAGGGTGGCAAGATGAGGGCCTGAAGGTATTCTTATGCCAAAACAAAAGGTCCAGAACCCATTGCTTTAATCAAATAATCATAATCTGAGGATTATCACTTTTCTGATACCTCTAATACATCAGTCTTAAAGCACAGATACATCAACCAGATGGAAGGTAGATGGTGAAATGGAAAAATCCCAATGCTGTAGACTCTAAAGTAGGCAATATTTCACAAATCTCCCAGTCTCCTGGCTTTGAGCCCAATGCAATTATAAGCAATTATATCTAACTGTTTTTGAAGCTCAGCATGAGATACATTGGGCCTGCTTTTCCACCAGTCACAATAGGGCATTCCATTGATTTCAGCAGTAGGTAGCGAGGTATGTGATTTTCCACCCAAATCCGTAGTTATATTCATTGGCCTAAGAGGACCAATTGTACTACTACAGGTAAACTGTAGATTGCAGAGGAATGCCACTGAGCTCAACACCTATCTTGTAAAGCAGAGGTTTTCAACCTTTTCTGGGTCCACAGCTTCCTTGACCAACTACATTCTTTCTGCGGCACCCCTGTGGGGCTCAGGAGCCCAGTTATATCACCCCTTGCCTGCAGAGCCAGCAGCCCCTCACCCCTTTTCGAACACCCTCCCTTGTGGAGTGTTCCCTTAGCCTCCTCTCTCCTCCCCTCTCCTTGGGAGTTCTCTGAGCAGCCACAGATGCTGCCCTTGGTCTCTGAGCTGCCCCCCCCCCCGCTCCAAAGAGAGGTGCCTCCTCACACTGCCCCACAGGAGGCAGAGAGGAGGGAGACAGAAAGCTGGAACCATTGGTGGGCTGGATGTGGGCCTGTTAACCGAAGCTGAATCCTGATAATGCAGAGGTGTTATGTGTTCCATGTTCTTGACTCAAAAGGTTGGGGAGACAGGCCTGTTCTGTGTAGGGTTGCAGTCCCCAAGAAGGAGCAGATCCATAGCATTGGCAACAGAGGAGGAGGGAGGATGCTTCTCCCTTAATTCCAACCACCAAGTTTACTGTCTCCAAACAGATTGAAACAAACCCAGTTGATATTTTGGTCTAAAATAGGCACATTTCTTTATTTGACTGGAGGGAGTAGGACAGCTTTTTCAAATCACAAATATAGCTGCTATCTTCTGCAAGAGGGACTTGGGATTTCCTGAAATGAGTTAAGTGGCCCGCAGAAGCCAGGAGAAAGCTGCACTTTCTTGCTCATTTTGGGAAATCCTGACTCCCAGAGCCACTGCATGAATAAAGATGACATGTGTGGTGGGAATAGAGCCATCAGCTCAGCATCCTGCTCCAGCAGTCCCTAGAGTGACCATGAACTTGGCAGGGCTGATGTTGCATAAAAACAGCAGAAAGAGACTTGTGAGGCTTTCTGCATCTCTGGGACACTTTCTACATGCAATATGAGAACCAATTAGCAATCCATCCAGGGCACCATCCGGATGAATAGTGAACCAAATCAGTTAGCAACTGCAGAACAGCAGAAGGAATACAGTACATTTCCAGTTTTCAACAAGTTTGTAGAAGCCACTTCTTCCCTATAGCAATCTACACAATATGCAAAAGTTCTCTTTTTACAAGACAGGCTAATTTTAAAAATACCCTTTCAAATCAGCAAGCGTTAGTGGCAGTTCAAGCAACTTCTGTGCTGTCAAAATAAGGAAATATGAAATTCCTCAGTTGGCTATTTGGAAGGTAATTTTAGAATGTTTTGATGGATACTAATCCTGTGTGCCACTCTAGCATCACCCAGTGTCTCCTAACCTGATCACAAGACACTCAGAAGTGTAGCCTTTGTCCTCTTCATGCTGTCAGGAACTGACAATCCAAAACTTCTAGAGGCATGAGGTTGCCAGATACTGTTGGTTCTGTTAGTCAGCTCTCTGGGGCATAAGCACAGTCTTTGATCAATGCTCTTTGATCAGACATCTTAACATTGATAAATGCTTTCTCTCCTGTTGCCCACTGCTTTAGCTTCTCATATGCTGTTTAGATATCCTTCAGGGAGAAAGCTGTGTAGAGAGCCCAAATGTGTCAGTATAATTCCTAAGGCAAGGGTCCAGAAGGGGTTTAACAGAACCAGATAGAGCTTCCAGGAAGCGGGTGTTAGCATGCCAGTGGCAAGTACCTTCCAAAGATATAACATCACAGAGATGGAAGGCACTTCAAAGGCCATCTAGTCTGCTCCCCTATCAATGCAGGAAACTCTTCAGCCTCTACATGTGATACTGACATGCTACCACAGTACATGGTGGAGTGTAGTTCAAACATTAGGAACGTAAGAAGCTGCATAACACCCAAGTCTCAACATTCTCCATCTTGCTGAGTACTGTCTCTGCACTGATGGGGAATGGGTTTCCTGGGTTTCAAACTGGGGCATCTCCCAGCCATATTTGAAGATGCAGGGGATCCAGCCTGGTACCTTCTGTATGGCAAGCATGTTTTCTACTTCTGAGCTGCAACCTTTCCCTATTACATAGCAAACTGCCTTATACCAAGTCAGACCATAAGTCCATGTAGCTCAATATTTTCTACACTTATTGTAAGTGGCTACCCAGGGATTTGGTCAGGCATTTTCCCCAGCCCTATCTGGAGAAATCAGGGATTCAGCCTAAGACCTTCTACATGCAAAGTGTGTGCTTGACCACTGAGCTATGACCCTTGTCTATTATTCCTTGTGTTCTGTTCTGGTTTATTGATATACCATGTTTTGGCCAAAAGGCACCCCAAGCAGCAGATAGAGAGGGGTAATGGATACCTGGGTGCTAAAAAAGACACACACATGACCAAAGATGGACACAAGTGGTTCCTAAACCTGATATTTGGTAAAGGTGCAGAGGACATTAGCAATTTAGCATCCCAAAGGTGGCTTGTCATATAGTTCTTTTTTCTTTTAAAGAAATCTTTTTATTGAAAGATTTTCATGGATAACAACAGTACATACAATGTCTCTGTTTTCAATTCATAGAGTCCTTTCTACAGGTTGATTACATTCAATGTGAGACATTGCTGTCATAGACATTGTGAGGTTACGGGGGAGAGAATGGAGGAGTAGGGGGGAGAAAGAAGGGTGAGTAATGATCTTTCATACTTTTGCTTAGTGTATGTGTAGGGTCACGAGGATAGGTTCTTTATTTGTCTATTTGTTTGCTTTTGTTGGCGATGCAAGAGGTTGGAGAACCCAGAGCATGGTTGGCTGCATTCAGTTGATTGCAATGAGTTTTCTTTGTGTGAGAGAGGGGGTGGGGGTTGTTGGGTCAAATTACGGTAGCTATATTGATTTGTATGCTGCTGGGGGTTTTATGTTGTTGCATTGTTGGGCTGTTGTGAGCCAGTGTGGTGTAGTGGTTAAGAGCGGTAGTCTCGTAATCTGGTGAACCAGGTTCGCGTCTCCGCTCCTCCACATGCAGCTGCTGGGTGACCTTGGGCCAGTCACACTTCTCTGAAGTCTCTCAGCCCCACTCACCTCACAGAGTGTTTGTTGTGTGGGATGAAGGGAAAGGAGAACGTTAGCCGCTTTGAGACTCCTTCGGATAGTGATAAAGCGGGGTATCAAATCCAAAGTCTTCTGTATACCTTCTCATATAGTTGTGAGCATGATCCTGAGAGAACAATCCTATGCACACTTAACTGTGGTCATGATCCATTAAACACAAAGGGGCTGGCATCTTCAAAGCTTTAATTATCTATTACTACCACCTTTATAAGACACCCCGCCCCTGCAATTTCCATTCTTGTGAAATAATTTATCCACACTGCTATTTCATCTACTCACATCACACAGATTTAATAGGGCTAATTCATGGACGATTATGACTTTCTTGCAGCTCCAGGATTTAATCCAGTAACAAATTTATTAAATGTGTATCATCATAGCTAATCTATTACTCGTCTATCAAGGTCACAAGATGAGTTCACAGCAGAGATCAGACTAAAAAGAAAAGATTCATTATTGCACCACCCACCCAACCATTAGCGTTCCAGCTTGTTACACAACATTTTAAATCCAGATAGGGAATCTAGATTAAACCTTCTAATCTCTGTGACATGCCAAAATTCTGTTTTTCTTCCAATATCCAGCAAATACAGATATCAAGCAAATTCCACTAACAAAAAAGTATGCCAGCATCTGTCATCAGTCAACCACATTATGAATACTATGTTTCAGAAGGAACACTGGCTTCTGCCTCAAAACTAGCCAAAGAGAGACATTCTTCTGGCAGCGCTCTGGATCTGCACTGGCAGGATTGTCACCAGGCAGTTGGCAACTTACCGTATTTTTCGCTCTATAAGACGCACCAGACAACTGGATGCACCTAGTTTTTGGAGGAGGAAAACAAGAAAAAAAATATTCTGAATCTCAGAAGCCAGAACAGCAAGAGGGATCGCTGCAGCAATCCCTCTTGCTGTTCTGGCTTCTGGGGTAGCTGCGCAGCCTGCATTCACTCCATAAGACGCACACACATTTCCCCTTACTTTTTAGGAGGGAAAAAGTGAGTCTTATAGAGCAAAAAATACGGTATTTTACAGGCCCTGCCTGATTCTAGTTCTCTCCCTTCTCCCCACGACCCATGCGAAAACAAGCAGCCAACCCAAGGCATTTTGCTGCCTGAGACAAAGAACAAGATGGTGACACACACAAACCAAATTCCAGGTACAGAAACTGGCAGCTGAATTTTCTTTCCATCCCGGGAACACCTATGAGCAACAGATTTCTGCCACTTGAGCCTACTGCCTCACTTTGCCTAATGGTTGGGCTGGTCTCTGTAAGAGGACAGTAAAGTGAGAGGAGTCTGCCGGAATGTACTTTTCTTCCAGCAGGAGGCACTGTACTATATAAATTATACTACTCTGTAGAGCCAGCCCCCTCAGTGTCTCACTGATATTCCACTTTAATTTGTTGTTCTGGACATCAAACTAAGTATTAAACTTAAATTAATCCACTGCAACATAATAACCTGCATACAAACAGTGCAAACACATCTTAATCCACATAATACTTCGATGCTTCTTGCAAACAATTCCTAAAGCGGCTTACTGTTGCCCACACCCTGAGCACCTTTCTATTTAACAGGCTCCACACACCAAGCAGCTTTCTATTACACCATATGGTGCTAAATGGCTGATGACCTTCAGCAGCTGTCGAGAGAAAGCCACCTCTAGTTTCAACCTTAGTTTTACCATCTGCTGTAAAGGAGAAGGAAACAAACACAACAAGAATTCAGTTCATCAGACTCTTGCAATCTGCCTGCCTGCCTTTATCTTCAACCTTGGTTTTCTAGAATCTTGCAAAGTTCCATCTTTCTCCCTTCAGGTGAAGAATGCAAGTAAATTAGGTACTCCATCTACAGCTTTCTTGCAGTTGCATCAGTGGGAAATCTGATCCTGATCCAATGGCCACCAGGACACTATGAGGATGTTTCTTTGCCTCAAAGGAGAAAGAGAAGGTACACTGGAAAGACCCCCACCAAGCGTGTCACCATTTCCCTCTTTACATCCCTCCATTAACTGAAGGATGATTGTCTGCAGCAGGGAGCTTCCTCTACTTGTAAAAGCTCCCTGCATTGGTTCTTGATCATATACAGAGGCTCCCTACAGAAGACAGCCCTGTAACACCTGGAGGAGTACAAACAAGAGGTAAGTGGCACATGGAGGCAGGCAGGGTTTGGCAATGCACTCTTGGTCTCCCTAACAATTGCCTGAGAAGCAAAAGCATCCACATAGTGTTTAAATCTAATAGGATTCTTGCTTTTGGGACTGAAATCAACTTCTCAGGCTGTGTGCCACACTGAATGGTAGAGGTGAGGTGAGGAGCCCAGCCAGAATTTCAAGACATATAATATATCATAGAATCTTAGAGTTGGAAGGGACCCCAAGGGTCATCTAGTCCAAGCCCCTGCAACGCAGGAATCTCAGCTAAGAAGAAGAAGAAGAAGAAGAAGAGTTTGGATTTGATATCCCGCCTTTCACTCCCTTTAAGGAGTCTCAAAGCGGCTAACATTCTCCTTTCCCTTCCTCCCCCAAAACAAACTCTCTGTGAGGTGAGTGGGGCTGAGAGACTTCAAAGAAGTGTGACTAGCCCAAGGTCACCCAGCAGCTGCATGTGGTGGAGCGGAGACGCGAACCCGGTTCCCCAGATTACAAGACTACCGCTCTTAACCACTACACCACACTGGCCATCCAACTTCTGTTTAAAAACCTCCAAGGAAGGAGACTCCACCACCTCTCATGGGAGTCTGTTCCACTGCTGAACAGCTCTTACAGCCAGAAAGTTTTTCTGAATGTTTAGTTGGAATCTTTAGTTGCAACTTGAAGCCATTGGTTTGAGTCCTACCCCCCGGAGCAGGAGAAAACAAGCATGCTTCCTAGTCCATGTGACACCCCTTAAGATATTTGAAGATGGATATCATATCTCCTCTTAGTCTCTTCTTTTCCGGGCTAAACATACCCAGCTCCTTCAAGTGATCCTCATAAGGCTTAGTTTCCAGACCCTTGATCATCTTGTTTGCCTCCTCTGCAGAAGTTCCAGCTTCTCAACATCCTTCTTAAATTGTGGTGCCCAGAATTGGACCAAGTGTGGTCTGACTAAGGCAAAAATGAGTGATACTATTACTTCCCTTGATCTGGACACTAGACTTCTGTTGATGCAGCCAAGAATAGCATTAGCTTTTTTTTTTCTTTTTTTGCTGCTGCATCATACTGTTGACTCATGTTACGCTTGTGGTCCACCAAGACCCCTAGGTCCTTTTCACATGTACTGCTAGTAAGCCAGGTGTTGGGTCCCCCATCATATATTTCTGCATTTGGTTCTTCCTGCCTAAGTGCAGAACCTTACATTTGTTCCTACTGAAATTCATTTTGTTAGCTTGCGCTAACAGTTCTCCATCTGTTAAGGTCATTTTGAATTCTGATTTTGTTTTCTGTGCCATTAACTACCCCTCCCAGTTTGGTGTCATCTGCAAATTTGATGAGCATCCCTCAATTCCTTCATCCAAGTCATTAAACAACACTGGGCTCAGGACAGAACCCTGAGGCACCCCACTTGTCACTTTCCCCCCAGGAAAATCAGGAACCATTAATGAGTACTCTTTGGATTCAGTCGGTCAACCAGCTACAAATCCACCTAACAGTTACCTTGTTCAATCCATATTTTACCAGCTTCCTCGTGAGAATATCATGGGGGACTTTGTCAAAAGCCTTACTGAAATCAAGATACACTATGTCCACAGCATTTCCCTGATCCACCAAGTTTGTAATTCCATTTTTTAAAAAATCAGATTGGTCTGGCATGTCTTATTTTTGAGAAACCCATGCTGGGTCTTAGTAATCACAGCATTCTTTTCTAAATGCTCAAAGACCAACTGTTGAATTATCTGTTCTAGGACCTTCCCTGGTATCGATGTCAAGCTCACCAGTTGGTAGTCACCTGGGTTTTCCTTTCCCCCTTTTTAAAGATGGGGACAACATTTGCCCGCCTCCAGTCTGTAGGGAGCTCAGGTGTTCACCAAGAATTTTCGAAGATAGACAAAGGCTCTAAAATTACATCTGCAAGCTCCTTTAGTACCCTTGGATGCAGCTCATCAGGTCTTGAAGATCTGAATTCAATTAAAGTAGCTAGGTGTTCCCTTGCTATATCTTTTCCTATCTTGGACTGTAGCTCCCTCCTTACATCATTTTGAGTAGTCTGGCTTTTCTCTGTCACCCAATAGCATTTCTCTATGTTCCCCACTCAAAGGACTTACCACTATCTTGTTCTTCCTCTTACTTTGAGCATAGCCAAAGAAACCCTTTTTATTATTTTTAACCTCTCTTGCAAGCCTGAGCTCATTCTGAGCTTTAGCCAGCCTGACATCCCCCCTGCAACTGTTGGTTACTCAGGTATACTCCTCCTTTGTTATTTCCCTTTCTTCCATTTCTTATACATGCCCTTCTTGACTCTCAGCTCATCTGTAAGCTCCTTATGCAGCCACACCAGTTTCCTTAGATGCCTCCCACTTTTCTTTCTTGTTGGTATTGCCTGCATTTAGGCCTTCAGTATTTCTCCTTTTAGAAACAACCATCCTTCTTGAACTCCCTTCTCATTGAATATTTCTGACCATGGGATCACACCCAGTAGCTCCTTCACCTTTTCAAAATATGTGATTGTGTCTTTAAGACACGATTGGTTAACCTCCTCTATCCATGGCATAGGTTTGGAGGGTTTGCCAAATTTTGTGGTTTTTGGTTAATTATCATCTGATCGATCAATTGATTGATCAATTGATGAATGTTGGGGGCTGATTGCAACCCCATCAGGGTGCTGGGCTGATTTATTTATTTTTGTTCTTTTTGCCACCAAACTCAATGGGGTCTTGCTGAGAGGCTAGAAAAATTTGCTTGGGGGTCTGATCAGGTCCCCTGGGACAAACTTTAGCCATCCCTGTTTTAAATTCTCACTAATCACCATGAGAAAGCGGAAAAGTCAATTGTAAGCCACATTATCTGCCATAAACAGCATGGTGTTTTATAGCACCACAACAATAAGAGAAACACTAAAGAATCTTGAAGCAACCATAAAACATGAATAAGTAGCCAGAAAGCAAATACAAGTTACTTGCCAAAGGAAGGTTAAAATCATCCAGTCAGCTTTCCAAAAAAGCTTTTTAAAAATGCCACATTTTGCCCTGATTATGAGCATTCATTAGACTATGGACAACAAAGAAAAAAGTCAGATCATGTCTGTGCTTCAAAATGGATAGATTGCACGACAGTTTAACTGCAATGACAGCAGAGAAGCCCAATTTCATCTTTGCAAACTTTAGTCAAGAAAGGTCCATGCTCTGGCCTTGTTCCCAACAGACTTTGCTCAGGCCAGAGCATATAAAAGATGTGACCATTCTCCTTGCAGTTTTTCCTGTGAAATGGAAACATCACACATTTTTTTTTATCTCAGCCTTTGTTTTCCTTTGAGTTAAGTGTTCTCAAAATTCCCTTAATAGCTGGGCAACTTTGCCTATTTCCTCCTGATAGCCCAACTCTCAAAGCAGACATCCTGTATCCCAGAGGTGTGATGGAAACTCTTTAAACCCAGATAATCCAAATTACCTCCCCCCTCCCCCACAACAAATGGAAGGTAGAGTTGCATAGTTTATCAGAGTTCTGAAGAGGAAATTCACCTTTCATAGAATTCACTTTGTTCCTGGGGGGTGGGGAGGGGGAGAGGTGGCAGGAGACAAAGCACTCTGGGGACAACAAAGACCCCTTTGTTTGCTAAAGAAAAAATACGTGACCAGCATGCAGTTTAAAATGGCTTAAGAATTTGGAACCTTTGAAAGAATTTGAAACACCCAAAAGTCATAGTAGGCAGCAATACCTAGTGTTTTTCTGTCTTCCCCATCTTTCCTGCCTGCAAAATTACTTATTTCCTTAATAAATACACATATACAGAGTTTTAAAGGGCTTAAGTCTACTCTCCAACCTACCTAGCCTCACAGAACCAGAGAATTTGGACTTTTCACTAGAAACAGGATGGGTGGGTTCTGTGGATGCCCACGTGTGTTGGGATCCACTCTTGATTCTTTTTGTAGCTGTTGCTGTCTTTTTGTGATGGTTACTATTCAGTGGTGACAGCTGGTCAATTAGTCTTTGGATTTAATGACCAATACACCCAGCATGTCTCCTTGATGAGTTCTTCAGCGACTGTGAACTATAGTTTGCTGAAGGAGCTGAAAATTCTGTTAGACAGCTTCTCTCTCTCTCTCTCTCTCTCTCTCTCTCTCTGTCACACACACACATGCATTCAAACTACAATTATCATCACAAAGGGAATATCTATTAACCACCCACTGTAACTATGTCTCATAGCTATGCTCAGATTTCACTAAGGAGTAGTTAGGCTTGCTAGAGTTCCTAAGGAAATTCATCAAAACTCAGCTGCTTCCCCAGATTTCAAAGAGGTTGTCATGCAGCCAGGGAACCCCAGAGAACAAACAGCTAAGACACAATCAAACCAGCTGGCATCACACTCACCAATAAATATTTATTTGGAAGATACTTTGTTTTTATTTTATTCCAAGGCTATGGCCTACGATTTGGACCCTCTTCCTAAACTGTTCTAAAGTAAAGCAAAACATTTGCTGCTGAGTTTAAAGACGCCCTGGTTATAGATACTTACAGATAATTCAGTGGGACTGTCTGTATGAGTATAAAATACTGTAGGAGAGTATTATTACCCTTTCCCCATCCCCTGTCAAGGCTGCAACATTATACCCCAAGTTCAAAAGCGCAAGGTCTTGGATCTGGAACTTTTCCTGCTATTGAGGACAAAAGCTGATCCAGCACTTCTTTAGAGAGCTCTTATGCTAGTACCTCAATGAAGTCTTTTGTAAGTTGCTCTTTGATCACAGCAAAGAATTTTGAAAAGTTGCAAGTTTTGTTGAGATCTGTTTTCCACAAAGGTACTCTGTTTTTCTAGCAGAATGTAGGCGAGCAAAAGAACGGATGTTACGCGAGTGGCTAAGAATGTGTGCTGTGAATGACAACAGTCCCAGTTCTAAACCTAATCTCAGTTAGGAATTGACTTAGATGATCTGAGGTTGCCTACCTTACAGGGATGTTGTGCGGATTACACCTGAAATGAGTTAGATTAGAGCCAAATGTGATCATTGTGTGTGAACTAGAATGCAGGGCACTCTGTCAAAAGACACACACACAAACGGATATCCAAATTCTACAGGTTCCTATCCATGCATTAAAAGTACTGAAGTTGCCCATTGCACACAGATAGCAAACCTGGCTGGGATGCTGAGAAATCAAACAAAGCTTGGCTTAAGATAACTGTAGCCTTAAGATGGATCGTGTGCAGGATTTCACAATTAATACATTTATCTGAGAATGTCCAGTTTAGGATGTATCTGCTCTGCAAAATAAATTCAAAACGTGTCGTGGATGCACCACTCATAAGTGGCTGGGACAGACTAATTCCAGTCCAGTGATGTCTACGCACCAGTTTCCCACCAATTTAAGCTGAGGAAAAGAGTAAGACCTAAATTAGCAATGCACATTTTATGCAAACTGGCATTCTCTTTTGTACTTTTTTTGTGATGGATAAACAGGGAAATGTATGGATTAGAAGAAACAAAAAAGTGATATGGAAATTGGCTTTTGGAAATGGAATGAGTGAAATACAGATCAGTCTTGCTGTGTCCCAGCATGAGTTGGTTAGAATTAGATTGTAGATGAGAGGACTGAGGTTGGATCTTAAGAAGAGCTTGTCATTCACAGTGGGTGCTTTGTTCATTTTTTATTTGCCAGGAAATGACTGGCATCTATCTGTGTCAGAGGCAACAATTATGAGGCTCATGAGATGGGGAACTTGTGGCCCTCCAGATGTTGCAGGACTCCAGCTCCCATCAACCCTGACCTTTGACCCTGCTGTCTGGGGTTCTTGGGAGGTGGAATCCAACAATATCTGGAAGTTTCCCCACCCCTGATATAGAATCACTAAGATCCGATTAGAATTAAGAATTAATATAAGCATTGTTCCAGACTTCTGAGCAACTGTTTCCTAGGAAAAGTTCCTGAACCGATCCTCCTTGCCTCATCTGCTCCGGAACCAAGATTCCCAGCTACCCCAGGCCTCAGCAGTCTGTTGGTGAGCTTGGCCAAGACATGACAAAACTAAGGCAAAGCAGAAAACATGACAGACTTAGTCAAGCACGGCTAAGCAAAGGATAAGCAGCACTCATACTGGAACAAGGCAAGAACATGTCAGGAGGGCAACAGGTTTTTATTTTGCTGTTTTGAGATTTCCGTCTCATACCAGCTACTCCACAGGAGAGTCTCAATGCGTTAATACCACTGAGATGGTTGATATTGTGGGAGGCAATCTTTCAGTACTTGGGCCCCAGGCCATTTAGGAATTTGGGCCCAGTAACTCACTGGCAGCTAGTGTAGTGTTTTCAAGACTACTGTTCCCATAAAGCTGTTCCACTCACCAAGTTGGTAGCTGCGTTCTACACTAGCTGCAATTTCCAGACCATCTTCAAGGACTGCCCCACGTACAGCACATTGCAGTTGTCTAGATGGGAGAGCACTAGAGCAATGGCTAATGAGACCAGCTGCCCCAGTGCAGGAATGGTTGCCGATGGTGAACCAGCCTAAGCTTGGACATAAACAGAATCCACTTGGCATGCCAGTGGCAGAATGGAATCGAGGGGCTCTGCCAGACTACGAACTTGTTTCTCAACAGGGAGTGCAATGCCTCACAGAGGTCATCCACCTAATGAGAACCACCTGGGGAGAAGCACCTCTGCCTTATCAGGATTCAGCCTCTGTTTATTGGCTCCCATCTCATGTATGTTCAGAAACCCAAACCTTTGTCAGCTAAAATCCAGCTTAAATTCCCCTTCTATCTATCAGAACATTCCTTTACTATTTGGTCAGCCAAATAGCAGAAAAGCAATAAGATAAATATGGTTAAGAAGCCAAAGAGGCTTGAGGCTAGTCTGATGCTCTTTGAATCTAACTTCTCATCCACCATGTGATCCAAGGATATGCTATCTTAAGAATTTTGTGCTGTACAGTGTTAGAGAATTAGAGCTGTTCTCAAACTTTCCATAAGAACAGACACTGCAACTTACTAATGGATCGCAGTGGTTTATTTTACTATAAAACACCACTTATCACTAATGCAAAGAATTACAGGGGTCCTTCTCAGGCTGCCTCTGGAAGGTGGATGGCTTCTCCCATAATTATTAATTCTTCATTCCCCAATACACCTTTTACCATATTTTGGACAATCAAATTTATGGTTGTTTTTAAGACAACAAGGATTTATTCTTGCTCAGAACAATAGCCCCAGAGAATCATTTCCCAATTTGTCAAAACTGGCAAAGAAACATTTTATCAGGGTTTTTTCTTTGGTTTCAAAAAATAATCTTTGTATATATCACATCAGTCATGTTTCATTAATGATTATCTACTATGAGTCAATATGGTTAAGAAATTTCCTCTCCATGTATGTGCCAAATGCTGGTGGCAAGTCTGAAAAAACAAGACCCTCTTTTCCAGTGGCTCTAGCTAGGTGCAAGCAATTTAGCTGCAGCTCCTGATCCAAAAGACCAAAGACCAGGACACAATAAAATCCAAATACTCTCCAAACAAAATTATAGGCACGTGAGGTAAAAAAACATCTTTAGACCCGGCCAATTTGGCCAAATATCGCCCAATCTCAAATCTGCCATTCTTGGGCAAGGTGATTGAGCGGGTGGTTGCTGAACAACTCCAAGCACGCCTGGAGGAAACGGACCTTTTGGATCCCTTCCAATCGGGATTCAGGCCTCACCATGGGACTGAAACTGCCTTGGTCACGCTGGTTGATGATCTCTGGCGGGCTAGGGACAAAGGTGAGAGCTGTTTCCTAGTTCTGCTGGATCTCTCAGCGGCCTTTGACACCATCCACCATAACATCCTTCTGGACCGTCTAGAGGGGCTGGGAGCTGGGGGCACTGTCATACAGTGGTTCCGCTCCTTCCTCCTGGGCTGTGTCCAGAAAGTGGTGGTGGGGGATGAGTGTTCAGATCCCTGGGCTCTCACTTGTGGGGTGCCTCAGGGTTCTGTCCTCTCCCCCATGCTTTTTAATATCTATATGAAGCCGCTGGGAGAGATCATCAGGGGGTTTGGACTGGGTGTTCATCAGTATGCAGATGACACCCAGCTCTACCTCTCCTTTAAATCAGAACCAGTGAAGGCGGTGAAGGTCCTGTGTGAGTGCCTGGAGGCGGTTGGAGGATGGATGGCGGCTAACAGATTGAAGTTGAATCCTGACAAGACAGAAGTACTGTTTTTGGGGGACAGGGAGCGGGTTAGTGTGGGGGATTCCCTGGTCTTGAATGGGGTAACTGTGCCCCTGAAGGACCAGGTGCGCAGCCTGGGAGTCATTTTGGACTCACAGCTGTCCATGGAGGCGCAGGTTAACTCTGTGTCCAGGGCAGCTGTCTACCAGCTCCACCTGGTACGCAGGCTAAGACCCTACCTGCCCGCGAACTGTCTCACCAGAGTGGTGCATGCTCTAGTTATCTCACGCTTGGACTACTGCAACGCGCTCTACGTGGGGCTACCTTTGAAGGTGACCCGGAAACTGCAATTAATCCAGAATGCGGCAGCTAGACTGGTGACCGGGAGTGGCCGCCGGGACCACATAACACCGGTTCTGAGAGATCTGCATTGGCTCCCAGTACGTTTCCGAGCACGATTCAAAGTGTTGGTGCTGACCTTTAAAGCCCTAAACGGCCTCGGTCCTGTATACCTGAAGGAGCGTCTCCACCCCCATTGTTCAGCCCGGACACTGAGATCCAGCGCCGAGGGCCTTCTGGCGGTTCCCTCATTGCGAGAAGTGAGGCTACAGGGAACCAGACAGAGGGCCTTCTCGGTAGTGGCGCCCGCCCTGTGGAACGCCCTCCCATCAGATGTCAAAGAGATAAATAATTACCCGACATTCAGAAGACAACTTAAGGCAGCCCTGTTCAGGGAAGTTTTTAATATGTAACGCTGTACTGTTTTTAACACTGATTGGGAGCCGCCCAGAGTGGCTGGGGAAACTCAGCCAGATGGGCGGGGTATAAATAATAAATTAATATTATTATATTATTATATATTTTACTAAGACGCTTTGTTAAAATGAAGAGGGTTTTCTGAGGTGTTGCCACAGCATGCTGCTGCTGACACAGGAAACTTCTTTAAAAGCAGGCATGTCCAACAGGTAGATGATCTACCAGTAGATCACTGGATGTCTGTGGTAGATCACCAGTAGATCAGTGGCTCCCTCCAAAGAAGCTAAAAAACTTTGGCTCCCCTAAAAAAAGCTCAACATCTTTGCCCTGCACCCCTAAAAAGGGAGTAGATCACTGCCAGTTTTTAACTCTGTGAGTAGATCGTAGTCTATTGGAAGTTGGCCACCCCTGTTTAAAAGCAGAGTAAAGTCTTTACAAAACTTTCATGCTGAGTCTGTACTGCTGTTACTCTCTGACACTGTCTCTTTGAGGTACAGATCTTCTTGCAGACTCTCTATCTGCAGTTGCAACCCTGATTTCTTTTATGCAGGCTCCCAGCACAGGTCCAGACCCCCCAGCTTAATTCTCACCCTTCTTGCATTCCACTTCCCCATGCTTACTCTTTCACACAAACCTGGCTTGATGGTGTTCAGCATCTCATGCCCCCGCCTTTTCCACTGCCCTTTGTCTCCCACCATCCTCCCAGAACGATTTTTGCAGGAGCGGTCCATATACTCTTCTGCTGCCATGGCAAGTCCTCTTAGGAAACTCTAGATAGCACCTCGAGCTCCAATCTGAAAAGGGGATTGTTCATCTGACCAGAACACAGATAATATATTTTCAGGGTGGCTCCAATACTCATTCTTAATAATTTATTTATTGGATGCCCTGCCCTTCCTCTGCAAGTAGACCAGGGCAGCATATAGATATAAAATTTAAAGACCAAAAACATTCTAAAACAGATTAAAATGTTATAAAAACAATTATAAATAAAAACATCTAAACACAGTTATAGTAAAATACAATCTAAAAGCAATTACAAGTAAACATACTTTCATCCAATGATCCGTATTCTTCAGCCACCAAGTATATGAGTAAGCAGGAATGTTTTTAAGTTCCTGCTGATGGAGACAGGCAAGCCACACTAGGGAGGGCATTCCACAATCAGCAAACCACCACTGAAAAGATCCTGTCATCGGAAAGCAACATGGGAATTTGTATCTCTCCTTCTTCTAGCCAGGCTTCAGGCTTTAAGGAAGGGACTAGCATGATAAGGAAGTGTAATCATTTTCAACGTTTTCTTTAATAACATATTTTGTGGTCCAGTCTACTTTCCAATTTACACACATCTCTCTTGAATTTGTTAAAAACCCAGCTATTTCCTACACCAAGGCCAGAGATGGAAGGCTTCCACATCATTCCAACCTGCTATAACGTACATCTACTTTAAGAAAATAAAACATCACTTGTCCCATTAAGAATATAACTTCTCTGGGGGAGGGTATTTCCCCCCAGAGTCACCTCCTGGTCCTCAATTTAGTGTGGCAGGCAGCTTAGCTAGTAGCTTGGCAACAGGGTGACCTTGTGCTCTGTTGGGTTTCAAACGTTTTATTAGCCACACTGGACTCTCTCCATCTTTCTCTGCCCTGCTTCTTATTGCTGAGCCCCTCATTAGTGCAATTAATAAGCCGCTTCTGTCAGGGCAATCAAATGCAGGGCTCTACAGCAGCCAAAGGCTTTGGCAGATCAAGTAGGGGGGATTCCGGGTCGCACAGTGGAATTATAGGGAAGGCTTTCATCTCTCCCCACAGGCCCAAACAGGACTGGAATTGTAGGGCTGGGATTCTCTCAGGTCACGTTTATTTAATGCCACTTTTTTGGTAGAATAAATCAGTCCCCCCCCCCCTCCGTCATTTTGGATAAAGTCACAGGTTCGTTGGAGAACTTGGCAGAACACCCTGATGTTATTAGTGATGGGTTGCACAAAGCCCTATGCAAGATATAGTCTTGGACTCAGCTTCCCTTTGAGATCTCTCTCTCTCACACACACACACACACACATGCTCACATACACACTGAATGTGTGCGCAACAGGCCTGCTTTGTTGTGGTTCATACCAGGGCAGGGACTGTAAGGTGTCATCAACTCACAGTGCCACACAAGCACATGGGGGTGGGCGGAGCACTAAGGAATGATGCACTCAGATGCTGACCTCAGATGCCTCTAGGCCAATAACCCAAATGTGTCCAACTAACTAACCTACCCCTGGGGAACTATGGGCATGCCCAACATCCTACCAGATCCTGGGAGCGTTGTGGCCTGAACTCATTGACGTTATTTGTTATCTCTTAATTCCAGTGATTCCCCAGAGGAATCCAAAAATAATACAAACTGAACACACACACAGAGAGAGAGAGAGAGGGAGCGCTAATAAAACGTTTGGGCTGTTCCGGGTTTGTTCTTTTCCAGAGGCCTTGCAAACACCATTCAGATGTTGTCTCCGTGTGTTAATCGGGTAGCCAACAAATGTTGAACTATGACTGCCACCATCCCTGACCATTGGCCATACTGGCAGGGGCTGATGGAATTGTAGTCCAACATAATTTGGATGACACCATGTTGACTACTCTTGCATTAACTAAATGGAATAGGATGGAGCAGAGCTGAGCCCAGTTGGCCCTGCCTCTGTGCATTAGGTAAGGAGGTGGGGTCAGCAGGATGCAGTGACATCAGGGGTGGGGATAGCAGACATGCCGCCCTCCCTAGCCTAGCTTAGTTTAGCATAGAGCAGAAATTACTCAAGTAGCTACAGTCAAACCCGTACAGTGGTACCTCTGGTTATGTACTTAATTCGTTCCGGAGGTCTGTTCTTAACCTGAAACTGTTCTTAATCTGAGGTACCACTTTAGCTACTGAGGGCTGCCGCCACGCGATTTCTGTTCTCATCCTGAAACAAAGTTCTTAACCCGAGGTACTAGTTCTGGGTAAGCGGAGTCTGTAACCTGAAGCGTATGTAACCTGAAGCATATGTAACCCGAGGTACCACTGTATTTGAAAGGTATACTAACCCCATTCCACCCAAATCAGCAAAAGTGCTGATCTCCCCATTCAAGTTGGGGACAATATCTATTTTAAATTGATCCACAAGGATCTATGTATTAAAGAGCATGATGACACAAATTGTACCTCAATTTTTTTGGATGTCACCACACTGGCTGCCTTAAGCAATTTGGTGAAAATCAGGGGGCAATACCTTTCTCTGCCCACCCTTTAGAAAAGAGACTCAAGCAACAGTAACTGCCTTTGTGGTAGGCTGGTTACAGCATTCATTACTGTGTGATCATGCGAGAGGTAAGGGGGTCACCAACATTTTAGTTCCGTGGGCATATCTGGATTTTTGAGCAAGTGCCATAGGAAAACCCCTCTGGTTTCTGCTCACTCCAACCCCCGCAAGAGACAGAAAGAGAGAAAGTACATGCACGTATACAGATTTCGCTTTTTCAATGGACTATGTAAAAATCAGATCCAGTTGAATTGATCTTAGCCCTGAAAAGCACAGTGAGCTGAAAGTGGAAGTGGGAAAGAGCATCAGTCTTGAACTCCTTCCTTCTACTCAAGGGAGAAAAAAGTAATACCTTTACCACCTCATGCGGGGGGGGGGGGAGTAGTGGACCAGCGGGGGGCGGGGCTCAAAGCCTTCATGGGCACCAGGAGAAGACCTCAAGGATGGCAGGATTAAATAGCTCAGACATAGAAACAAAAGGAGAGATGGGCAAAACCAGCAGAGATTAAACTAATGTAACAGCAGCATAGCCAACTGGTGTGCCTCAATCACATCTAAAGCAGGTGGTAGGAGTGCAATTTAAAGTATCTATTTAAAGGGGTGCATAGATAGGAGCTGAAGCTTCTTCATACCATTGATGCACCTATTTTTTCTCCTGAGTGGAGATGGAAAGTGGCCCACATGCCACTTTAAATTGCAGTGCAGGTGATTAGGAAGATGCTCATTTGAAAACACAGCTCTCCCTTCATTGCGTGTAAGTTGGTCCCAAGTCAACTAGAAAAGAGAAGGCAACAGGGAAATGTGCCTCTCATTCTGCTGAAAGCTCAGGGTCTCCTGTCACAAGTTATCACAAGTTATCTCCTCCCTACGATTGATGCACAACAGACTCTTTAAGACCCCATGCTGATTTAAACAGCCTTGTGCATTTCAAAGACTGGTATAGTTTTAACTAGATTTTTTTTCTGAAGGAAATAGAGCAATAAAGCATGTGAAGATGTCAAAGACAGGTCTTGGGATAAAGAATAAGGGCACAACAATAATTGCATTTAAATGCTCCCTAAGAAAACAGTCAACAATCTGTGCTGAGATCCCCAAATACAACTAAAAGAACTTCAGGAAGTAATTTACCCTTATTTCTGGATCCAAGTGCTTTTTAAAAAGCTGTGAGTCTGTTCGTACCGTGACCTTAACAGTAAGGCTGGAAGATCACTGTTAATACTTTTGTGAAAGAAATGTAAAGTTGTAAGCAGTGCACCTTGCAAACTGGTCTGAACTTGCTGATGTCCAGGAGGGAAAAAGTTAAAGCCCAAAGGCCAACTAGCTACTGCAACTTGTATAATGTTTAGCATTTGGGCAATGAGGAGCAAAGTTTGATCACACTTGGGTGCAGAGGGGAAAGGAGCATCCAGCAAAGGCAGAGAAAATGGAAGATGAGGCAACCCACTTCTCTTGGGGTCAGTGCTGAGTACTTTGTAATGTTGCTGTCAGATGGTCGTCATCGGTACGAACAGACTCACAGCTTTTGCGTCCAGCTTGTGCCAAGTGTGTGTTTCCTATGTTTGGCTGAACTTTGCTCTGGCTTTCAAGTTTGTAAAATAAAATGGCCTTTGAATCCTGTTGCAGCTTTAGGACATTTTTAAACCAAAGGGCCTGACCTTAGCTTAGTACATCCCTGCTGGCTTCCACAGGGATACCCTGTGCCCCAGTTGGAGTACAGCCTGTTACTCAGAGGCTTGTGCGGTTCATGTATGCAAAGAAACAACATATCCTTTGACTTTCTGGCATAGAACTTCCCAAACTAGAGTTAGCTTTTTGGCATGTCCAGACAATGTATCTGTTGATCTGTTATCCTGATCTGTTTTCAGGAAGATTAAATGATGTCAGCTATTTAATGAGCATTCACTCAGATTTGTTCATGTGGAGGCTACACAACATCGCATCAAAGCGGGTGCTATCCTAAGCTTTCCACTGCATTTTTCTATCACTTCCTTATCACAAAAATCTGATTTCTGGGGAGGTGGGTTTGTTGTGCAAGAGCTCTAAATCAGCTTTAATTGCGCAGTCTAAATTTGTTAGTAGGCCACTGAATCCCATTGAATCTGAAGGCATTTTTGACTGAGTACATATTACCCTTTATTCCAGCTCCAGTTCCTTCCTACCTGTGATGAGATGATGAGCTGCTTGTGCATAAAATCGTATCCCTTCAGAGTTTGTTCAAGTCCACAAACCTCTGTCTGTGACGGAGCCCCTCAGACATGGCCTCTCTAGTCACTAGCAGATTCCGACAGTGGTTGCTTTCGTAATCGCTTCCAACATAAAAGCTCCTTAACGGAAACACGTCTTCTGGACTCTCTGCGTGACAGTTTCCGGCGAGGAGTGGGTGTTCTTACAGGAGGTCCTGAAACCTCCCCACTGTTTTCGCTGGAAGTGTCTCTGAGCCATCCCTCCAGCTCAGCTCCTCTCCCCCTGCTGGTTCCCTCTTCAGCTGCTGCGTCTCTCCCAACCTGTGTGAGCCCTTTCACCTCCCTGCTGGTTCCCTCTTCAGCTGCTGCGTCTCTCCCAACCTGTGTGAGCCCTTTCACCTCCCTGCTGGTTCCCTCTTCAGCTGCTGCGTCTCTCCCAACCTGTGTGAGCCCTTTCACCTCCCTTCCGTCCGATGGCAGTTCCCTGACATCCACCTCCCCTCCAGGGCCCCCTTCACCCCCTCTCGCCCCCTCCTCTACGGGCGGTGAGGAGGCAAAACCCGGAATGAACTTCCTTCATCTTCCGATGTCTCGAACACTTCTCTCAACCTGTTGCGGTTCCTGGTCTCGAAGTACACCTCCTCCTCAGAGTCCATCTCCCCTTCCCCTTCCGAGTCCGGGAATCCTTCCAACTCCTCCCCTTCATCAGTGGTCCCAAAGTATTCCCTCCGGAACCTCTCCACAGGCTGAGGTTTCCTTGGGAACCTTTGATGGAACGTTTCTATCAATACCTCGTCATTGATATCTTCGGCCATTACCCAAGTGTTTTCTGACTCCGGTTCTCCTTCCCACGCTACCAAATACTCCACCTGATCCCCCTTCCACCTGGCGTCGAGGATTTCTGCCACATGGCTGCTGCATTCTCTTTCTTCTATGACCGGTCCAGTGGCCAGCCCTTCTCGTCCCCCTTCGTACGGTGACAGTAACGACCTGTGAAATACTGGGTGCAGTTTCATGTGGTTGGGTAACCGGAGCCTGAAAGCCACTGGGTTGACCTGTTGAATGACCTCAAAGGGACCCAACCTCCTGGGTCTTAATTTCTTACAACCTCCTTTGAACGGCAGCCCTTGGGTTGACAGCCACACCCTATCTCCCACCCTTATGGTTTCACCTTCCCTTCGGTTCTTGTCTGCCTGCCTCTTGTATTCTTCCTTCGCCCTTTCTAAGTTGAGTTGGAGCTGACGATGGATTGCTTCCATTTCTTCCACAAAATGCTCGGCTGCCGGGACGCTCCATCTCTCCCCATCTCCCCCTGGGAAAGCCCTGGGATGACACCCATAATTAGCCAAGAAGGGGCTCATCCCTGTGGACACATTCTCGGCATTGTTGTAGGCAAATTCCGCCAGCGCCAACTTTTCTACCCAGTCATTCTCTCTGTCATTGACATAACACCTCAGGTATTGCTGGAGGACACCGTTTGCTCTTTCCGCCTGCCCGTTGGTTTCAGGGTGCCGGGCAGTCGAAAAATTGACCTCCACCTGCAGTAAGCTCATGAGCTTCCTCCAGAACCTGGAAGTAAATTGTTTTCCTCGGTCTGAGACCACCCTCAATGGCACCCCGTGCAACCTAAAAATGTGTTCTACAAATAACTCGCTGTCTCTTCCGCCGTGACTGCATGCGAGCAAGCTACAAAGTGGCACATCTTTGTTAGTAGGTCTACCACCACCATGATGGCTGTTTTCCCTTTGGACTTCGGCAGATCAGTCATAAAATCTATCGACACTGCCTCCCAAGGTCGTTCTGGGGTTGGTAAGGGTTCTAATAGCCCCGCCGGCGCCCGCCTTTCCCCTTTGGCTCTCTGGCATTGCTTGCACCCTCTTACATACTCACGTACATCTTCCCTCACCTTAGGCCACCAAAATTCCCTGGTGACCAACCACATGGTTTTGTGTTGTCCAAAATGCCCCGCCGTAGGGCTGTCGTGCAACTGCTTGAGTACCCTCCCCTTAACTCTCCTTCAGGGATATACAGTGCCCCTTTGTAATACAAAGCTCCATTTCTTTCCTCGAAACCCCCTGGTTCCTCTCCCTCACTCCTAAGACCTCTGAGCTTATTCTGGGCGTATTCATCATTCTCTGTTTCCTCTACCAGTTCTCTTTGTCCCACCAATGCCGCCCCACACACCCAGCGGTCCTCTGGAATGACATGTCTCTCTTCGGGTGCCCCCTCTCCCTCCAAATATTCTGGTTTGCGTGAGAGAGCGTCCGCCCTAATGTTCTCTGGGCCTGGCACGTAATTAATCTCAAAATTAAATTTGGAGAACTCCTGGGCCCATCTCACTTGCCGTTGGTTGAGCACTCGTGCCGTCCTCCAATACTCTAAGTTCTTGTGGTCAGTGCACACTTGCACCTTATGTTGTGCGCCAATTAGCAGGTGCCTCCATCTCCGGAACGCCTCATGAATGGCTAGTAGTTCTCGGTCATACACCGTGTAGTTCCTCTCGGATTTGTTCAGCTTTCGCGAAAAAAAAGCACACGGTCTCCACTCTGACCCCTTCTTCCCTGGCTGCAGAAGCACCGCCCCAATCGCTCTGTCTGATGCGTCAGTTTCCACTCTCATCGGTTTTTGTAAATCCACATGCAGGAGTTGTTGTTCCGAGGCGAAGGCCCTTTTTAGCTCCTCAAATGCTCGCTCCGCCTCCTCAGTCCACACGAACTTCTTCTTACTGCTGAGACAGTCCGTAATGGGCGCCGTCAGGTGGGCAAAGTTTCGGATGAACTTACGATAGAAGTTCCCAAATCCTAGGAACCTCTGCACATCCTTCTTTGTTTTGGGTGTTTTCCATTCCAGCACCGCCTGGACCTTGCCGGGATCCATGGCCAATCCCTTGTCAGACAGGCGATACCCCAGGAATTCCACCTCCTTGGTATGAAACTGACACTTCTCCAGTTTCACCCACAGCTGGTTGGCTTGCAGCCTGCTCAACACTTCTCTGACGTCTCTCACATGCTGCTCCTCATTCTCAGAATACACCAACACGTCGTCTAAAAGGGCCACACAATTCTTGTAAAGCAAAGGCCCCAGGACGTGGTTCATAAACGATTGAAATGTTGCGGAGCCTGCTTGTAGGCCGAAGGGCATAACCAAATATTCAAATGCCCCTAAAGGGGTGAACATAGTGGTTTTCCATTCATCCCCCTTCCTTATTCGTACCAGGTTGTACGCCCCCCTTAGGTCCAGCTTTGTGAAAATCTTTCCCTTCCGCACCCTTGTCAAAATGTCGTCAATCCTGGGCATAGGGAAGGCTACTGGTTCTGACACTGCATTTAAGGCCCTGAAGTCACACACCAGCCTCGGCTTGTTCGTGTTTTTCTTATCCACAAAAAACACTGGGCTGCCCCCTACCGCCCTGGACTCTCTGATGAACCCTCTCTTCAGGTTCTTGTCAATGAACTCTCTTAACTCCTGCATCTCTCTGTCTGACATGGCGTACAGCTTGCCTACAGGGAGCTGTGCTCCAGGAGTAAATTGATTTGACAGTCAAAGGGTCTATGCGGGGTAGTTGGTCAGCTTCCCTTTCGCTGAAGACGTCACGGAGATCTGCATATTGTCGTGGTACCTTCACGTTCTCTGTTACTTCAGTCCCTGCTAGGGTGGCTTGGACCCCTGCCAAACCCTTTCCCTCTTTGCAGTGTTCTAAGCAATGTGCTGAACCAAAAGAAACCACTCTCTGATGCCAGCCCACCAGCGGATCATGTAACGCTAGCCAGCTCATCCCCAATATAATGGGAGCTCCTCCCAAGGTGGCCACATTAAAAGCTATCAGTTCGGTGTGCCTTGCTACCTTCATTATCATTGGGACGGTCTGCAAGCTGACTTCTCCTCCCAACAACTCCCTGCCATCGATCGTGGTCACCTGCAGGGGCTGCTTAAAGGGATCGTCTGTATCTGGTGTTCAGCTGCAAACTCTTTGCTCATGAAATTGCAGGAGCTGCCTGAGTCCAACAGCGCCTTTATCTTTAGAGGGTGTCCGTTTGGCAGCTCTAGCGTCACTTCTATCACTAGGGCGGGTTTAGGAGGTTCTGGCGTGGGCACTCTCACTGCTCTTTGGCCTGGCTGCTGTGCCCCGACAATGGCAGCCAGGCGTTGGCTTTTACTTGCTCCGGTATATCTTCCTCTCTTCCATCCACAGCTCCTACCATCCCTTGCCATTCTTTCCTCTGGGGGCAGACTCTGGCAAAGTGACCTGGCTGTTGGCAGAGATAGCATTTCCGGGCGCCTTTTCCCTCCTTTTTTCCCCCCTCACTGGGCTTTGAAACTGCGCGCGCGCGCGCTGTTCCGATTTCCATCGGCTCTGCCGGTGGGAAAGTTGGCTCTGGAATGTCTGGAATGCGGAACTCCTTCCAACGTTCCCCTTTCCCTTCCCGCCTCTCCAATGCTCTCGCCTCCTGGCGCGCTCCTATGGCTAGCGCTGATTTGGTCAGCTGGTCCATAGACTCCACCCTGGGCGCCCGGGAAAGTTCGTCTTTCACAGCCGAAGAAAGCCCTTCTTCAAAGAGCATTTGAATGGGTTCCGCCGATAAGTCCCACCCCAATCTGTGAACAAGCATGGTGAACTCAGTCCAGTACTCACGGACAGATCGGCTCCCCTGTTTGCAAGCCATTAACTGTCTGCGCACCACTCCCTTTTCAATATCGCTGGAAAACATCAGATCCATGGCGCGAAAGAACTTCATTGTGTCCTTTAGGACGTCACTATTCGCTGCCATCAGGGGTCTAACCCAGTCTCTCGCCCCCTTTTCAAGATGCTCAATCACGAAAGCCACTCGTGATTCCTCGTCAGGGAATTCATCAAACTGCAGATTGAGGGCATATTGCATTTCTGTCCGAAAGCCATGATAGTTTTGGGCTCCCCCAAACTTCTGCACCAATCCCGGTACCGTCCTGGCCACCTGGGTGGCTTTCCCCTTTTGTCTGCATCCTGCGCCCTCCTCTCCTCAAGCCTCGCCGTCTGCATCGCTAGCTGGACCTCCAACACCCGGTACCTTTCTTCCAGGCTTGGACCCACTCCAGCTCCTGCTTCTCCGGTTCCGGCTGGGTTGCTCATGATGCCTTCTCCTGCACAAGCTGCTTTCAAAGACTGTCGGAATGCTGTGATGAGATGATGAGCTGCTTGTGCGTAAAATCGTATCCCTTCAGAGTTTGTTCAAGTCCACAAACCTCTGTCTGTGACGGAGCCCCTCAGACATGGCCCCTCTAGTCACTAGCAGATTCCGACAGTGGTTGCTTTCGTAATCGCTTCCAACATAAAAGCTCCTTAACGGAAACACGTCTTCTGGACTCTCTGCGTGACAGTTTCCGGCGAGGAGTGGGTGTTCTTACAGGAGGTCCTGAAACCTCCCCACTGTTTTCGCTGGAAGTGTCTCTGAGCCATCCCTCCAGCTCAGCTCCTCTCCCCCTGCTGGTTCCCTCTTCAGCTGCTGCGTCTCTCCCAACCTGTGTGAGCCCTTTCACCTCCCTGCTGGTTCCCTCTTCAGCTGCTGCGTCTCTCCCAACCTGTGTGAGCCCTTTCACCTCCCTGCTGGTTCCCTCTTCAGCTGCTGCGTCTCTCCCAACCTGTGTGAGCCCTTTCACCTCCCTTCCGTCCGATGGCAGTTCCCTGACACTACCTTTTACAGTACAGTCGTACCTTGGATTCCAAATGCCTTGCCAGTCAAAGGTGGTGATTCCCAAACGCTGCAAACCCGGAAGTGAGTGTTGCAGTTTGCAAATGTTCTTTGGAACCCAAATGTCCGACGCAACTTCCACAGCTTCCAATTGGCTGCAGGAGCACGGGAGGCCATTGGGGAGAGAAGTAGCAGAAATCCTGTTGCACAAGCAAAAGGCTTTGCACTAATAGGATGATGTTGTTGTATATAACCCATGAATTCTGCTGGTTTTTAGAGGGGAAAAATGGTGGTGGTACATATGTTTAAATATGATAAAATGGGTGTGTGTGTGTGTGTGTGTGTGTGTGTGTGTGATGACCCTTGGTCAATCCTTTGGTTGTTATATGTGTCTAAGAGGTGTTATTTGGCATTGTTACTTCAATTACATATTTATATATTGTTTCAAAGAGTGATGCACGATTTTTGAATTATTTCACCTTTATCTGTAGATTTTGAGACTGCAGTTCTCATTTTCATTCAGTCAGGATTGTGGGTTATATTTGTTTACACAAAGTAGATACACTGAAATTTATGGCCATGACTACCTTAGGTCCATTAATTTCAATGGGTCTACTCTGCGTAAAGGTTAGCTGCTTGTGTTTCTGCTTTGTGGTTCCTTGAGGGGAGCCTTTTGATCTTGGTTTTCTGAAATTTACTTCAGCACTTGACCTGCACACTGGGCTAAATGTTAAATTGTACCTAATTTCTTGTAAAATCCAATATGGGAAGATAATTATTTTTTCTTTATTTCATACTCCCTGAGAGGCATATTTCCCAAAAAAGATAACTACATTGCTCAAATTATTCTGTTTGCCAACCACTATTAATCTCTTTCACCAAACAACTCTTATTTAAGTTTGAAGAGCTGGAAGCATACTAAATCTCTTGTTGTAATTAATAACAGCATAAGCACAACTTATGCAAGTTTTGTACATGTAGCCAATTTCATTTTAGAAGATATTCTTCTAAAGATGCTCATCCTTTCTCACAGCTTCAGGGCACACAGCTGTGCTAGAATGGCTCAGAGATTAAGATCTAGAACTCACTGGATACACTGCGCACAATCCCATCAATTTGATAATAGTTTCTTCCTGAGCAATACTTGGCTACTTACACAACACTTGCCCTCTCTGTGCATTGCAGGTCACTTTTCCCATGGGGCCTCCACAAACTGTACACCTTATACGTTTTGTGATGTACAGATCTCATGGTTGAAGCCTATACACATTTGCAATGTATATTTGGGGCTCTATGTAAATGTGATGTTTTAACATGTGGACATTGTGGGGTGGAGTGGCTATCCCAGCAGAGAGCTGCCACAGAAGTTCTGGGGGAGTTTGTTTTGTCCCTAAGGAGCCCTGACGATTAGGTCCAGTCGTGACCGACTCTGAGGTTGCGGTGCTCATCTTGCTCTATGGGCCAAGGGAGCCGGCGTACAGCTTCCGGGTCATGTGGCCAGCATGACTAAGCCGCTTCTGGCGAACCAGAGCAGCGCACGGAAACGCCATTTACCTTCCTGCCAGAGTGGTACCTATTTATCTACTTGCACTTTGATGTGCTTTCGAACTGCTAGGTGGGCAGGAGCAGTGACCGAGCAACGGGAGCTCACCCCGTCATGGGGATTCGAACCGCCGACCTTCTGATCGGCAAGTCCTAGGCTCTGTGGTTTAACCCACAGCGCCACCCGCGTCCCAAGTTGTTTTGTCCCTAGGGTTTGACAAATATGCCTAGATGCCAGACCACAAGAGATGTAGCCTGTTACAAAATGGTCTGGGCTGAGGTAGGATGAAGACTGCCCCAGACTGCAACTTGCTTTGGTCTGATTCATAGCAGGATATGGGTTAGTGGAGCCAGAAATTTTAAGTGGGCAGAGTGAAGCTCTGCAAAGCATGCTCAGAAGGCTTCTAATTTGGAGCTGCCAGTGCATGAGGTTGGCTGGTTTTCTTTTTTGTGTACCTCTTGGTTCAGCTCAGAATTGAGAAAAGCATTTTAAATCCTTTGCCCTAGAGGAGGTGACTTACCAAGGTGTGCTGGCTTGGTTACTGCATTTTTATGTAAATCTTCCTGCAGGCAGCTGCTTCTGCTGTCCTGGGGTCTGCTGGGACATAACAAGAACCAAAGAAGAGCCCTGTTGAATCAGACTAGAGGACAATCCAGTGCAGCATCCTTTCTCCCACCATGGCTCAACAGGTGCCTATGGGAACCCACAAGCAGGACATGAGCAAAGTAGCACCTCTGGCTGTTGTTTTCCGTGTGTGGCAAGAAACAATAGTGACTTATCTCAAAGAGCTTAGATTTCGGCTATCTCCAGGATCAGAGGCAGCTTGTCTCCGAATACCAGCTGATGAAGGAGATCTCAAAGGAGTTGTGCCACACAGGGGCAGGAGGATAAGACTTACAGCAAGGTTTAAATATGTGTTCTATTGTAAACACACACACCACAAAACCTGTGCCTTTTAAAAGCATGTGCTGTGCCTACTTATTATTTCGCTGATAGCAACTATAGCAATAGAATCAATACAAGTCAAAGCAGTTCATCAGCAAATACACACTGAAAGGGAGTGGAGAAAAATCTACCCCTCTTACCACCTTGATTGTGATTTGACTGGGTGTTCAATGAAGTTGTGAGATAATTAAGCTACGTTAAGCGGTCTTGAACGTGCACACTAGTGTTTCTTTACTTTTTTATTACATTTATATCTCACCTTTCCTCCAAGGCTGCTCAAGGTGGCATACACAGTTCTCCCCCTGCACATGTTATCCTCATAATAGCCCTGTAAGGTAGTTTAGGCTGAGAGACAGTGCCTGGCCCAAAGTGAGCTTCATGGCTGAGTAGGGATTTGAACCCCGGTTTCCCCAGTTCTAGCCCAGTGTTCTTAACAACTGCACTGCCACCGGCTGAATCAAAACATGCTTGATAAAAGCTGTTCTAGTTTTTTGCAGCAAGTAACCACTATTTTACAGAGACGTTGCTGTGTCGCAGTTTTCCAGATTCACTTTGTGTGTGGTGTTTGCTACAGGTGTTGGGGGTCGATTTTATCGGGGGGGAAGGGAGACAGCAGTCCCCTCCCTGTCAAGCAAGAGAAGCTTTGCAGGCATTGCAAATGAGCTGACATTCTTCTACCAATTCACTTTGACTTGTTAGCAGGTGCAACGGTGAGGAATGGACAAATCACTTTGCTGAAGTGGGAAATGGAACAGCAGTACACCATTTAATCCCAGCTGTGGTGAAGGCAAGCTTTGTCAGCATCTCCTGCATAAAGCTCTAAGGTGGGAATCAAATCCAAGACCAAGTGGCAACTTTCTCTCTCATGAGCAAGAACCTAGGTAAAGGTAAAGGGACCCCTGACCATTAGGTCCAGTCGTGGCTGACTCTGGGGTTGCGGCGCTCATCTCGCTTTATTGGCCGAGGGAGCCAGCATACATCTTTCCGGGTCATGTGGCCAGCATGACTAAGCCACTTCTGGCGAACCAGAGCAGTGCACGGAAACACCGTTTACCTTCCCTCTGGAGCAGTACCTATTTATCTACTTGCACTTTGACGTGATTTCAAACTGCTAGGTTGGCAGGAGCAGGGACCGAGCAATGGGAGCTCACCCCGTCGCGGGGATTCAAACCGCCAACCTTCTGATCGGCAAGTCCTAGACTCTGTGGTTTAACCCACAGCGCCACCCGCGTCCCAAGACCTAGCAAGAACCTAGGTGCACTGAATGAGCCCTGGCAGAGCAGCGGTGGGCTTTGGTGTCTCAAATTTCAACGGTGCCCTGTGGAACACCAAAATTTGGTGCCCCCACCTCTCGCCTTCCATTTCTCATTACAGTTGTGAGGCCCCTGAGGCCCCGTGCGCAGTGCAGCTGAACTGGTCACGCTCCCCTAAATCTGCCTCTGGACAGAGGATCCTCAGTGATCCGTAGCAGATTGTAGATGGCTGCAGTTTCAGTGCCCTATCATGCCAACATGATTTGAGAAGAAGGTGGTTCAGAAAGAGCTGCTGCTTTGCCTTTAGGCTTTCTGAAGCTTTAAGAAGCATCTATGCCTTTTCTAATTCCAGTGCTCAGATTAATGTCCTCATCCTCAGGCCCTTGCACACAGCGGTAGGCTGTCTGTACAGAAGAGCACGCAAAGATCTCTGGGTTCTTACGCGTGGTACAAATTCATGCTGGGTTGGGTAGGCCCAGGAGGTACAGCCCATTTTGAAAGTTCAAAAAGTCTCAGAAACCTGATTGTTTTCAGAACCTCTCCAGGTCATCAAGACCGCCAGGTTAAACCCTGTTGCTTAGCCTTCTAGTGCCATCTACTGGTGATGCCTAGAGAAATCAAAGAAGTTCATGTCAGCAACTGCCATACACTCTCAAGGCCACTTTGCATGCTATATTTTTATGACTAATACCACATTGCAAAATATTGCAATGGAAGGTTTGATACACGCTGCTACTCAACAACAACATTATGGGAGGTGGTTCAGCTGTGGCCATGTCTGTCTCACAGAGTACAACACACTTTTTTGTGTGTATTTCATTCATATATCACACTTATCTTCCAATGAATATAACTAGTCACAATAGTCCTGTATCAGGAAAATGTGGTGTTGGGAGGAACATTCAAATAAATGCTTCAGGAGCAAAGCTTTCTGTTATCCAGAATGTGTGTAATTCTGAAATGTCCCATGAACTGTAAGGGCTGGTTCACATAACACATTTTCCAGATACAGTACAGACTTTCCCCTAGAAAAATAACCTTCCTTATGCATTCAGTGAGAAACTGCAGCTACATGTTGCAGTCTGTAGTTCTGAGTTCAAGATTCCAGCCATTCTGTTCTTCTAGGCTTGCTATACGTCAGGAAAATTCCTGACGTCCTGGTTTTTGGGTGTAAAAATGGGGTCAGGGGAATTTTGCCAAATTTTTGTCAGGAATTTTACTTTTGAAATATGGCAACCCTAGTATCTTCCCTTACAACAGGCTGCATTGAGTATAATCAGTACTCACTGAACTATTTTAGAAGGCCCAACTTCCAAAGAGGATTTTTAAAATAAATGCTTTTTGTACTTCTGCAAAACCTTCCGTTTTCCCCAAGCCTGTTGATACTTCAACCTTGTTTATAGGTCATGCTGTTTGATCTACATTCTCAATGGCAATCACAGCCTAAAGGAAATGCAAATCTCCATATCCGATTTTGCAAGCCATGAGTTGGTTGGGAAGTGATTCATGTGCCCCTGTCTCAATAAAATCTGGGGAGATGTCATTGGAGTACATGTGCATTCTGTACGTGGCCTCCTTTGTAATGTTTTGCTTTAAAATCTTTAAGATAATATTTTAGTTTCCTGTTAGTTATGCTGCTTTGAATATATCCTTTATATTTGACTTTCTTCTTTAATGTTTTATTCTAGATTGTTTTAGAATAATATTTGCAAGGACCCCAAGGATCATCTAGTCCAACTCCCGGAAATACAAGAATTCTGCCCTCTGTTTAATGTTGTACTGTAATGTAGCTTAGGAAACTGCTTTGAGATTTTTTTCTTAAAAATATAAAGCAGTATAGAAATGTAATAAACAAACAAACAATTTATCAGAAAAGCTGGTATACTAGTAAGACACAAGGCGTTAATCAATATGAAGCATCTCTTCTGAATCTTTAGTATCTTATGACTTGGTCGCTGTATGAACCCAGACTATAAATGACAAAGCATTCTTCCCCCTCTCGTCTTAGATCAAAGGAAAAAAATATTTCATAACACCAGCTATTCCAAGTGTTCTGTTGTGCAGAATGGACCAAAACAAGGAAGACAGACAACAGGCTCATACAAACAACTGTGACTTCAAGGTTCCAGAGCTAAAGAGCACAGGTGCAGACAGCATGCAAATCTGAAGGATGTTATCAGCTTCCTGTCAGTCAGAAAGTAACTCATTTACCAGAGAAAGAACATGTCCAGAGTCACAGGAAAAAGATCTTCTAGCAGGTATAGATGATATACTGTTAAGACCTGCCGATTTATGACTGGGTTTGTGTTCATATTAGCAAACAGCTTTGCTGGGGCTGGACTATGAAGCTTCATTTTCTCTCATGCCTTGCTACGGTGATAGTATGCAACATCAAAAGACAGGCCTTCCAAATAATCCAAGTCATTATTGCCTTAATATCATGAAAGGCTTCGTGTTTTCTTTAATGGTAAAAGTGTTTGAGGCTTTCAGTATGGGAGGTATATGGATATACAGGGAATCAAACAAGCTGAAATCCTAATAGGCACACTTAATTGGAAGCTAAATATGCAGAGGACCAAGTTTTGCATGGTTTTAAGTAACAGAGGCAGTTGAGTTCAGCAGCAATATAGGTGCACTTGCTCAAGTCCTGCGGCTCCTGGGTAGCAGCCAGTTATTGGCACCAGGAATAAAACCAGGCTCCACCAGGCCTTGAAATAGCCATGGGCTGCACCACAGCCTACAATGCTCCCCCAGTTATTTGAGGACAGTAGATATGTTTCTCATCATTACAATTTCCCACCATCAATAAAACATTACAATGAAAACTAAACATCGATTTCCCTCACCCCCTTCCATGGTTTCCTTGTCCCGGGTTCATTCTCCAGCATCTCCAAAAATGGGATTGGAGCTGCTCTGTAGGCCTGTATGTGTATATAGATAGCTTGATGATCCAGGTTTTTAAAAAGCAGCTGCCGGGGGATCAGAATCAGTTCCAGTATAGTGGTACCTCGGGTTACATACGCTTCAGGTTACAGACTCCGCTAACCCAGAAATAGTGCTTCAGGTTAAGAACTTTGCTTCAGGGTGAGAACAGAAATCGTGCAGCGGCAGCAGGAGGCCCCCTTAGCTAAAGTGGTGCTTCAGGTTAAGAACAGTTTCAGGTTAAGAGCGGACCTCCGGAACGAATTAAGTACTTAATCCAAGGTACCACTGTATGCAGAAGGTTAACCCTTTGCTCTCATACTGTAGTCCTAATGAACTTGCACCTCCCCCAGCTGCTTTTTATCCAGGAAGAAAGATTCCCATTGGATCAATCTGGGGGCAAATAACAGGTGGGGGCAGGACATCAGCATGGGAGGAAATAGTTTTAAAACCCTCTCCATACAGCACAGTCACAATCCTGAACACTACAACCAGCCCACAGATGGTTGCTATTAAAAAACAACAGCCAAAAAATATATGAAATGCATTGTATACCTGCATTGTCTTTTAATGTAAACCAACTTGGCACAGCTATAGTTTTCAAAGGCAACTTAGAAAGATGCATAAATAAAACCTGCCAACTGATGATAAAACTTTGTACACCTAATGAGGCAGGCTCTAGTCCACAAATGCTTATTCTGCAACAAGTCTGCTGGCTTTTAAGGAACCACAAGGCTCTTTTGCCGTCACTTCTGGAACAGGCTGACACAGCTATCCCTCCAGAAAGTTATACAGCATGTTGTTTGCCCCAGAGCTGGAGCAAAAAATGGAATGCTCATGCCATCTAGTGGAAATCTAACCAAAGAATTCCAAAAAGAAACTGTGCTTCCATAAAACGATGGAAGCATGTGCTGAGTTGTTCACACATTGTGCATTAGTAATACTGGGTAGAATAGATTAGCAACATTAAAAGCACAACAAGATTCCAGGATGAACCAGGCAGCTCGAAGCCTAATGCTAGAGTGGGTAAGATGGACCATTTTGGTAGTTAGCATTAAACTGAGACAAATAAACCCCAAATCAGTATGGCACAGAAAGAGGGAAACTGTATTCTGGGTAATTCTATGTTTTTGCCACAAGGGACTACCATGCTGCCTGGGGCTGATAAAGCCAAACAGCTTTTGGAGGGACAAAGGTTCCTTTTTTTCCTGATTTACGTGAATAAATAGGTTGCCAGGAACTTGCCTCTTGTCTTTCAGTGCTCTGGGGTACTGAGACAGGATATAACCATTGTGCCCCTCACCCCACCCTTTCACGAGTCCTTATGTTCATCGTCTTCTCTGCTGCCCCTGGGTATGGCCTGATGCCAACTGTGAGGGGGACGCTCAGCAAAATGTCTTCTGGTGGCATCCCTGGCATCAGCGAGACCCTCATGATGCAGCTACCGGTGATGGTGGCAGGCAGCAGCATTGCTATGATCTGCAGCAGGTAGCTGTGAATTGTCTGCCCTGGGTTGAGGGCAACCCAGGGCATTTGCAGTCTGATTTTCAAATGTGTTTGCCAACACCATTTGGGACAGAGCTCAGAAAAACATCAGGTATCAGACTGTGAGCTTTCATGCAGACACTTGGTGGCAGTATAGGTACAGGTATCTGTCAGTGGTAGGCAACACCTAATTCTAATGGAACATTTCTCCATACAAAAAACCCTCCCTATAGAAAACTAGATGATAAGGAAAATAACCTGGGCTCAGTCTTCTCCAGGACACAAGAACTTGCTTTTTGCCCCTTTGAAGAAATCAGGTTTTATTTCTGGGGTAAAATATATAAAAGAATGGACAAGGAAATTCACTTTAAAAAATGGAAGAGTTAACCGGCTATAAAATGTCTCAGTTCTCTGTTAAGAGCTGTGATGTATGCAAAATATCAGAGGGGAGATTGCTGGTGGCTGTTCAATTAACTGCCACTTTGTGTCAGAACAAAAATTGTCTTTAGACACAGTGGATTGAAAACCAGTGAGTTCTAATTGATTAAGGCAGTGAACATACTGCTTGATCCCATCAGTTTTGGCCTGACTGGGGAGAATGGGGTCTGAATTCCATTCAAATTTAAAACATTTGGCTGGAGAGACCCTTTTTCGGGCATAAAAGACAGGTCTCAGACCTCAATAAATGTTGATCTGTGTGTGCTTTGACCAGTGCTTTGTTACGAGAAAAAATGATGCTTATACTCTGGGCGGTTGCCCTGGGTACAAAAATTCATTGGGGCCAGGAAAAACAATTACATGTAAAACAATTACATGCTTTACTGGAACTTCATTAAGATATTGGTACAGTGGTGCCCCGCAAGACGAATGCCTCGCAAGACAGAAAACCCGCTAGATGAAAGGGTTTTCCGTTTTTTGATGCGCTTCGCAGGACGAATTTCCCTATGGGCTTGCTTAGCAAGACGAAAATGTCTTGCGAGTCTTGAGATTTTTTTTCGCTTCCCCCCCCCTTTTTCTAAGCCGCTAAGCCGCTAATAGCCTTTTAGCAGCTTAGCAGCTAAGCCGCTAAGCCGCTAAGCCTTTAATAGCCGCTAAACCGCTAATAGCGCTAATCCGCTAAACCGCTAATAGGGTTGCTTCGCAAGACGAAAAAACCGCTAGACGAAGACACTCGCGGAACGGATTAATTTCGTCTTGCGAGGCACCACTGTATATAGTTATTACATGAGGCATGATGATTAAATGACTTGCTTCAACACCATACCTTTTTCTGTAGTCTCAGTACCTGACTGTGCATGCCTATTTTCACTACAGGGTCATACTAGTGAAGGAGAAAGAGGCCCTGTTCTTATCTTATCACAACAGCCCTGATGAGACAGGCCCAAGTAAGCACAGGCGGTGACCACGCTCCTCACATGCACAGTACTAACCGCAGTCACGAGCTTCCCTGCTGATAAGCACACCCTGAGCATGCGGTGTACATGACTTGGGCACGAGCACAGTCAGTACATGGGGGGCTGGACACAGGAATGGGATAGGCTCAGGGGGCTGAACAGGGCGGGGAAACCAATGTATAAAAGGCTTTGCATGACCTGTATGTGTGTGCCAGACTTTGGAAGCAATTCCGCTGGTACCTGCTGCGCAGTAACCGAATAAACTTTTTCTCTGTGGAATCACACCCTGGCGTTGCTTGACTCCTTCATGCTCCTGGCGAGGGTACGAGGTGACTGGACCCAGACCCATAGGTAAAGAAGGCTACACTAGTGCTGGATTTACATATAAACTAAACAAGCTAAAGCTTAGGGCCCCATTCTCTTGGGGGCCCCAAAATTTTTTAAAGGAAATAAAAAACTGGATGCACATTTCCAAAATAAAGATAAAAAACAAATAAAATAAAATTTACTTACAGCAACAGTGTTTTGTATTGTGTAGGCTTCTATTTGTTGTGTGCAAATGGCATTGGATACCTGTTAGGTCCATAAATTACCATATACCATATATTCAACACCAAAAAACTGTGACAATTTGTTGTTGACAAAGGACAGCTGGACATATAAAGGGCCCCATTACCTTCAGTAGCTTAGGGCCTCATCAATCCTAAATCCGGCCCTGGTCATACCATCCGACAGTCTCCTGGGACACAAACTCACGCCTCCTTCTCCAAGCCCGGGAAGCATTTGCCTAGCTTAGGGAAGGAGCTTGATGCTCTGAAGGGGTTAGAGAACCCTCCTGCCACCTCCCCCCTGCAAGGTGATCATACTGCGTACCAATGTGTACAGCCAGAAAAAAGCACCACTTGAGGGTATGTAAGGAAGAGGATGGAAAATTTGACTGAAGAAAACATCTAGGCCTAGAGGCTTCAAACACCTGAGGGAAGACAAGAGCTGAAACCACTAGCTGGATTTGAGGAAGTCTGCACAGAAAAGGGTCTAAGAAACAGCCTTTGAGAGAGTTCTAAAGCCAAGATGCAGCAGCCTTGCTGAATACCTGAGCTAGCAACGAATGCTCAACCTAGAATGCAGCAGAAGTACTGAGAGATGCCTGAGAGACCTCAGAAGAAAGATGCCATGGACCTGAGTGAAGACTGCAGGTATAGTCCCCAGTGCCTGATTAATGAGAGAAAACTGAGTTGGAGTGATTTAGGGAAATTGGCAATAGGTTTAAATGGGGGGAGGGGCTGGATCGCTCAGAGCTATCTTCTTATGGAAACATTTACCTTATAGTGCAGTGATGGCAAAACATTTAGAGACCAAGTGCCAAACTGCAGCCCAAAACCCACTTATTTATCGCAAAGGGCCAACACGGCAATTTAACCTGTATATCCCATTTTTTGTGTGTTTCACGTTTCTTCTTTATGACTGCTGTTGTAATAAATAATCTTTCATAAAAATTATTACATTATATTCTTCATTAAACTATCTTTTCATTGATATATAATTTTATGGTATAACTCAGTGCTTTTTTCTAAAAAATGTTTAGGGGTACTCTCATTTTGACTCAAGAAAATCACCACGGGGGGAGGAATAAATACAGTTCAAATTGGGGGAAATAAATACAGTGGTACCTCAGATTTCGAACAGCTTAGTTCTTGAACTACTTGGAACCCAAACACTTCAAACCTGGAAATGAGTGTTCGGTTTTGGAACTTTTTTTGGAAGCTGAACGTGCGCTGTTCTGAGTATAGCTTTCGTTTTGAGTGCCACACTTCCGTTTTCAGAGTGTGGGTAGGTGGGCCGGGCGGCAAGCGAGCAGGCACCTGCTGCCCTCCAGTGCTGGGTCCCTCCACTGCTGCTGCCCCTGCTGCAGCCGCAGCCGCAGCCACAACCACCACCCCCTCCTCCAGCTCCGGAGGCACTGAGTGAGGGAAGGCTGGGCTGGGCTGGCGAGCGAGCAGGCAACGAATGTCGCACACACACACCCAGCCTGCTCCTGCTTGCAGGCAAGTAGGAGTGGGATTGGGCTGCTCCACTAGGCAGCGTTGCTGCTTGCATGGGAACAGGAGCTGGATTGGGGCTGCTCAGGTGGGGTTGGGGAAGATGGAGGCAGCCTGGAAGCTGCATCTGAGAACCCCTGCATCACCTGAAGGCAGCCGGGTGCTCCTCAGCTGAGCTGCCCAATCCCGCTCCTACTTGCGTGCAAGGAGGAGTAGAGACGGGGATCTCTCAGAAGTGAAGTGGAGACTTTGCGCTGAGATTTTATGGCTCGGAAACACAGATGCCGCTGGAAATACAGTTAGTCTATGTTGAGTTCAATCTGGTAGCACATTCTCAGAGGGAGGTTGTATGACTGCTGCTAGCACAAGCTGAGCTCAGCAGGCACTGAGCAGGTTGTGTGACTGAAGTGTTAAATAAACGTTTTGCTTTGTCCTCACTGGAAAGATAGTTTCTAACTAGAAGATGATAAATGTGTTTGTTTGTTCAAAGAATTTATGAACCATCAACCATTCAAAAATATTGTGGTGATATAAAAACAAAAGCCAAAACCAAGCCCAGTAACATGGAAACATGAAAAATACATTGGTAAAACCAACAGGAACGATATCCAACAATGCTACTCTGAAAATGCCTTTATTTAACAAGAAAATCTGAAGGAGGCACCTAAAAGAATAAATTGTTGGTGCCATCCAAATTTCCAAGGGGAGTGTGTTCCAAAGTGTGGGTGTCATTAAATGCAGGAGACAGGAGTATGAACAGATAGAGGAAGCTCCTTTCCTCCTCCTTCTCCATCTCCCCTTCATTTATGATGACTTTCAGAGAAACAAGGGTTACTTCTAAATGACCTGTTCATGGAGCAATCATCCTGATTTTATTGAGAGGAGGCAATGGTGCTTTCAACATGCACAAAATGATAGTTGCCTATACAGCAAAAATGAATTTTTCACCAACACAGACACTATGGATTCAGTACCTAGCCAGCTTTTTCCGTTCAACTTGCTTAACATCTACCTGATTATGAGTTCTAGGAGACTCAAAAGCTTGACATTTTGGTTGGACTTTGGAATTTTTCAAAATACTAGTAGCCTTGCATGTTAGTGTAACAAACCTCTTCTGCTGCTTAGCTTATTTGGAAGAGCTTATTTACTGGGCATGTGGAAGATTGGCAAATAGCACCCGCAGAGATAACATAATTGCCCCTGCTTTGAAATAAGAGGTGCTACTTCATCCCTGCTGTGATAAGACAAAAAGTACAAGCTTATCAGAGTCAGTAAACACACCAAGCCCATACAGACAACCCTCAAATCAACTTTCCACTTCATAATAGCCACTCAAACTGATGGAACATCAGTTTTTTCTGAGGGGGGTGGGAATTGCTGAAGTCCCCATGATTCAGCAGACACACCCAGAAGCTCCTTGAGCCAGGAGACAAACTGTCCATTTTCAGAAAGAAATACAGCAGGAATTAATATTTATTTTTTTAAAATGATATTTATTAAAGTTTCAAAAGAAGGATACATAAATAAAAAAGAGAAAAAGGAAAAAAAGAAAAATACAAAACACAAAACACACACAAAAAAATTTTTAAAAACAATTCCATCTTTTCATCACTTCTCTTTCATTTACATGTTTCCCGGACCTCCTCATACCCCCATTTTTTGTATTCCAGTTCAATTTATTTAGTCCCGCAATTCCTTTCCCTCCTTAGGAATTAATATTTTTCTTTGGTAATTCAGGAAATACAAGGTTTTTGTAGACGTCTTTATCTTCAAAAGCTTGGAAGATGCCTCACTAGGAGAGAGGGGCGGTAATGATGGGAAACTGAGCTTGACCCAGAAAAGAGAAAGAGAGAAATCAGCTAGCAGAAATGAATCTGTACTGTACAGAAAGGCAAGCATGATCACAATAGTACTGGAAGCAGGGGATCAAACAGAGGGTGTTGTCACTTCCTGGGTGGCTTTCCCCCACACCTGGCAAGCACCCGAGGCGGGGGGGGGGTATGTTTTTCTTGCATTTTGGCAACACCTGTCTAACTGGTCCTGCCAATAAACACTTGTAGAGAACTGAATGGAATGTTGCCTGGGAGGTTCTCAGCAGGGCTTGCACAACAGGAAGTAGGCTGTAATGACTAACTCTTCCATCCTACCTGTGGGTAGTAGGGAGTACACACCAACAAATATCATTCATAGAGGATACTTAATAAGAACAGAGTTTCATTTTGGGTTTGGTTTTCTGTCTTGCAAACCCTAAGAAAAACCCCTCCATACCTTAAAAGATAAAGGTATCCCTGACGGTTAGGTCCAGTCGCGGACGACTCTGGGGTTGCGGCGCTCATCTTGCTTTATAGGCCGAGGGAGCTGGCATTTGTCCACAGACAGCTTCCGGGTCATGTGGCCAGCATGACTAAGCCGCTTCTGGCAAACCAGAGCAGCACACGGAAACACTGTTTACCTTCCCGCCGGAGCGGTGCCTATTTATCTACTTGCACTTGAAAGTGCTTTCAAAATGCTAGGTGGGCAGGAGCAGGTACCGAACAATGGGAGCTCACCCCGTCACGGGGATTCAAACTGCCGACCTACTGATTGGCAAGCCCTAGGCTCCGTGGTTTAGACCACAGCGCCACCCGCGTCCCATACCATACCTTAGCATGCCCCTAAACATTCACTTTCAGCAGACTACCACTGGCTCCTGTCACAAATCAGCATAGCGAACAGTGTGGCTAGATACTTCCTTTACAGCTATTCTTCTAACATCAGAGGATGTGAAGGTCTACATAGGTGATTAATTTTTTAAGAAAAGGAAGAGTTATTCTGCATATGAAAAAATCTTAACACCTGGAAGAGAAGTGTTGTAGCAAGCTCAGTCTTTGACATCACATTTCCAAGTATTTTTTTTTACTAAAAAAAAAAAATAAGTATAGGATTATATTTGGAAATGTGATAACTCCTTTTTGCTATCTACTATGGGTAGGCAACCTAAGGCCCGGGGGCCGGGTCTGGCCCAATCGCCTTCTAAATCCGGCCTGTGGACAGTCCAGGAATCAGCGTGTTTTTATATGAGTAGAATGTGTCATTTTATTTAAAATGCATCTCTGGGTTATTTGTGGGGCATAGGAATTTGTTCATTTTTTAAAAAAATATATAGTCCAGCCCCCCACAAGGTCTGAGGGCAGTGGACCGGCCCCCTGCTGAAAAAGTTTGCTGACCCCTTTACACATACTTGTCAAGTAGTTGGGTAGTATTGAACCCAAGTTGCAAATGCATGACTGAGACCAAGAGACAGGGATTTGAGGTCTCCAAGTAAGTTCATGCCAAGGCAAGATTTGAACGAAGGGTTTTGTAGCTAACAACTTATAATTTCTTGCACAACAGTTTCTTAGTTGGTGGCATAAACCTGTCCAAAAAGTGGCTTATACACTTTTGTGTTTCCTCATTCCTTGAGCAAATGTTCAGCTTTTACAGTCTGGCCTCTCTGTAGCTTTACACAGAAGTAACTCCCAGTGAGTTAAATGGGATTTACTCCCTAAGGTGAGATAGGGCTGCAACCCCAAGCAACTACCGGTAAATTTCAGTGGAATATTCTCCCACATCATAGGCTCACAATCAGGTCAGTTGTTCCTGTAGCTTTAGTAAGAAAGCACTTAAAAATAAATGATTTCAGTTGAGTTTTAAGAGGACCACTTTCCATATTATATTTTAATCATATGTGGTAGCTCACATTAAGTTGTTCCTCTGTATATAATGGAAAGAAGGAACATAGGTAATTGTGTCAGTGAATTACAGGAAACAGGTACTTAAACAGTGCCACAACAGTGTCTTTCTCTACCTAGTTATATGCATTCATTCTAGGGAGGGGCCTTAGCTCAGTAGTCTGGCTGTATCCCTTCTCTTCATTTTGCTTTTTCAAATCTAGGGATTTGTAAAAGTGCTATGAGATGAATAAGGAAATGGTTGCAAAAGGTAATACCACAAATATCTATGCTCAATTGTTTTTGCAGGTTGTTTGTTTTGACAGTAAGGTTCAATACAGTAAGGTTCAATACAGACATGGTGTTTTCCAAACCATGGCAACCTCATGTGTGCATTTTCCTCTCTGTCCTCATTGTTCCATGATTTGTTATATATATACAGTGAAAAATATTTTCTCTTTAATGTAAATTGACAGCAAACACTCAGATTCAGGGCAAACAGTATAGGAAGAATTTGTATTATTGCAAAAAGAGCACAGTTTGAAACTAGACCACTGATGAAATGACAGTGACCAAAATGTTTTGAAGATTCACCTAGAGTTTTTCCTATATTAAGTACATAGGGCATGATCTACCCAAAGTTGAACACTTTCATATTTCTGTTTTGAGTGAGAAGAATGTGTTTAATTTTCTCCCATTCAATATGATCTAGAAGTACTCAATATTGAATGGACTGTTATTTGGTACTGCTCTGTTTTGCCTGACCAGAGGCACTGTGCACAATATCTTCTCTGTCAGGTATTCTGTGCCTTCAACAAGTACACATCAGACATAAATTCAACAGACAAAGTCTTTTCAAGTAGCATGGAGATGCTGTGATGGGAACAGAATGTTAGATTTACGGTTGTGTTGCAAATACTAAAAGGTACATGAGTCCTAAGAGTAACCCGAATAAGCACTGGTTTGTTTGTTTTCTGATTTGGAAAATCGAAAGACGGTAACCTTATTATACCGATAACATTTAATTTAGGGTATATTCTATTTCCAGAAGGGTAGTTGCATTAGTCTGTTGCAGCAAACACAAAAAAGACTCTTACTCTCCCCACCCCCATACAGTGCTTTCTTGGTGAAAAATGAGGTACCAGTGCAAATATATTGACAAAAGTGTTGAGTGTGCTAGCATAAAATGGCTGTCATGGGCAGCAAAAAAAGAGGTGGTGATACTCCGTAATGGTGAATAGTGTTATTTTTAAAAAGCTGTGTAGGTGTGTGGGCTTATACAGCATTAACTCTTATGGACTACAGTTTACAGCCCTTCACTGTGTCTGTATTATATAGTCCATGAAAGCTTATACTACAATAAACTTGTTAGTCTTTATAGTGCCACAGACTCTTTACTTTATCCTGTGACCTATGTATTCTCTGTATTATACTGGATTAAACCAAGGCCAAACATTTATCAGTTGTTCCAAGTTTCTTAGTTCATTTTATTACACTTTATTATTGGAGAAAACTACGTATGTGCCACTGAACACACCATTTACATGACTTTCAACAGCAGGTGTAACCCATCACAGTTTGTATCACACTTTATGTCTGAGGCCAACCCACCATGGGCACTTGGCATCTTTCTCTTTTTCTGATTCAGTGCCAAGTAAGTTAAGTTGTCTGATAGTTCTGCCCTTGCAGTTTCTAGGACTAGCTACCAGTTTCTAGGACACTTCTCCAAGTCATCCTCTCAAACTTCATAGCATTATAAGATGTTGCTGCAGGTTTAATTAACTTCACAGCCAAGATGAAAGGCGTCAGCCATCTGTAAAAAGAAAAGGGAAAGTGTAAGTTGGTTGGAGTCTAATAAAACACACGGAGCACAACCCCTGCTTAGAATCCCATCTCACTTGACACAAGAGGTGGCAACTGAGGTGGCCCATAACACTTGGAGCCAGAGGCAGAAAGTATAAATGGCGCCTTCACATTGTGAAAATATTATAATAAGCTAAATAATTGGCAGTTTGATGCCCTTTAGTGGCATCTCAACCTCTGTTGCCTGAGGCAAATAACCTCACCCTGCCTAATGGTAGCACCCATTCTGACTGGCAAGAGTATGGAGAAAATACGGATTTTTTTCCCCAAGAAGATATGGCCCTAATAAGGTCATTTAACAGCAGCTAGACCAGAAAGGGCTACAGATAGAATTTTGGGATGCTCTGTTACAAGAAGAAATGACAGCCACCTCTAGAGACTCCAGGATGGATTGTGTAGCAGTGGCATCAGAAAGTGATGTGTGTGTGATTTTTTTTGTGGTACACTCCATGGACACTGATACCTGCACTTTGATAGTGGTATTCGGGGGGAGGGGGTTCCTGAAGAAATTGAAAAGATCCATAGCACTGTTCAGGCCTAATGCAAGCTTGAGCATGGGGCATAAGGGTTCTACACACCAGCCCTGCTCTCAGCATTTTGTGCTTGCTGGCCTTGCATGCTCCAGCCCTCACGTGGAATGGTCTGAAGGGAGTTAAGTGCATTTGTTTGGGATCACAGATAACACTGAGATAATGGGAGGGGACAGTTTACACACTGAGGGACACCCTTCATAGAGAGCTGTCCTTGGGGAGTGGGTTGAGTTCTACTTTGATGGTGGATTTGAAGAAATCTATGTAAGGGGTGGCGCTGTGGGTTAAACCACAGAGCCTAGGACTTGCCGATCAGAAGGTCGGCGGTTTGAATCCCCGCGACGGGGTGAGCTCCCATTGCTTGGTGCCTGCTCCTGCCAACCTAGCAGTTCAAAAGCACATCAAAGTGCAAGTAGATAAATAGGGACCGCTCTGGCAGGAAGGTAAACGGCATTTCCGTGCGCTGCTCTGGTTTGCCAGAAGCGGCTTAGTCATACTGGCCACATGACCTGGAAGCTGTACGCCGGCTCCCTAGACCAATAAAGCGAGATGAGCACTGCAACCCCAAAGTTGGTCACGACTGGACCTAATGGTAAGGTAAAGGCCGCTTTACCTTTATGTAAGTTCAGCAGGATCAATGCCTTAGATTCACATTTTTGCACAATGGTGACGCTGGGAAGTGCCAGGTCCCTAATTTTCATGGTTCTGTTCATAGACATGGATATAATGTGGAATTTGATGGGTGGATGTGTAGGGATTAAATATAAAAAACCACTGGACTCCTGTATTTATGAGGAGACGGTGAGGGTCGCACAGTTTCAGGGCTGACCACATCCCTTTAATCCCACAAGCACGGAGCGGGAGGGCAACGCCTAATCCCCGCAGCCCCGCTCCCATTTACTCGCGAGTAAGGCCCGCTGAAAACAGTGGGCTTTACTTCTGGGTAAACACACCTAGGACCGGGCTGCTGAAGGCGCTCGAGTCAACCTTGCCGCCGCCGGCGAAGCTGAGCGTAGAGGGCGGAGTTTCACCCCCCGCGGTGCAATTGCCCCGCCCTTTCCTCCGCCGACGCTCAAGCGCCTCCCTCCGGCGGCCCGAGACGCCTCCGCGGCCCCGCCCCCTCTTCCCCCCGAACGTTCTCCCAAGGCTCGGCGCGCGTGCGCAGAGCTCGGCCAGGCCTAGGTCGGATCCTCCCCTGTGGGCTCCGCTCTGCGCACGAGCAGGCCGAGGGGAGCAAGCAGGGGGCGGGGCGTGCGTGAGGCCGAGCTCGTAGCGGCGAGGCCTGGCTTGGCAGGGCCTTCGCGGGGGCGGGGAAGGGGGGGGGAGAAAGAGAAAGAGAGGGACGGAGGATGCGGTGGAGCTCCGGGCCTGGCCGGGGGGCGCCGCCAATGGCGCTGTTCCCGCCGGCGGCGCTGCTGCTGCTGCTGCTGCTCCCCCTCCCGCCTCTTTTCCAAGGGGCGTCCGGGGACTCGTGCACCGCCTCGCCTTGCTCTTGCCGGCGAGGTGTGTTGGACTGCAGCCGCCTCCGCTTGTCCGGCCGGAGCCTGGAGCAGGGCCTGCTCTCGCCTTTGCCTCGCAGCGGTGTCCCCTCCGCCAGGTGAGTCTCCTCTTTTCTGCGTCTCCATCCTCACGTTCCCCTTTTCCACCAGGGGCAGAAGGGTCTCCGCCCCGCAGACACGGCAGGTGCTTCCACCTCCCCCCTCAGTCGTCACGGGCAAAGCGGTATCCTGAGTGGAGGTTTCAGAAGTTGTCCTTTTCAGATCCTAAAGGGCAAATCTCGCCTCCCGTCTCGCTTTTTCTCCTTGACGCGGGGCAAAGCTGAGTGGGGGTGGTTGTATGCGTGGATGCTGAAGGATGGGCAGGTAAGAGGATCTTGTGGATCCCCTCGCTTGCAGGTGTCAAGTTCGTGTCTCAAAACAATGGGAACCGCTTATGAGTCTTCTCTCTCCCCCTCCTAACTCTGGATTTGTGTTTGTCCGCCAAATGGTGGGACGCTCACGCGCAACTCGTTTGTGTGAAGGGGTCCGCTTTGGGTTCTGCTGCTGTTACAACAGCATAGTTCGCCTGCCGGTTTCTGTTGTGTCGTATTATCGCTTACTGGAACTTTTTCCAGACAGTGTTACCACTTGGTCTTGATAAAAGTTGGCAGGAGTTGCTACTGATAGTCTGAACCTGGCCTTGGTGAATCTGTGGTATGGTCTGTTAACTTTTGCTGAACACACAAAGAAGACCAAAACATCAGTTGTGGAGTTTTGCTGTACTGGCTAAGTGTCCACAATCAGGGAAATCCGACAGTGTTGTTATTTTAAGGCAGGGGTGGAGAACCTGTGGCCTTCCAGATGTTGATGGACTCCCAACTCTCATCAGCCTAGCCAGCATAGTCAGTAGTCATGATCAAAACTGAGGTCTGACAAAATCTGGAGAGGACACCAGTTGCTCAGCTCAGTTATCAGATGATGTTTACTTCAAGGCAGGCAGATAGGAAACTGTTTTCGATGTCATTAAGGAGCTTGTGACAGTGTTCCAAGAAGTGCTGAAGTATGTTCACTAGAAGATAAAGGACTAGGTAGCTACTGTGCTGTTCCCCCATGAGTGGACCCTTTTATCATGTTACACAGATGTTACACTTGCCTGTCAGTTATCTCACTGAACATGTTGGACAGGTATCACTTAGTGGTATATTAGATATGGTTTATTGTGGAGCAAAATATAAAGCTATATAGTATGACTCTTGTTTCCTTTTAAAAATGGTTGTTAAAGTTTGAGCATCAGTTACCATCATTATTTCTCTTATTGTTTCTGTAGTTCTGATTCCAACCTTTTCAAGAGTGTCCCTTTTCTGATTGGCAAATTTGGGGCTGTCTTCATGAAAATAAGTTGCCCCAGTATTCCTTTGCTTAGTGTCTATCCACTCAAATATACATGCTGGTAGTTTTTATGTCAGTGTAGTTGTCATGAAACATGTACACCATGTTGAGCTCATTGAAAGAAAAGATGGGATATAAATGTACCAAATAAACCAATTTGACTTCTAGCAATTAATTTTGGTAATTGTAGTAGGCTGCAGGTATTGGAAGTTCTCTGTGAGAAGTTCACAAGACCCCTTGATGGAATCACAGTACTTGGGAGAGGGACAACTGCTAAACTTAGTTGTCTTGCCAGGCTTGGGGAAGATCCTGGGATGTGTCTTTGTGTTATTCAGTCAGACACTGAAGCATCATTGATGGTTAAGGTAACCCTATGCTAAATATTGTTCTGTGTAGTCAGCTAGTGTCTATAAATAGCATACCAAAGGCAAGTGAAAAAGGTAAGGTAGTGCACATTTATGTATTTGTATTTGTATTGTTTTGACATGTAAAAATGGAATCTGTCTGCAATTCATATTGTGAAAGACAGAACTGGGATTTCTTTTTGCAGCGTGGTTGCTGTTTTTGTTCCTGATGAGACTCTTCTAGTCATTGGTCATGAGCCCAGGGCTGTTTCTGACCTCTCATAGTTGGCCTTAATGCCAAGTCGTTTAATTATGAGACTACTTCTTCCTAATAATGGTATTGCTACTGACTGTGGAAGGCAGTTGCTAGTTAGATGACTTTGAATATCTTGCGGATATTACAGTCAAGCCAGAGGAGTGTGATTTATTTTTTTGTCACACGTCTAAATCTGCACAATAAAGCAGAGGATGGCTAAACTTGCCATGTACACAAGAAAAAGTATTGTGGCACTTAAAATCCAGAACTTGGATCCTATTGACATCAGTATGAAAAACTTGCCATGACACAGTTAGGTCCTGTTGGAACGAAATGCAGCTAATTTAGATAGCAATCTTAACCCTTTTTACCTGGGAGTAAGCCCAGTTGAATTCAGTGGGCTTTTGAGTAGATTGCAGCCTTTAATTTAGGGAACAACAGATGTATTCCAGCATAAGATTTTGTAGACATGAGCTCACTTTGTCAAGATTCATGAAGTCTTATCCTCAGTTGGCAGATCATATATACACATGTGGGTACAGAGTGAAAAAATGATAAAAAAATGATAAACAATGGGGTCTGTAACATTTCTGTGCAAAACCCAAATGTATACAGGCTCCTTGCTTAGAAATGTCACAGACCTTTTGCATTTTATGTCCTGTTGGCCCCACAGTTCAGAATTTCCATTAGTTTTGTATGCACGGATGTATATGTGCATACAAGACTAATGTGTTTTCCTTCACAACATGTCTTTCTAAATAAAGGAGCTGTAGCATCATTTATTTTTTTTAAATTGATCTTTGGAAGAAATTGGTTGTAAGTGTGTAAAACCCCCGTTTGAAATCTGATTACTTTTCTGCATATATGTTTATGAAGTGTATGTAATCCTTTAGTGCAGTCTAATCTTAAATCTACCATTTAAAATTCATTTTTTGATACTTCTGAATATGATGCCTAATTTATTTATCCAAATTTATAGACCATCACACATAGTGTTTTCCAGGGTGTCATGAAATAAACAGCTGCTACACAAATAATGTATGTTAGTTAATAAAGCAGAAGAGCCTGGAAGTACTTAAACACAAAAGTGGGCTCACTACTTTACCTCACATGCCTGGAGAATATGAATGCTTTAGTCAGGGTCTCTGTCTTCTCAGCTTCAAGCAATAGCATATTTGACAGTCAGACCACAACAGAGAAAGCTCTCATATACCTACCTCACTGCCTAGTGCAACAAGCCTACCAACTGCAGGGTCCAGGATGAATTGTATGAGAGAAGGAGCTTTACCAGTCTTGCAGTCTGATCCTGTGCATATCGACTTGTAAGTAAATTCCACTGAATTCAGTGGGAAATGTTCCTGTGTAAGAGTTTGGGATTGCAGGCAGAAGTACATGAGATGCTTTCTGCTACTTTGCTTGATTAAGTAAATCTGGTGAACAGCTGCTAGCTGCTCTCTAAGTTTAATTGAAAAAATGTTTTTTGCTTTTAAAGGTTTAGAAAAGTGCTATCATTGCTTGTGGTTCCTCCTCTTAGAAAATGCTCTGCTACTGAGCGTGGGCTTTATTTAATCAAGATAAGAGAGCCACGTCATATGGCATTTAGCTTTCTATATTGTGTAATAAATGTGTGACTTAGTTCTGTTGTGCAAGACTTATACCAAACAGCATATAGATGGTAACACATGGAGCCCTAAAACAAAACATTACAGTGTGAAAATCCTTTGTTCAGGGTTCCAGTCTCTTCATTCCATTCCGCCCCTCCAAACCTCAACAGTTAGTCAGCATCCCATTTTCACTGAGCATGCTGAGTCCTCTAGTGCTTAATCCAAGCTGCAGGAAAATTCATTTTTTCAACTACTTATATACTGCTTAACACTATAGTTTCTAAGTGGTGTACAAAAGGGATATAGTGGGAATAAAATGGTTTAAAGTTAACTGTAAAATCAGAAACAATTATTTAAAATATCTGCTGTAATTTTAAAAAGTCTTCATCAAGCTCCAAGAGCATACTGATGACACTTTGCTCCAAATCCTGAAGTGATTGCTCCTTATGTCTTCACATGGACATTTAATAGCACCGAGGACAAAATAGTGCCTGGTGGCACCTCATAATACAAATGCCAGGTGGGTCAAGAACATGCCTGCCACATTGCTCTCTGGAACCAGCCTTGCAAGTAAGACCAGAAACACCTTAAAGCAGTGATCCTGACACTCATCCTGCAAAATGTATGCATCTAGAATTTTGTTTGATCTAATTTTGAATACATCATTGAACTTGCTTTTTATTTTTTACATGAATGCTTTATGATTTCTAATCCTTGTTCCCTTTTAAAAACTGTTTAATGTTGTTGTTGTTTAGTCGTGTCCGACTCTTCGTGACCCCATGGACCAGAGCATGCCAGGCACTCCTGTCTTCCACTGCCTCCCGCAGTTTAATAGTTACTGTTTAATAGTTACTGTTAAACTAAACATTTTTCTTTCAGTTAATTCTGTTTTTACTTTATCACTTGATAGCCAGAGGATGATCACCATTTTCTTTTGCAATAGCAGTCAACTTAAAAAAGAAATCAGTAATATTATCTTAGCATGGTGATAGAGACAAGAACATCCCCCTCTCCCAAGTTGGGGCAGCTGGTTCATGATGACAAACCTTCACTTGCAGTCAATACCAGCCAAGAGTTGTTGACCCTGTGCATACTGTACAGCAGCTAATGGAGTCCACAGACTATGGTGATATTAAAAATATTTATAGCCCACCCTTCTACAGAATTGTTAGTACTCAGCGACCTAACATTTTAAATAACAATGAAATTCAAGAGTCCAACATCAGAAAAAAAGGCAAGTGCAGAAGATGCAACCAGTCTTTAAAATAAGATTGCAAAAGTATCCTGAAGAACTCAGCATGTCAAATGCCTGTTGGACTAATACTAAAACATCTTAAAGTGGCAAAAAGCAAGGAGAGAGAAGGCCAAACTGGCACCCAAGATAGGGAGTTCCACAATCTAGGCTCACTTCTGTGATCTAACCAGCTGTGCCTTGTTCACAATCAAAACATAAAGAAGAGCTTCCCTAATGGATCTTAGGGCGGAGGCAAGTTGATACGGGAGGAGACAAACCCTCAGGGATCCTGAGCACATGCTGTTTATGAGTTCAATGATAATCACCAACAGTTTGAATTGTGAATAGGCAACTAGTGCAGCTGTTGTAAAACAGGTATAATATGCTCATGTAGACAAACATCAACTAGTTTTGTTGCTGATACATTCTGGATCAACTGACGTTTCTGTAGGCTCTTCAAAGGAAGTCCCACGTAGAGTGCATTGCAAAAATTAAGTCTAGTTGCAGTTGGTGCACCACCCTAAGCAGGGCAAAAGTGATAGATCCATTCACAATCTGTCAAACTGATAGTTAAATAAAACCTCCAGGTTCAGAGGCATTATATAATTTACAGTATTCAGTGCTGGTGACAAACTGTGGAACAGCATTTTGCTTTTGTGCCCTGGCCATTCCCTGAAATGTATTGCTGGTCTGGATAGGCCTTTGATCTTGCTCATCGGGGCTGCTGTTCTCTTTCCAAAGTATGTAAGGATATGTTACTTTTTTCTAACCTTTTTTTGGTCTGACTTGCTATATATAAGATTTCATCTTGCGTTATTTCACTCACCATGTTGAAGGCACACCATCCATTCTTTTCCTCCTTGCCTCTCTGTCTTTTAAATAAACATTTTTTTTTTCCATTCAAAATCTCCACTTGAACTTCCAATCCATGCATTTTAACATGGTGTCCATGTGGAAAATGGATGATGGTATTGTCTTATGGATTGACTGCTTTAACTGTGACTGATTTAACTGTGATCTGTATATAGCCCAGGTGTCTTTCTGGGAAAGGATTATTCATTAACAAACAATGTCTGAGCATCATATTCCCCACCCCCAAAAAAGCATTTGCAGAGTACTCAAGTATTCAAATTTGCAGAGTACTCAAGTACTCAATTTGCAGAGTGTGTCAAGTACTCAATTAAAGCCCATAAATTAGAAGATGTACCCTATGATGAGCTATACATACCTGTCATGTATGATCTATTTGAGATTCCTGCATTGCAGGGGGTTGGACTAGATGACCCTCAGGGTCCCTTCCAACTCTACAATTCTATGATTCTGTATATTCGCTCGCTCTCTGGATTGTAGGTGTAGTGGTCATTGGATTAATGCAAAGCACTCAAATCCTGAGTCTTGTACAGAAGTTTAGTTGCTTTGAGTTTTCTTATAACAAAAAGTATGGGTGGTTTTTTGTGCTAGTGCAGTCTCTCCTCCCCTTGTGTGTGCCTTCAAATCTGCTCTGGAGGGTTGGGGACAGAATCAGGAGACGCGGAGGAGGAAAGTGGGGATCATTCAATTGCTCCATAAGGTGTCCTTGTGGTGATGAAGTGTTATTAGGAACATAGGAAGCACCCATATACCAAATCAAACCATAGCTCAGTGTTGTCTATGCTGACAGGCAACAGTTCTCCAGGGTTTCAGGCGGAGTATCTCTCATCCCTACCTGGAGAGACTAGGGACTGCGCCTATGATCTTCTGCATGCCCTTAGAGCCACCTTGAAATAAAATAAATGTTGAACGTCTTTGAGCACAATGATACGTACTTCAAAGTAAACATGTAAGATTTGGAATGCATATGTGTTAATTTCCTCAAATTCACTAAATTGAAGGGTGGAGATGAGCAAGAACTCACAACCTATAAGTGGTTTGGGATTAAATCAGTTCACACCTTGAAAATAAATAGTTATTGTATTATAGCCAAGTATTTATCTTAATTAAATTTTAAATGTTCTTAATGCTAGTCCTAGCCAAGACAGTTTATGATTTTACAGTTACTTAATCTGAAACAAAGGAAGTTCTCTTCTGTGTCCCCTCCCAATCCCCCCCTTTTAACTCAGTATTTGGTTTCCAACAAAAAGAAGGGGGAGGAGGAGCTACAACACACTTTCCCCTTTTCTTGCTTATTACATTATAAAATATTTAGCTTAAGGCTGCTGAGCCATCTAACTCCGTATTGTCGAGTCTGGTGGCAGCTCCCCAGGGTGTCAAACAGGGTCTTTCTCACCTCTGGAGATGCCAGGAATTGAACCAAGGACCTTCTGCAAAGTGTGTGCCCTGTCACTGAGCAACAGCATTTCCCCATTACTATAACGTGCAGTGAATGAAACAAAACAATGATTTATCTCTTTTAAAACTATAAAGTCTGTAATTTAAAAAGTACTTGTTTTGGCAAGTGTATCGTAGCCATTCTTAAGAACATATGAAGAGCCTGCTGGATCAGCCCAGTGGCCCATCTCGTCCAGCATCCTGTTCTCTCTAGTAGCCATTGATTGCCTTTACACTCATTAATTTGTTTAATTCTCTTTCAAAGTTGGTGGCCATCACTGTGCACTGTGTGAAGAGTTATTTTGTCAGTCCTGACTTCTCCGATGTTCAGCTTCATTGGATGTTCATGAGTTTATCATTATGGGAGAGGGAGAAAAGCTTTTCCTCTATCAACTTTCTCCATCCCATGCATAATTTTCTGCACTTCTATCACTTCTCCTCTTACTCACCTTTTATCTAAACTAAAAGGCTACAAATTTGACATCCTTTCCTCATAGGGGAATTTCTCCATTCCTTTGACCATCCAACTCCACTCTTTGCAATCCCTTTTTGTTTTAACAACTGAACAACTTAGTATCATTAGCATCTTGGCCATCTCGTTGCTCACCTCTTAACCCCAGATGGTTTATGAACAAGTTAAAAAGCACAGGTCCCAGTATTGATCCTTAAGGGATTCCACTGTCTACCTCCCTCCATCAGGAACGTTGTCCATTTATTCCTGCTCTTTGCTTCCTGTTGAGCTCCTCTTGGGGAATAGGAACTACTTATTTATTATTTCATGATTGCCAAAGAATTGATGCTTTTGAATTCTGGTGCTGGAGGAGACTCTTGAGAGTCCCATGGACTGCAAGAAGATGAAAGCTATCCGTTCTGAAGGAAATCAGCCCTGAGTGCTCACTGGAAGGACAGATCATGAAGCTGATGCTCCAATACTTTGGCCACCTCATGAGAAGAGAAGACTCCCTGGAAAAGACCCTGATGTTGGGAAAGATTGAGGGCACAAGGAGAAGGAGATGACAGAGGACGAGATGGATGGACAGTGTTCTTGAAGCTATGAACATGAGTTTGACCAAACTGCGGGAGGCAGTGGAAGACAGGAGTGCCTGGCATGCTCTGGTCCATGGGGTCACGAAGAATCGGACACAACTAAACGACTAAACAACAACAACAACAAACTTACTTGGGGGTCTGTTGAAAGCTTTTTTAAAAGTCCACATACATAATATCAAGTAGATCACTTCTTTCTATTATGCTTGTTGCTATTGTAAAAGAACTCTAATAGGTTAGTGAGACAGGGCTTACCCTTGTGGAAGCCATGCTGGCTGTGCTTCAGCAAGGCTTATTCTTCTGTATATTTGGTGATTTTGTCTTTAACAGTGCATTTTGTCAGACATTAAGCTATGTGGCCTGTGATTTGCAGGAAAGGCCCTCCCCCCACCTGATTCCTTTTTTTAAAAATTGTGTTACATTGGCTGTTTCCAGTCCCTGGGTATGGAGGCTGAACTGCGGAAGGGTTGTTTTCCACGTGGCGTATTGAATCATGTGAAAACCTTGCTTTCATTCTAAAGTGGTACAAATAGGCCAGAATTACATTTTGGTTCATTAACACTTTATGATAATTCAGAAAATAAGTGTAGTTCCTGATGGAATTCAAGTGAAACAGTAGGCTTTATTAAACGAGATACTCTTGCTTTAACTCTACAAAGCAGACTGGGTAGACCAGTCCCAGTACTGAAATCATCTTATTTGTGTTGTAACTGCCTATCAACACAATCATCAGTATACAATTGTGGTATATATATAACAGTTCTCTGACACTGACATGGGTTTCTATCATCATTCATTTCTAAGAAGCTGAAAAACTATTTTGCATCAGCTGCTAGACATATGATCATTCAGAATCATCCTCACTGCAAAACATGCTAGCTAGGAAATGCTCTGCCTGTGGTACCTATGAAGTTGAGCTTAATATTACTTAAGTGCACTAATAATGTTCCACCATTTAGGAATTTATTACATTTAACAAGCCTTTCAAGTCTCTTTCAAGTCTCTTCCAGGTTACATGTAAGCCTTTGCCAAGAAAAATGGTTTCCTCATCAAGAATAAGTGAGGTGTTTCGTTAGGAAAACAAAAGAAAATCTTTCCTTGACATTTGTAATGAGAGCAGATTTTTAGCTTTTCCAAAAAAAAATAACCCCTTATGTCCAAGCAGGCAAAGGATTGTGTATACAGAACAGCTTAGCAACAAATACAGTGAGAAGGTGGGGTTCTCATGTTATGCAATCTTCGAAGTGCTGTAAATTACAGCATGGGTACATTCATTGTGATTGTGGAGTATTTTGACAAATATCAAGTTAACAGTGTGGAAAATTATTACTTTTCACTTGAATTGTCTATAATAGGTTTTCAAAGACAAAAATCAGTTGCCAGATGTCATACTTTATTGCGATGTAGGGCACGAGGGCTTTGTTTGCCCTTGGCACATCTGCCCATTAGTTCATAACTTGCAGAACAGAACCTCAGGGGATTTTGTTGGCAGTTTCTGTTGGCATAGTGGTGAAAGATACCATAGGCTGTTTTTCTAGGGCTGAATTATGAATCATTCATGGCAAAGGAAAATAGCAAGTTGGATACCCCCATGGGGGTAGCTTTGTGCTAATAGCTGATGCAGTCAAACAAGCTCTGTGGTGGGGTATTCAATATAATCAAAGTGATTACTATTTTCTCTTCCATTTCTCACCAATCTGTCACCCTTTAGAGTGTTGCTTACAAGTGCCAAGTGAAGCCTTGCAGTGTCAAAATAAAAATGTGCTCAGTGTAGAACAAATGTCTAGAAATGTTTAACATAGCAAACCTCTAAAACTTCATAGGAATAATAATTTTAAAAATATTAATGGTAATTGAGTGGTGCTAGATGCATGGCTGGTAGTGATTCTGAGGAGTTTTCCATAAAGCTTACATGGCTGGGTGCATTTCTGCAGTCATATGCATATTCCTAGGTGGATGAAAATGATACAACTCCAAGTTCCAAGGTTGCCACTCATCCCTTTCACAAGCCCAAGAAAGCAAAGCTAGCCAGAGGAAGAATTTTATGCAAGCATCTTCTAAATGATATGGGCATGATAATGAATGCTGTGTAGCAGACTTTCTCAACCTGTACATAGTGCAAACTGCTGCTTAATAATATTATCTGAAAGTTCTACCCTATTTGCAGTTAACTAATAACTATAGCAACTGCTCACTTGGAGCATTATTATTAGAAAGTCATTTCTGTTGACTGTGGAAATGATGATCTAATACCATACATCAAGCAGGATACTTTGCTGACACTGACTTAATGTTAGAAACCTATGGTGTCAGTTTGACCTTCTTGAAAGAGGAGACTTTTGACATCAGGCAGCTGTACCATTAATCTGGGTCTAGAAGCTGCAGACAGAAGGAAATTGGCAATGCAGTTTGAATTTCTGTGCAGCTAAGACAATCCCTGATCCCTTTTTGCCCTGGTATAGGTTGTGGTTTTTGGTTGGCCCTGATTAAGCTTGAAAGGTTGCTAAAACCTTTTTCTTTTTACCATAAGTGATGATGGTGGGACAAAGATGTGATTAGCTTCTGTGAGGGTGCCTCAAGTCCGCTGGAGTCTGTTCTAGGTCTTAATGTTGCGAAGCTGTATCTGTAAAGTCACTGTGAGTATTTGTGTGAGACTCTTATTTGCTGCTTCCCGCTGAAACATCTGCATTTTCACTAACATCACTTCTGGCACCAAGGAGCTGATGTTCTTCCCTCATTCATTGCCTCAGGGACCCATTCTAGTGTGAACAAGTCCCTAGTCAGCAATGCTCTTTTTTCCTACTGTGAAGCATGAGCCTGAAGGAATGTACAGTTTCTCTGGCAATTTCATACTGTGGAAGAAATACAAAAATAAAGGCCCCACTTGCAGTTTACAAATATAGCACAGTTACAGATTGCAGCACAGTTTTGTAGATGTCTTTGCCAAAGTCTGTAATAGCACCATTAATGTGTAATTGGTGTTCTAAGTGTTCCAAGCTAATATTTGAAGAGTAATGGTTTTTTTTAAAAAAACAACAACAAAAAACCCTGCTGCCCTTGTTTTGATTGCTGAGGAAGGAAAGATCATCCACACTTCTCTGCTACTTTGTAAAATTCAGACCTAACTGCTTCAAAAACGTGCTGTGATTCTTCATACCTTCCTTGAATTATTTACAGCTTCATGGTACCGAACAGCTACATTAACAGCACCTCTGACTACATGATACTGGTATTTTAATAATTCATTGCTTACTACAGCTGAATCCCTGTAGACTAGAATATGTAGATGCTTGGTTTATAACAGCAGTAAAAACCGCTTTCCCTGCTGAGACCAGCGTTAGTGTATTTTTCCTGTTGATAGTCTCATAGTATGTATAGTATTGAAAAACTGAAGAGAAGACAGTTTTAACGGGCTTTATTCATAAAATTTCATGCTAGTATCCTATCTTCTTCCTCCCTCCAGCCTCTTGTTTATTTCAGGAGTCCCTCCTGAACAATGTTTGATAGGAGGGTATTGGATGATTCTCATCCCAGCAGCAACCCATCCCATATTGTCCATGAGAGCCCTCTATTCTCTACCTCCTGCAGAGGCTTTTTAGAAGACAAATGAGAGAACGGGAAAGTTTACTGATGCGAATTTCCTTATGTTTACTTACCTTAGGATTCAGGCTCTATATTAGAATCCAGCTAGGCTGGATCTAAGCATTTCCAGAAGGATACTATATTACCTTTTGTATGTAAAGCAGGGTGGATAAAAATCAATGATTAAAAATAATCAGATTTTAAAAATTGGATTTTTAAAAAATTGGATTTTAAAAATAAAATGCTTTTGGAGGAAAAAATCTTTATAAAGATAGTTTTCTATTTAAGTTACATTATAGTCCAAAGGCTATTCATCAGGAAATAAGGATTACCGTATTTTTCACTCTATAGGACGCACTTTTTTCCCTTCAAAAATGAAGGGAAAATGTGTGTGTGTCCTATGGAGCGAAGACGCCATAGCCCCGCGACCCTCTCCCGGCTGGAGAAGTGACGCGCGGCTATGGCAGGAGCCTCTATAGCCCCGCGTCACCTCTCCAGCCGGGAGAGGGTCGCGGGGGCTGCTGAGCCCGCGCGCACTCTCCCGGCTGGAGAGGGGACGCGCGGCTATGGCAGGACCCTCTACAGCCCCGCATCACCTCTCCAGCCGGAGCCTCTACAGCCGCGCGTCACCTCTCCAGCCGGGAGAGCGCGCACGGGGCTAAAGAAGCACCCCGCGGGCTTCCCCCCGCCAGCCCCAAAGAGCAGGTCAAAAGGAACCTGAAGCCTGGAGAGCGAGAGGGGTCAGTGCACACCGACCCCTCTCGCTCTCCAGGCTTCCAAGGTAGCCGCCTGAACGCACCTTAAACGGCACCTTGTTTTAGAGCGGGAAAACAAGAGGGGGAAAGTTCTCCCCCTCTTCACAGCGCCTCCTGCCACTTCGCTGAAGGGACGCTGGGCAGAGAGGGGGGAGAATTTTTTTTTCTTGTTCTCCCCCCTCTAAAACAAAGTGCATCCTATTGTCCGGTGCGTCCTATGGTGCGAAAAATACTAGTTTTAAGTTTTTCATGTGTGCTAAAACTCAGTCTCTTAAAAAAAATATTGTTTAATCACATCAGTTAACAAACATGGATACATATGCTATAATGTTATTGTCTTAGTTAAATAAATTGTTTAAATTGTTATTAAGGAAATGATTATTTTTCTCCTTCCAATAAAGTACAGCAGAAAAGTTGTCCAAATATAAACAGTTAACTTATTAAACCTCACAATAATTTCATAATTATCTGTCTATGTATTTCTAATAGTATAACCAAATCAGTAATTTTTGATATAACTATAAAAACTACTCTGAAAATTTATTATTCCAAAAATGAAACCTTTCTGTGGTTGTAAATATTAAGATGATACCAGGAAGAATAGGCCTTTCGGTAAAAAAGTGATTTAAATCAAGTCTTACTGACTAGTGATTAAAATCATGATTAAAATTGATTGCATTTAAATCAAATCCACCCTGGTGTAAAGTACTTTAATGACTTAAAAAACCTGACATGAGCAATTTTCCATTTCCATTATACAGTAACAAAAATTGTTTCACTTCTGTGGTTTGTTTTCTATACAGTAAAACTTTGTGACAGGGGAAGGCTTTCTCTTTAGAGATTTCTTAATTGCCTTTTGTTTGTTTGTTTTGCAACTCTCCATGAAATCCCTATTGTAGACAGGTGTAACTAGATTTTATTAAGGCAGCTGTACCCTCCTATACAGGTTTAAGTTATACTTATTTTAGCAAAGATATATCTGCTTGATCTTGTAGTCAGCCCTTCAAAATCCACCAGCTAATGTCCTTGCCAAAGCAAAAACAGAAACCTACAAGATAAACAACCAGCCGTGTAGCAATGAATCTGACTTATTTGCCAGATTCATGTCATAACATTATAACTGGTTGTGACCTAATGACAAAATAGATTGCTTGATTAAGGACACTAGAACAGCCTGCTGGATCAGAAAAATGGCCCATCTGGCATCCTAGTCTCAGAGTGGCCAACCGGATGCCCCAAAGTAACAACTCTCTCCTCACTTGCGATTCCCAGCACCTGGCATTCAGAAGCACTCTGCCTCTAACAGTAGAGGTAGAACAGATTCAGGTAGGTAGCCGTGTTGGTCTGACACAGTCGAAGCAAATACAAAAATTGTCCAGTAGCACCTTAGAGACCAATTAAGTTTGTTCTGGGTATAAGCTTTCCTGTTCATGCACACTTCTTCAGATACCTTCTTCAGATACCCAGTAGAGGTAGAACAGTTAAGCAGCAAAACTTGAGTCAGCTTTTTGTTTCCATTTAAGGTTATTATGAATTTCTTACTTGCCTTAGCATGACTTTTGTATGCTCTGACATGTTTGGAAAGGGGAGGGGGGAAATCATCTGCTTGAATATGATTATCACTTTGTTCCTAACCAGTTATTGATTGCTTCATATAACAAGGTGCAGTTATTTTTGCCTAATACGCATGTTGCTTTTGCAACATAAGCAGCAGAGCTGCCTTTGGAAAACCTGTTTGTTGTTACTTCTGTCTGTTTAAAACACTACTAGCTAAATACTGCAATGTCATGATGGTGTGGCAGGTTTCTGGATTACAGTATAATTCAAAATATGAAGCTGGTCATTGCAACATTTGGTAGAAAGAATAACAGGGTAAATTATTTTGAGGAAATGTTCCACATGTTTCATTACTAACCTGATAGTGGTGTGTGAATTGGCTCCTAATTGTCCACTGAGTTGCTTTGTAGTAAAGGGATGTATCAGACTAACTAAGCCATATTTAAGAGTAGTGTGAATTTATGACTCATGACTAACTTAAGTCCATTATTTCAATTGGTCTACTCTAAGTATGACATAATCTGACATAACTCAAAGGTTGAAAGTTCAAAGCAACAAATTTGTATCCTCTTGCATCTGCTCAAACCAGATTTTTTTTAAAAAAAATCACAATTAATGAGAATTTATTTTTGATCTTCTGTCTCCTGTTTATCAATAATATAGCAATAATAATATTGCATCTTAAAAAGAGAGGTGCTATAAAATGTAAGTAGCAGGTGCTGTTATCAGCTAATATTGGGGACAAAGCTTTTAGAAAAATCAGGGGAGAAATAGCTACTACTTCATCGATAATAATAATAATAATAATAATAATAATTTATTATTTATACCCCGCCCATCTGGCTGGGTTTCCCCAGCCACTCTGGGCGGCTTCCAACTGAATATTAAAAACAGTACAGCATCAGACATTAAAAACTTCCCTAAAGAGGGCTGCCTTCAGTTGTCTTTTAAAAGTAAAATAGTTGTTTATTGCTTTGACATCTGCTGGGAGGCTGTTCCACAGGGCAGGCGCCACTACCGAGAAGGCCCTCTGCCTGGTTCCCTGTAACCTTACTTCTCGCAATGAGGGAACCGCCAGAAGGCCCTTGGCGCTGGATCTCAGTGTCCGGGCTGAATGATGGGGGTGGAGACGCTCCTTCAGGTATACAGGACCGAGGCCATTTAGGGCTTTAAAGGTCAGCACCAACACTTTGAATTGTGCTCGGAAACGTACTGGGAGCCAATGCAGATCTCTCAGAACTGGTGTTATGTGGTCCCGGCGGCCACTCCCAGTCACCAGTCTAGCTGCCGCATTCTGGATTAATTGCAGTTTCCGGGTCACCTTCAAAGGTAGCCCCACGTAGAGCGCGTTGCAGTAGTCCAAGCGGGAGATAACTAGAGCATGCACCACTCTGGCAAGACAGTCCGCGGGCAGGTAGGGTTGTTTTTTTTTTTAAGATATTTATCGGAATTTTTTTTTTTTTAGAGTTACAAAAGAAAACAAAGTAGAAAAAGAACAAAGAAAGAACAAAGAAAAACACAAACCACATCCAACAATACAAATTCCAAAAAAACAAAAATACACCGCAAACATTTAAAAACAAATCCATTATTCTCAGATCCTCAACTGTCGTTACCTTCTTTCTTTGACCTCCTCCTCCTCCCTATTTTTGTATCCTAGTTGTTAATTGTTGCAGCAAATCCTTTCCATATTTCGTAAAATTCTGTCATTACATTACCTTAAACTATTTTAATCTTATCTTACTATAAAAACCTTGAAACTTAAAACTTAAATCTTATTTTTACCAACTTCTCATAACCATAATATTCTTACATAATTCTTTAAACATTTTTACTAAAGCCAAGTAATTTCATTCCAACATTTTTCTAACATTCATCAATTTTATAAAACAATCCTAGTAGTACAAAAGAAATAAAAACAATCCAATCTTCATCCAGCGTCCCTTCCTCCTGGTCCCGGGTTTTGTCAGTCCTTATTATCCCATCGATCTAGCGCATTAACCTGGTAACCTTATATCCGAGGCCCTTAAGTCTCTTCCATGTCCCTTCCGCAGCTCTTCTTCATATTTGTATCTGTATTTTCCCTTGTCTCCTGCTCGTTTCACTCGTGGGAACTCCAGCTTAACAATATTTTTGACCCTTCTCGACAGATCAGCCCCTTTTCCATAATCCACACTAAATTCCATGTGGTATTTAAGAACATGTTTCAAAATCCCTCCAAAATTAGGAGCCCCCACAATCCCAGACATCTCACGGCCCATTGCCAGACTTGAAAAGTCCAAACATCCCTGCATAGGGGGGTCTATCCAGCCCCCCATTTCCAAACCAAACCAAACTTTTTCTTTCCAAATCTGGCTTTTTCCAAGTTCATTTGTCAAATCCGAAAGCTCATGTTCCTGTTGGGCGTGTTCTGTCAGGGCACACTCCTGATTTAATTCCTGGATGGGCTCCACATATTTTCCCACTGCCTGTTCAAAATTTCCAACTGCCTGTTCAAAATTTCTAATCGAATCAGCCATTAAATTCGTCTTCTCATGTAGCTGTTCCAGTAGGGCATTTGTTTTATAGAAAGCACACAACAGAGCTTCTGAATACATTGTCCTGCAAGGTCAGATGTCTATTCCCACGATTGTAATCTGTAACAGCTGCCAGCTCCCCGGAGTTGGTTACAGTTTCACAGTCTCCCTCTAGGGGGAAAACTTCTATTTGTTTTTTCTTTTAAAGACAAGTCTAGCAACAAAAGTTTCCTTTTTCAGATATTTTGTCAATATTTGTTCCTTTAAGAAGCGAAGGGGAACAATGGAGTCAAAGTTTCTCTTCTTATAGCTATCTGTCAAAAACGTTGTCTCTGGTCAATGAGCTTCAAAAAACGTCAGTCCTAACACCCCGCTCCAGGATCAGGACGGTGGAAAGTTACTTGACTTTACCCTCACTTTTGCAGGTTTAAACAGTCCGAAAAAATCCCCCCTCTTCTCCTGCTTCCGAAGGGGGTTCAACAATTTTAAATGATGAAAGTTAATCTTTTACAGGCGATTTTCTGAGCTCTAGTTTACCATGTCTTTGCTTTAATCTATCTACAAAGAAACGGAAGGCTGACTTCCTGTTTAGACCTTCCCGTTTCAGCTCCAAATTAAGGTAAACTTTTAAGTCCAATTTTCCTTTCTGCTCACAAGTCCTTATTTAGAGTCCAATTGTCCGAGTTTAGGTACTCACGGGTGATTATTTTAGAAGCCAGATTGTCCCAGGAAAAAGGCAGCGCTCTCCGGCAACGGCTGTGCGGCTTCGCTCCACGGAAGAAGCAGTTGACTCTCAGCACCGCGCCACTTCCCCCTCTTCGCTCCGGAGCCCGTTAATGGGTTCTTTTGCGGGTTGGGGGGGCGCTAAGGGTGCCCGCCGAGTCCCATGGTCACAGGCTTCATCCGCCTGTGATTTTTGAATGGGTCCCGCGGGCAGGTAGGGTCTTAGCCTGCATACCAGGTGGAGCTGGTAGACAGCAGCCCTGGACACAGAATTGACCTGTGCCTCCATGGACAGCTGCGAGTCCAAAATGACTCCCAGGCTGCACACCTGGTCCTTCAGGGGCACAGTTACCCCATTCAGGACCAGGGAATCCCCCACCCCCGCGCACCCCCAACCCCCCCAAACAATACTTCTGTCTTGTCAGGATTCAACCTCAATCTGTTAGCCGCCTCCAACAGCCTCCAGGCACTCACACAGGACCTTCACCGCCTTCACTGGTTCTGATTTAAAGGAGAGGTAGAGCTGGGTGTCATCTGCATACTGATGAACACCCAGCCCAAACCCCCGATGATCTCTCCCAGCGGCTTCATATAGGTATTAAAAAGCATGGGGGAGAGGACGGAACCCTGAGGCACCCCACAAGTGAGAGCCCAGGGGTCTGAACACTCATCCCCCACCACCACTTTCTGGACACGGCCCAGGAGAAAGGAGCGGAACCACCGTATAACAGTCCCCCCAGCTCCCAGCCCCTCTAGACGGTCCAGAAGGATGTTATGGTGGATGGTGTCAAAGGCCGCTGAGAGATCCAGCAGAACTAGGAAACAGCTCTCACCTTTGTCCCTAGCCCGCCAGAGATCATCAACCAGTGCAACCAAGGCAGGTATGGCTGACTAGCTGGGGCGGAACTTTCTGTTTTAATGGAGATAGTGTTCAAACATGCCAGGGTCCGTCAACAGTTCGCTCATTCTGACAAGATAAACTGCTTGCCATCTTTGTTATCTGGACTGTTTCATAAACTTGCTCTAGGTGCCAACCCTGCTCTCTCACATACTGTGCTTGAGCTGTCAGCACAAGCAATCTGGGTCTCATCTCCTTTCTGGAAGAGAGCCAAAATGCATTGACAAGGTAAAAATAGAAGTCTGCTTTGATTATTGTATGTTTGTAGTTGTTTTAGGAGCGCCAGTTTTAGGCCCAAGGTCTCCCTCTTAAGAATCAGCAGGGAAATTGTTCTTGCAATAAGAAACAGCAACTTAGTCCCCCTTTGAAAGTTCGGGTTGGAACCTTCCATAAAATGCATACAATCATGCTGATGTTGACAGAATAAGTTTCTTTTTTATTCAACTTTCAGAGCATTATTATTATTATTATTATTAATTTCAGTTCTATACTGCTTTATATTTTAAAGGGAAAAAATCTCAAGAGTGGTTTGCAGCACATTAAAACATCAAATAAAACATTAATGAAGAAAGCAAAATATAAAATTACATTCAGAGCAACATATTAGCAGGAAATGAAAATATTATCTTAAACAGCAAAGTTAACAAAAAAAAATCTTAAAACATTTCAAAAGAAAACATTGCTTAAAGGAAGCCAGTTAGAAAATGCACATTTTAAAACAACATAATTAACAAGAGAATAAAATATTATCATAACCATTGAGCATATCTGCTGCTGTTACTGCTAAACCTGCCATGGCAGGTGGCAGGTGAGGCTTAATGACTTGGGTCTGCACCAAGATGGTATCTGTCCTCTTCAGCAGTCTCAGCTTTTGTAGCTGGAGTCAGTCAGGGTCTTGCCCTCCTAGGCCAGGTGGGAAAAGGCCTGCAAGGCAGGGAGCAGGTCTCCCATGACTCACAGCCAATAGGTTTCCCAAATATATTATCACGGGGATAGTTAACATGGTGTCCACCACACATTTACTGGACTGCAGTACGCATAGTCCCTGACCATTGGCCATACTAGCAGGCCATAGGAATGTCTCATAGGAAAAGTACACATCATAAATAATTTATATATCTGATAATAATCTTTTGACATGTGGTGTGATATAAAACAAATGGCCAGCCATATGAAGTATCAGAGTACAGGCCCACAACAACTTCATCGTGTACGGAACTGCATGTTTGAATTGACTATGGTATTGGGTTATTTTAATTTATATTTTGTTAATTAAATAAAAAATAGTCTACGAATCAAGTGTGCCTTCAACAGTTTCTGCCCACAAATATTTAAATAATCAGTTGAGACTATTGTTCATAGTAAGTAACTTGAAGATGTAGCTTACTACTTTTGATACACAGTATCTGTCAATTCCTGCTACTTCCTAAACTTTGATTAGTCACTTTCTATTGTTGAGCCCATTCACCTCTTGTTCAAGCAATACATTCTGGAGTAATATCATAATTATAAGTAGTATTTCTGATTTATCTCAGGTTCTTCTTTAACCAGGTCTTTGACAGACTGATATTCTACTGCCTTTTAAATGTGTTTGTGGGAGGGGTTATTATTTTGTTGTTTTTGTTTTAACTATTTATTTGTGCCTTTGCATTGTGTTTTTATCTTGTGAACTGCCCTGTGATCTTCTAATGACAGCTCCATCAAATGTGTTTCTCTACTTAAAAATTTCTACCTGTGTTCACTTCAGTTATACTGTAATAATATTTTATTTTATTGCTTCTTTCATAGAAGCTGATATTGAAAAATGTGAGAGGTTATATCCCTATAGTCAAATCTGAAATATTTTGTTGTAAATCCTGATTCTACTGTAAGTCAGGTGACTTATTTTTTAAAACATTGTATATAACTGAGACTATATTCTTTACATTCCTCCCACACTTATGTCTTGCAGTATGTTAAAAGGTCTTAGTTAACTCAGAATTTCCAGTATGTTGACTGCTTAATAGTATTTAATAATATAATATTGCTAATTTAAACCTTTTCTAAGTAAAAATGTGTTATCTTGGCAAATCTTCACAAATTGAGGCTTTTTCTCAATAGGTTTGTTTAATTATTCCCCCAAGCAAAAGTTGATATATTTTGGCTTATTTTGTATTTATCTCAACATTTTTGCAGGTGATTTGGAGCTGGCATTTGTCTCAAATACATTTTACATTTAATTTCTTCAATCCATTTTAAAGCTGACATAGGGAGTGCAATAGATTATTGTTCAAACTAATAACAAACATTGGTTTTCTATTCAGTAATTGGTAATTTATCCAGGTGGCACCTGTCCAATTGGGATATCACAAGCAATCTGGGTTCGTTTCTAAAACATCTAGAACATCTAAAACATACTAGGGGAAAACCATATTCTATCTAAGCAGTCTATTCAGTCAGTTGTATAAAAGAACCAAGAGTGCCATGATCCATGTTATCAGTGTAGATTAGGTAAAGGTACCCCTGCCGTAGAGTCTTGACAGACTCTAGGGTTGTGCGCCCATCTCACTTAAGAGGCCGGGGGCCAGCGCTGTCCGCAGACACTTCCGGGTCACGTGGCCAGCGTGACAAAGCTGCATCTGGCAAGCCAGCGCAGCACACGGAAACGCCGTTTACCTTCCCTAATCAGTGTAGATTAGTTTGCCCAATTTGATATCTTTTAACCAAACTATTGTACTTTTAGAGTATTTAAAACACATTCTGCCCCCTGTCCCCCTTTTAATGAGCATTTCCAGTGTATTAGGACTTTGCACTACTAGTTTGAAGTACAGATTGGCATGTGGTAGTTGCTCAGGACTAGAAAACTTGGATGAATTTTTGAATGAACGAATGAATTAAAAGCTGCAGATGTGAGACTAGAAGAGTCTCTGTCTCTTTGATGTAACGTTAGATAGTATGTAATCAATTTGCAAATACAGTGGTATCTCGGGTTCAGATGCTTCAGGTTACAGATGCTTCAGGTTACAGACTCCACTAACCCAGAAATAGTACCTTGGGTTAAGAACTTTGCTTCAGGATAAGAACGGAAATTGTGCGGTGGCAGCGCGGTGCCAGTGGGAGGCCCCATTAGCTAAAGTGGTACCTCAGGTTAAGAACAGTTTTAGGTTAAGAATGGACCTCCGGAACGAATTAAGTTCTTAACCCGAGGTACTACTGTACCTCTACCATCATTGAAGTTTTATAAATTTAGTTTTATACTGTCTGAACTATTTATAATCTTGCAATTTTCTTTTTCCATCCTCAGAGATTTGAGTCATTTATTATCTTCTAACTGGAGCATTGATTCATCGGGTCAAACACTACAAGAAGTGTAAGTTCTTCTAGCTATATTGTAATACGCCATGGGTTTGTTTTGGTGGTAGGCATAGTAATGTAATTTCCATCAGCAAACAGCTGAGCTGCCGTAATATTACAGGGGGACAGAACAGGCAGAGGTTTAAGAAAGGAGAAATAGAAAAAATGGGCTAAGCAGAGAGGGATGGCCAGCCCGGTGCCCTCAGTTGTTGCTAGACTCCCACCTCCCATCAGCCCCAGCCAGTATGTCCAGTGGTCAGTGCCGATGAGTGTTGTAGTCCTGACAATATATTGAGGGCACCAGTTGCCTGTCTTTTTGACAGTAGGGTTGGCTCAGGGAACAACCCAGAGGGAGGGTCCCAGGAAGGGAAGCTGTTTAGAAGATGTAAATGTGGCAGGAACTACAGAAGGTTGTCATTTGAATACTGATATTAATCAACCAGCATAATCTTTGGCTGTATCCCTCTAGTCATTATAAATGCTTTAGATTGAAGGTGAATAGTGTTGATTTCGACACAACATTACATATATATTTTCATAAGCAAGTTCCATTGTCTTCAGTGGGTTTACTTCCAGGTCAGCATATGTAGATTTGTAGCTTTGGAGTGCTGTGGTGAATTTTAAAAATCTTTAATCCTAAATGTTGTGACTTGCTTCTGAGACCTTGGCAAACTACAGTTAGTTGGGAGTGTGCGCTTTTTGTTGCACTTCCATTGCTTAATTTCTGATTATTAAGATGGAAATAGTAGTGCTGTGTTGTTGGGAATTTTGTTAATTTTGACTTCAAGATTTAGCAATAATTTCGACTCCCAAATATTTGCATGCTCAAGCGTCTTCAGAAAACAGTAGAGATACTATATTTATGAACATCAGGATATTTTAGGTGTCAACAGCTCCTGGGATGCCCATCAGGGAAGGCAAATCTATAATCTAAATTCAAATAGTCATATTTTAATCTTCAGAATCTTTTATATGAACATCATACCTTTACTTTTCATTGATAAGGTATATCAGGGTCAGTTTTATAGTACTACTACTAATCTTGCTAGCTGAATTCTTCGCCCAGCCATGATGATTGAAATTCTTGGTTTTGCTAATTTAAGTAAAACACTTATGTGCTCTGAATTGCTTAGCTTTCCAGACTGGTAATTATGTTCATAGTTGAGGAATATGCTAGCTTTGTGTTTTGCAGGTGTCAAACCAGCGTGAAAGGGTTGTGATGATATTTAAATACAAAAAGTGTTTAGGTTACCCTTTGTCTTTATTGACCATCTGTATATTCGAAGTGCCAGTAAAGGAATCTCTCTTTCAGAAAAATGAATTACAATGAGCTAACTGACATTCCGTACTTTGGTGAATTGACTTCTAATATCACGCAACTCTCGCTGTAAGTAAATATTTATGGGTTTTTTAAATCTGCAGTTGAGCATGAGCAGTGCACAAACATTGACTGGTGGGAACATTGTTAAAGGAAATTGAAGCATGCACTTGAGGTTTTTTAAATGTTTGATTTTTTGTTCATGTTTTTATATATACTGTAAGCTGCCCAGAGTGGCTGGGTATGGGCAGGGTATTATTATTATTATTATTATTATTATTATTCAGTGTAAATCTATGTGTGAAGTATTGTATGTCTTTACATTACAAAACACCAGTTAATAGCAGAATAGTGTCCATAATCTTTCTAACTTGCCCATCTGATTACTCTGACTTTTGTTACATTGTGTCCCTGGAAAGTGGGCTGTTCAGTTAAGTTGTTCTGGAATCATAATTCCCAAAGAGAAATGTTCTATCCCTTGATGCTTTGCTGTAAACTCAACCTTACACTCATACTAAGAGAATGAGGTTCAGCTTTCAACTGGCTGTTTAAACCAGATTCCTACAGGCATCAAAATAACTTCCGTGTGTCTCATTAGAGACACATTGCATTAGCCTAAAATATTTTAAATTTTGCTGCTGAACTTCAGAAATGGTCTAGCACTTTTCTTTCTATTTTTAGAGTGCATAATACAATCTCAGAGATTGTCCCTGATCAGCTACAGCATTACATTTCCTTGGAGAACCTTGACCTCAGCTCTAACCTAATCTCTGAAATCAAAGCCTCTTCATTCCCACGGATGCAGCTGAAGTATCTGTAAGTAGGAGGAGGTTGCTAACCTGCTATGTTGAAAGCACATACTTTAACATCTGTATATCCATCTTCAACACCTTTCCCAAAGGATTCAAGAACTAGCATGGAATGCTGTGCAACAGAATTCTTTTATGTTTCATCTTCACATAACTTCTTAACAGCAGAATGATTTCTGAAACAAAGTTATAAATCTGTTCTGATTACTAATATGGTCAGGAAATGCTATAGTTTCATAATTCAAGGTCTTGTAACTGAGTCCCTCTGGATTGCAGGAACATGCAGTTCTGTTTGCTGGAGGGGGTAAGGAGGATGAACATGATAAATGTTTATATAATTGTTCATGGTGTGGATTACTCAACAGAAATTGATTTACACTTGATCAGGGGTTGCCAGTGTTTTCTGATGAGTGGGCTCATTTTGAATTTTGAGAGAGGGTACCAGTTACAAAATGGCTGCCATGGAGGCAGCATGGCATAACACAAAATGGCTGCTGCGTGGAGTGTGGCATGACACAAAATTAGAGACGACCAACCTCAATGACCTCATTCTTACCCGGGGAAGTCAGCTATGTCCTGCTGGTGCTGATTATGGAGAACACACACAAACACAGATGCTATTTCTGTCTAATAACAACAGGGAACATTCCTCAGCACCAGGGAAAATATACAGTGTAGGCATACCACTCCAATTTCACGGAAATCACTTGTAAGGCACCTGCACATTTTGCTCCAAAACTATAAGAGGACTAGAGACTTAGGGGTTTGTTTGTTTTTTAATGGAAGCTGGGGCATCTGCTCAGGGGCACCACTGGAAGCTTTCATGGGTGGCATGACACCCACAGGTGTTGGGTTGGTAACCCCACACTAGATTCAAACAGACATAAAGAAGTGGAAATTAGTTCTCCCCAGGAGGCATTGATGACCACCAACTTGAATGGCCTTAAAATAGTATTAGACACATTCATGGAGAAGAGGGCTATTAGTGGCTACCTCCACAGTTGGAGGCAGCAGTGTTCCCAGATACCAGTTGCTAGAAACCAAGGGAGGGGAGAGTGCCCATCTGCTCACTGGTTTCTTACAGGAATTAGGTTGGCTACTGTGATAACAGGATGCTAGAATAGATGGGCCCTTGGCCTGATCCAGCAGGCTCTTCTTATATTCTTATGTACATAATTGTGCTTGATTAGCTCTTGACTGTAGCCACTCAGGATCAGTGAAATAACCTTCAATAAACTTTCTCCTTTTTGAAACTGGGCTTCCTCGAGGGAAGGAGTAGCAGCTCCTTTGAAATTATTGTGTAGTTTGTCAAGCAGGATTCAATTATATAAAGCTGTGTGTTCCTTTTGACTGTGCTTTAACAGGAATCTGAGCAACAACAGAATCACTACTCTGGAAGCAGGCTGTTTCGATAACTTAACCAGCTTCTTAATCGTTTTGAAACTAAACAGAAACAGAATAAGCATGATTCCACTGAAGACCTTCAGGTTGCCTCATGTACAGTTATTGTAAGTGTTTATACCCTATAATCAGTTCTGAACCTTTTCTGAATATGCCAAGCACTGTTAGCAACAGGACTTAGGGTGTGGGTGCTGCTGTTCTTCACTCACTGGACTGGAACAGGGTCAGGAGGAGCGCTAGGTCACCAGTGGTGTCCACCCTGCAGGTGCAGGCACATCTGCAGGGTTGCCACCGCTGCTGCCAACCAGAGTTGGCAGGATGGGGACAATTCATTTTGCCCCACCCTGCCAACTGGCTGGGAGGGCACTGCTACCATGCCACCCCCTCATTTGCTACTGCTAATCGCTATCAAAAAGATGTGAGATTAAATATATCTTTGCATTTTATGTGCACATTTTTTAAAGAATGAAAGTAGCCTCCAGTGGGATAATCATCACTGCAGGAGGTGGGGAGGGCAAGTTCAAGCAATTCCATCCGTGCTGTGGTCCGGATGTGTATTGTTCCTCCAAAACTGCAGAGAATTGGTAGGGAAATTCATATTGATAATCAGTGAATCCATGTTGCATGATTTTGCAACTAAGTTCTTGCTCACTTGCATTTGATTTTTTTGAAGTTCTGCTGCTTCCCTTTTGAATGGCTAAATGACATCCGCATAGATCAGAATCTTAATAGTACTACTAGTGTTTTTGTGAGACAAGAAGCATAGAGCAAATAAAGATTATACTTTGATTTCAACCAGCTAACATTTATAATACTATTATTTAGGGAACTTAAAAGAAACCGAATTAAAACAATCGAGAGCCTTACCTTCCAAGGCTTGGACTCCTTAAAATCATTAAAAATGCAGCGGAATGGAATTAACAAGCTAATGGATGGTGCCTTCTTTGGACTGGATAACATGGAAGAGTTGTAAGTACACATTGTTATGGTTTCTTCATAAGAAGGCCTGGAGGAATGTACTTGATAATCAACAAACCTAGGACTGGATTTAACTAACCGGTCCTGCTAGCAGAAGCCCATGCAAGGACATCCACTCGCACAATGGGTCTCTTCCCCGCTCTCCTTCCTCCTCATTGTTTTAGGATGAATGGGTGGGAGAACTTCCAGAACTTGGAGGGCACAGAGAAGGAAGATCATTCCATCAGACAAGCCATCTCCTGAGCAATATGCTGAATTACTAGCATGTCTTCTGATTGAGTTGATTACTTCTCAGTTATAGGACAAAAGACATTGTTACGATGTCTTCGTAGTGTTAAAGTGGTCACCACTTTTTTAACTTTAGAAGAAGCAAAGCAGAACGATAAGTGGATGCCTCTAGAGATTTGAACAGTCTCCCAGGGTTGAGTAGTTTGGACCAAAACTGGTTTTGGTAGAGAGTATAATCATCACATTTAACAGTATGCTCCCTATTGTGTAACTTCTAGGTTTCCATAGAATGGTGGCAGGTTATGTTCTCCCAAATAATACAATCATAAACGGAATTGAGTTACTGAATTCATCAGCTAACCCTGTTCCTGCCTCACTAGGCCACTTTCCCCATGTCTCTTGCTTCCTAGTTAACCATTTTATTTCACTGTGCTCTCGGATTTTTACTTGTGTGTTGAGGACTATTATGAAGCTTAGTATTTGTAAATCACTCTGCATGTGTCCCCAGTAAAGTGGTAGAAAAGTATAGTGCTCACATATAACATTTGCTTTTGCTTCTACAGAGAACTGGAACAGAATAACCTGACAGACATAAACAAGGGTTGGCTGTATGGTTTGAAGGCATTACAGCAGCTCTATATCAGCCAGAATGCCATTAACAGGATCAGTCCTGATGCGTGGGAGTTCTGCCAAAGGCTTTCTGAACTGTAAGAACTATGATTTGATTCCTTGGGGCTTTTTTCTGATGTTAACTGGAGTAAAATCAGTAACAAAAATGATCTTCCTTTAGTTTCTGCAGGGAAAGTTGCTTAATTTCTCCAACAAAAAGGTCTCATTCTTCTTAAATAGTTTCGTGATGTCATTGCACTTCTACTTTTTTATCTATTTAAATTTCTCTCTCCATTGTGTTACATTTCAGTGATCTATCTTACAACCAGCTGACCCGCCTAGATGAATCTGCTTTTGTTGGGCTGAGTTTATTGGAGAGATTAAATCTGAGTGACAACAGAGTCAGTCATATCGCGGATGGTGTCTTTAAAGGACTTTCAAATCTGCAGTCTTTGTAAGTGCGTAAAACAGATAAATAAAGTAGACATTTATTATGAAGAGTATAGCTATTCACTGTGATAAGTAAAAACCCAATGAAAAGTAGCAGATTTTAAATTAAAAAATGAATTCAAATGTTAAATGTTGGTTCATTTAGCACATGCCTAAATAGTCACAGTCTTCAGAAAAGCTTATGTAAGCAGTTATAGTCTCTTAATCTTAATACAAACTTTAAATGATCCAGTTAAAACTAATCTTTAGACTTACAATAGCATGAAAAAGAGCAGCAGTTTAATTAGTGGATTTGGTTAGAATCTAAGGAGGTGTCAGGCAGCTGACCCACAGGCTTTTTGGTTCAGGGTCGCTGGCTCTTTAGACAATGGGATGAAAATGTTTAACAGGGCTCCAAGCATTCATGCCTAACCAGGCATGAACAGCAAACTCAGCTGGCCCACACATAAGGGCCTGCTTTGAGTTTCTTAGGTTCTTCAAAAGAACTTGCCATGCTTCAAAGTGGGATGGAAATGTGGGAATTTTAACAGCCAGGAAAATTCTCATAAAATTGAATATATTCTATTTTTATTACTTTACCACTTCAAGGACCTAGTTCCAGGCAGAAAAGTGGGCCATAGAAGATTTGTTATGCAGTACAGTCATACCTCGGGGTGAATACGCTTCAGGTTGAGCATTTTCGGGTTGCGCTCTGTGGCGACCTGGAAGTAATGGAACGTGTTACTTCCTGGTTTCATCACTTGCACATGCGCAGACACTCAAAATGACATCATGGGCATGTGCGGAAGCAGCAAAATGCAACATGCGCAGTCGTGTGTTACGTTTGCTTCAGGATGCGAACAGGGCTCCGGAACGGATACCATTCGCATCCAGAGGTACCACTGTACAAGCTTCTCTTTGCATTTGTAAGGTGTAAGTTAACGCTAGCGGACCTATTGGCTGTGTTAATACATCACTCTAAAGCAGCTTAGGTCAGAGACAGCCAATGTGGTGCCCTCTAGATGTTGTGGACTGCAACCCCCATCATCTCTGACCATTGGTCATGCTGGCTAAAAGTACCACATTGGCTATCCCTGGTTAAGCACAATTTCAGTAACTAGAATCAGCCATAGTGAGCCTCAGACTCACATGATCCCCCCTCCCATCTCCTCTTCCCACAAGGTCAGCAAGAGGCTTTCTGAAGCTTCTGAACCAACAAACTGTGATTTAACTTGGCTTGTTTCAAACACACTAGTGTTAACCACAGCCTCACTACAATTTGATGATTTGGACAGAACAAAAAACCCACAGGGAAGCAGAAACCACACAGAAAAAGAAGAGCTATTATGCATAAGCCCATAGCTTGCTGCAACTTCTTTTAGCCTATACATATTTTGCTAAGCTATGGTTTAGCTGCTTAATTTTAGTGTGACCCTTGAACACAGCCGTTGAGAAAAATCTTTTTAGTTATGGAACCAGCCAGTAGGCAAGGCATTGGACTACAGACATTTGTGCAGTTATGTATAAAGCATTGCAGATCTTCTTAAGTGTATTCTCACTTTATAATATTAATGAAACAAATGAAACAACATATTTAATGTTGTGATGTATACCAATAGATTGTATCAAACAGCAGAATCCTCCTGTTTAAAAATGCAGTATTGATTGCGTCTTATATGCCTTGTCACTGATAAACTGATGGCTAAGCTCTAAATTCCTCTGTTCACTGAGCTGTAAACAAAATGAGAATTGTTGCTGTGATATATTTATGACCTGCCTTGTAAAGGAAATGCACTGCTGAATCTATTAGACCTTAATGAAGCATCTTCCCCTGCCCAAGAGGAGCTTGCTGAATTGGTTTTAAACAAGAGCCTTCTCTTCTGTGCTGGGGGTAGAAGTGCAGTGTAAGGGTCAGACAGAAATCCCATTAGCCTGTAACAGGATTTGTGAGCAGAACCACCCACACTTCTCTCTGAAACTCTACTCTTTTATGCCTAGCCGTTCTTCACCTGACCTGTATATAATCTCTTAATATGCTAACGTTATTACAAGCTTCTCACTCCAGAAGATTAAGCAATGTACAGGCAGCATTAATTCAATTCATAAGTCTCTTATGAAGGCTCCCCCAGTTCATGGTCAATGGCATATTGTGTTTACTAGATTAACAGATGTTACTCTGCTGAGGAAACAGTGCTGCAGGGCATGTGAATCCCAGGCATGCTGGTAACTTTAGTTGACTGAGCAGTTGCCTTTCACTTTGTATTGGTTCCATAGGGACATTTTCACATATTAAAAGTGACCAAAATTGCTTTCATGCAAAGATGTCTGATCATAATGGGGTAGGGTAGAGTATGTACTATGCACTAATGTTACTGTCTCTGTGAAGAGTGCTGCCATTTTGAAGCCAGCAGATTTCTCATTATGAGGATTTATAGCCCCAGTCTAGTAAAAGAGGCAGACAATCTCTTTGCAAAGATGACATCTTACGTTTCAAAAATCACAAGCCAGCAAAGGGAACAGAGGGGAGCTGGTGTTGGAGTTGTGGCTAAAGTTCTCATGTGTTGTTCTTTGGTGCATTTGTTTCTTTAGAGACTTGCGAAATAATGAGATCTCCTGGGCCATAGAAGACTCAAATGAAGCATTTGTTGGACTTGACAGGCTCAGTAAATTGTAAGTCTTACTCGTTATAGAATTGACATCCCTACCAGAATGGAAGTAAAGACCCAAATATTTGTATTTAGTAAAAACTTCAAAAACTTATGCAACAGTAGCCCCACTCAGGCATGTGATTGTACTGGAAAGCCTCCCCACCCCCCTTGTTAGCCTATTCATCTTTACAACCACCATGAATTAAGGCATTCTTTTGAACTGGGGAGCCTCGTCTATTATTGGAAGCTCCCTGCTACACAATTTAGAGCTTTGATTATACTCATACAAATGATCACCTGAAGAGTTTTACTCTGAATTGAAAAATCTATTTAGTAACACTTACGATCACTAGTACATCAAGAAAAAAACTGGCTTGGACATCCCATATTTGAGCTAGGATTTTTCAGGTAATTTGTCTTTTATAATATATTCTTACAGGCATGGTTCAAAGTCATGCTCATTTTCATCCCACCTGGAAGGGAAGTCAGGAAAGGGGTAATTTTTAACCTTCTGATTTCAGGGTCCGAGGGCTTTTGTAGCCTTGTAGATAGCACAGTTCAGCTTGTATTCTTCCTCTCCCTTCCACCGATCACACTAAAGGTTTCTTACCCTCACAATTTATGAAGAAAAGGCCCCTGCACCACCATGTGGTGGGACACAAATTACTTTTCCCCTCTTGTATGTTTGCTGGAAAACAAATAGCTATGGGGAAAACTTCTAGCCAGAAACTTCTAGCCACTGTCAGGGACCCCTAACCTGTAATCTTTATATCTTTTCCCAATTCTGCCCATGCAATTTGCGACGTGCCTACCACTTGACTGTGCAAGTTGCCTTTCCCTCCTGCTGGTTATTTTCTGACCCTTAATTCTGTGCTTTGGAAATGTGTATACTCTCCTCTTCCTCCTCTTTTACAATCTTAAGGCCAGAGAAGAGTTGGCGGGGGTGGTGGTCCTAAACACTTATTTACCAGGCTCCCTGATTCTGTTGTCGTAACAAATGTTGGTTAATTTACTTAAGATTACTTAAGATTTTCCTTTGGGGTATATTTTAGGATTCTGCAAGGAAACCAGATTAAGTCAATCACAAAGAGAGCATTTTCTAGCCTTCAGGCTCTTGAATATCTGTAAGTATATGTTGCAACCTTTTCTCTGTCAACCAAGTTTTTTCTTCAAATTTGCATGCATCCCAGTTTTCAGAGGTGCAGAACACAATTCACTCATGCAGGCATGATTTTTACTTAATTTTGCAGAGATTTGAACAACAATGCAATAATGTCTATTCAAGAAAGTGCTTTTTCCCAGCCTCTTCTTAAAGAACTGTAAGTATCTAGTCCTACATGTTTTACTTCAATAGAAATGTTACAACTGGTATAAATATTTTACTTGCAAGGCACTTGTGATCAATAAAAGTGTATTGGAACTCAGTTTCATTTCTTCATGGTCTTTAGTAATACATTCTCAAATGCTCCATTGGTTCTCCTCCCCCCCTGTTCCTGCTGTTGCACCACAGATAAAACAAGCCAAAGTCTGTCTTGTCCTGTCTGATAATATGCTTATAGTTAGTTTCCTTGGCTTGTTCTTGGCTTACTCCTCATGGTCTGAGAGAAGCAAACCACTTCTTTCAGGGTTTGGATGACACGTCAAGACAGACTCTTGTTTCATCTGCAGCATGGCAGGCATTGGGAATGAATGCCCTGGGAATATTTGAGCAGGGTGCACCAGCACACTGCTTGTTCACATTGAACCATAGTTTGTTTTAAACTATGGCTTAATATAACATGCAAACTGGGCTAACAATATAAATGGCTTTAGAAATTTCCTGACAATTTCAGTTAATGACATAGTACTGGTCTGAAGTACACCACAATCTGTATACAAGTTCATTTTTGCTGTAGAGTATATGCAATACTCTAAAAACAGCCTTAAGTCATACATAAACATTTAAGCTGATAATAGAAGTTCAGGATGGGGGGGAGGGGCTGGTAAAGCTGGTCCTGAAAATATTTGTGGTGTTTCATCTGAGAGGCCAGTGGTTAGATGACTCTTTTAAGAATGAATATGGAATACCAACTGTTTTCTTACAAAAGAAATGGCGGGATACATATACGGTAAGCCTGATATCTGAAGCAAAATGTTAATATGGTTTGACATCAGAAAACAGAACAGTCCCCCCTCTCGAGCTGCTAGAGTCAAATAACTCAGTTCCACACAAGTTAATTTTCAGGCAGCAACCATCTGTTGAAGCTCTGCATGAAACACAGATATGCAAACAGGTTCATGACACGCCCAGCAAGTCATATTTTTTGGTGGCGTGGAGCATGTGGTGGTTGGCTAGTCAGGTATCTGGTACACCATTCACAGGACTGAGTACCAAGAATTGGCATGGAATGAGTACCTGAAAGTAATACTGATGAGAAAATGGACAGTGAGGCTTAGGAGAGAAAAATAAGAAAACATCTAGCCTTGCAAGGTAATGAGACAGCTTTGTGTACTTTGAAAGGGCCAAGGTCACAGTGCTTTCTGTGTAATTGGAAAAAGATGGAGAATGCTGTTCCACATTATTTTCTTGTGGAAATTAGTATTTTTCTCTGCCTTGTGAGTAGTTGTTGTCCTCTAAGCATCAGGCTTGTTTTTTCAGAACCCTGCTCTTTCCTTTACAAGCAATATCATATAGGCACTCTCTAAAATGAAGAATATGAAGACTGTTTGTTAAAACTGTTTCTCAGTTAGCTAATTCTTACCAGATGGACTGTAAAATGCAGTCTTGCTGAAGGTTCTTCCCTGCACAGGGTATAGAGATCAAAATTGGCTCTGCACTTGAGCAATTTAGGACCATTTCCTGTGTATGTTCAGGAAAAAAATTATCAAATGGACTGATACATTACTCTGGGTTTTCACCAGTTACTTTCATACCTGCTGTCAAGAATGGGAGGCATTTTCAGAATTACAGTGTTTGCGAAAGGCATTATTATGAAATCAGTTATATAACCAATAAGATACATGTGTATAATGCAGTGCTAGAAATTGATTTAGTCCCAGAGGTATTCTGCTCAGCATCATCTAAACAGTCAAATTACAGTGTCATGTTTTATTTCTCATAGACTGCTCATTGTTTTGATGGAAATCTTAGGTTTATCCTTGGGGCATGATTGTGGGTGTGGATAAAGTTTTTAAGGGTATGAATTGGGATTTATATTCTTTTGCCACATATTTACACTACAGTATATTTTATATTTAAGGCCTGCGATCCCCTGAACTATCTAAAACAGAGATAGGAAACCTGTGGTCCCCTGGAAGCCAGTGACCTTCAACTCCCACAATTTATGGCCATGTGGGGCCACTGGAGTTAGGAGTTCAACATCACCTATAGGGCCAGATGTTCCCTATTGCTGTCTAAAACATAAAGAGCATCTCTTAATGTCTTTTTACCCTCTTGACTTGGTGCATAGTGTGTGTGGGGGGTGTTTCTTCTTACTTGTCCTTTACGTGGTTGTACTGCTACTGTCCTGCGAAGGATGCTTTAAAAAAAGTGTTTTGTAGGAAGGTGACCTTTTTGTGGAACAGCCTCTCATTTAGAATAACACATTATATGTGAAGATGGAGAAATGTGAATTTGTTTACAGCAACGAGAGACACTGAAGCTACTCAAAATACAGTTAGGACTCATTACCAGGCAGTTCACGTATATAGTGTTACAAATACTTTAGCAGATGTATGGGGGAGGGGGGAGATCTGCTTGGTGACTGCAGATGAAGTGTCATTTGCTTACTTACAAAAACTTAGACATTTTCCTTTTGCCTTTACATTTTCAGGGTATTGAACACTAGCAGCTTACTGTGTGACTGCCAGTTGAAATGGCTGCCCCAGTGGCTTAACCACAACCATTTGCAGGATGCTGTCGGTGTCATTTGTGCCCACCCCGAATGGCTGTCTGGCCAGAGCATCCTCAGTGTGAACCCTGAAGACTTCACCTGTGGTTTGTGCTCTTAACGGCTTTATTTATTTACTGCATTTGTATCATAGCTTCCCAGGGCACATTGCCCTTATGACATCTGCCTTGGAAAATAATCATGTGTGAGAGTTGGGGAGAGGGGAAATGGCTTCGCTGACTTGTTCAGTGGATATATTACAATCCTATGCATGTCTAGTCAGACATAAGCCCCATTGAGTTTTGTGTGGCTTACTTTCTGTAAGTGTGTTTTGGATTGCAACCTGAATTGGATTTTCATGGATTGTGATGCCCTCCCTGCAGTGTTACAAGACAACATTTATGCTTCCTGTTTATGTATATTGGACACTCTTGTATCCAGATTCCAGAGATTAACAGGAACACTGGTTCATTTAAAGATACTTCTAGATCATCATCTGTAGGAGTTTTCCCACAGTGGAACCATTATAGCAAGTCACTGTAAATGAGGGGTGGAGAACTTGTGGGCCTCTAGAAGTTGTTGGACTTTGATCTCTCATCAGCCCCAGCCAGCATGACAGAATGTGGGGATTATGGGAGTCATAGTCTAGCAATAACTGAAAGGCCTATGGGAAATCTGTTGTGGAGGGAGAGAGTTAGGGGCAGAGAGTGTGAAAGAAGCCTTTGTTTTGAAGCCAGTGGAATTATGTCATGCTGAAACGTAAAAGCTCTTCCTTTCCCAGGATCTAAGCCAGGGGGTGCCAACCTTCATTTGGCCCATGGGCACATCTCAGAACATAAGAAACTATTGAGGGGACAACCCACCCCACACTACAGCCCCAGCAATTAGACTTGCAAAAAAAAATTGTTTGTTTGTTTGTTTGTTTTGTTTCAAGCCTAAAGACATTGCTACAATTAGGTTTGCAAGAATCTAATTTTCAAATCTAATTGCGGGTGGGCTACATTTTCTGGGGTTAACTCTTCCTTTCCCCAGCTGTGGCAGTCCTGAAATTTTCCGTCCTCTGTTGCAGAGACTGTAGCCAATAGAAAATTTCTTTCAAGGCTAATTGACAGGTGGGGGTGGGTTGGTGTCACAGTGGTGTCCACACCCAAATTCAGCCCAAGCTGTAATTAGCCTTCAAAAAAAGCCTTCTATTTGCCACAATAAATGACATTTTTTTCAAGGCTAATTGCAGCAGAGAGAGGAGGGTCCCCTCAGGGCTACCAGAAAAGACCCTGACATATGCATGTTGACTACCCCTTAATCCAAAAATCTATTAAGAAGAGGCTGCAGTATTGCTGTTTAGTACTACTGTTGAGTTTTTGCTACTAACTGCAAATACTTTTAACTGGGTTTTTTAAAAAAGCAATTGTAGATATTGTAGATATTAGCAATTGTAGATATTAACATTGTAGTCTGGATCTTCTTGAAGTCCTTTAGGCAGGCAGAATCTGAGAGCTTGAGTATCAGGAGCTTTATCTCTCTTCCTACGAAGGGGTACGAGCAACAATTGGCTGCACACAATATGTATGCATTGCCAAAATACTCAGGAAAATGATGAGTGTGTGTTAACAACTAAATTGTAATTAGGGAAGGAAATTAATATTGCCCAGTGAAGTATGGCTTAATTCCTGAAAGTAGGTAGCATTCAGATTGTTAGTTAGCAAACATTGTGACAAGGAAGTGGTAATATCACTTGTGCTGAATGCATAAAGTGGTTCTTTCCCCCTCCAATTGAGATCCACAACTGGGTTTTAAGAGACCTTGCAACTGTCCTTCTGCAGATTTATTCATGTTCATATTCCTTAATGGTGAGTTCTAAGGACTCATGACAAAATCCCTTCATCTTGCAGTGTACCTCTTGCTTATACTCGTAACACTGACAACCTGCTTCATACCCACATAGCCAGTTCTAGTGTGAACACATAGATAATAGAAATCTCTTAGTTTGAGGAATTAAGGGCAAGTGTCACCTCCAGCACAAGCTCAACTGTTACATTCTGCATCAGTATTTGTTAGCTTAGTTACATGCTGAAGAAATGTGATCTGTGTTTCACAGATAACTTTCCCAAGCCACAGATCAGAGTGCATCCTGAGACTGCCATTGCACTAAGAGGCACCAACGTCACCCTGACTTGCAAGGCGGTGAGCAGCAGTGATTCGCCTATGTCCACCACCTGGAGAAAGGACAGTGAAATACTGTATGATGCAGACATTGAGAATTTTGTCAGGTACCAGCAGCAAGATGGTGAAGTACTGGAGTACACCACTCTCCTGCACCTTTTCAATGTGAACTTCACTGACGAAGGAAAATACCAGTGTATCATCTCCAATCACTTTGGATCTAATTATTCCAACAAGGCCAAGTTGACTGTCAATGGTATGCAGTAGTTTTTGTTTTTCCTTTCTACACACACACACACACACACACACACACATCACTAAAACGGTTTGGAAACTTTGGATAGTTCACTCAGAGGTCTAAAGGAAAGGCACCCCCAGAGGTCTTCTCTTTTGTTAATCCACTAGAGCAGGGGTCAGCAAACTTTTTCAGCAGGGAGCCGGTCCACCATCCCTCAGACCTTGGGGGGGCCAGACTATATTTTGAAAAAAAATATGAATGAATGCCTATGCCCCACAAATAACCCAGAGATGCATTATAAATAAAAGCACACATTCTACTCATGTAAAAACACTAGGCAGGCCCCACAAATAACCCAGAGATGCATTTTAAACAAAAGGACACATTCTACTCATGTAAAAACATGCTGATTCCCAGACCGTCCGTGAGCCGGATTTAGAAGGCGATTGGGCCTGATCCGGCCCCCAGGCCTTAGTTTGCCTACCCATGCACTAGGGAAGCTGAAGACATTGGAATAGTTTTGGATGTAAAAAAGCTTGGATTGCACAAGTGCCCAGAGACTCCTTCTAACCAGACATAGAGAGCTGCCCAAACAGCAGCATTTCCCCCGAGCATTTTCTAGTTTGGAAATGAGCAGTGTTCGTACTAGCTGCAATCTCTTTGTGCACAGATTTCTCAATCCAAAACTGCCTCTTTAGAACTAGTCCATGTCTAAGAAGCAGCTTCAGCTGCTTATTATGCTAGGCAAATAAAGATTCTCTCTTGCCTTGCTAAAGGTGCAGCCAGTTTCAAATTATTCCCTTGTGTACTACCCTTTACTAAATGAAAGCAGCCTAATGGGGTTGTCTTTGCCAGGGCAGGTTTTTACTTACCTTTGGCTGAATTAAAATAACTCACATCCGTTTTAATCAGTATTAATGGGTGTAAGAGAGACAGAAAGAGAGCTCTCGAGGAGTGGCATATTCAAAAAAGACAAAAAATCATTTGTATTTCCTGTGAAAAATTGTTAAAACTTCTGCAAGCAACCTCATTCAAGAAAAAAGCTCAAACATGATGAGGACTCACAAGCTTGCTGTGTGCTAATTTATTTATTTCTTTTAAAGAAAGGTTAGGTGTAACATCCTCCTTTCTCATGAGATCTGAATTGCTGTTTAGGGTGGTTTTTAAGAGCAGTATGCTAGAATTCTTACAGATCTAAATTAAAGAGCTTGAAGAACTTAACAAGGGTTATGCCCATTCTTAACAAAGTGAGTTAGGGATGCTGTGATTAGTATTAGGAAACCTTACTTGGTTATTTTAATGTATGTCTTCATTCAGAGCTGCCTTCTTTTGTGAAAACTCCAATGGATCTAACAATCCGGACTAGAGCTGTAGCTAAATTGGAATGTGCTGCGGAAGGCCATCCACCACCTCAGATTTCCTGGCAGAAAGATGGAGGCACAGACTTCCCTGCAGCTCGTGAAAGGCGCATGCATGTGATGCCAGAAGACGATGTCTTTTTCATAGCAAATGTGAAAATAGAAGATATGGGCATCTACAGCTGCATGGCACAAAATGTGGCCGGGAGTCTATCGGCAAATGCCACATTGACAGTGTTAGGTAAGCAAATTATTGAAGCCTTCATGGGTTATTTGATTACTGTATATTTTCATGCTTGTAATTGGTGGTATTTTTGTGGGCTGCCTGAATGCTCTGACTGCAGGAGGAGTAAAGTTCACGTACTTCATCCTCATCTCCGTTCACCCAATCTTGAAAGCCCATGCTTATCTGAACATGGCATTACTTTAGTACCCAAGGTACTCAAATTACTAAAGGATAGTTTCAATATCTGGGATTATAGTAGGCCAGATGTTCAGATAAGTACAGGATATCACAGTTTAGATGTTTCCTATTCTGATGAGAAGATAATTGAATCGTAGAATTGTAGAGCTGGAAGGGACCGTGAGAGTTATCCAGTCCAACCCCTTGCAATGCAGATACAGTGGTACCTCAGGTTACATTACATACGCTTCAGGTTACAGACTCCGCTAACCCAGAAATAGCACCTCGGGTTAAGAACTTTGCTTCAGGATGAGAACAGAAATCGTGCTCCAGCGGCGCGGCAGCAGCAGGAGGCCCCACTAGCTAAAGTGGTGCTTCAGGTTAAGAACAGTTTCAGGTTAAGAACAGACCTCCAGAACAAATTAAGTACTTAACCCGAGGTACCACTGTATCTTTTTGCCCAATATAAGACTCAAACCCATGACCCTGAGATTAAGAGTCTCATGCTCTACCGACTGAGCTATCCCACAGGCAAATGAAGGAAGCATACAAGGAGGAGGAGGAAGCCTACAAGTCTGAGAACTGCTCTAAGTCTCACCTTATTTGAGGGGTAGGAACAAACTTCGGAGATAGGTTAATTGAATCAGCTTCACCTACTGGTTTGGATTTGCTAAAGTTCTGTGGTACTTTTCAAAAGTAGTTTTGAGCTCATTCCAGTGGATGCAATTGCAGCATTGAAAAGGGACACCACAATTTTCTCCTTTCTTTTTTGTTTGATTTACAGTCTGGGAAGAAGCTGGTCTGGTATTTCCCATAAAAAAAAAAATTTCTAACACAAATAATTCAAGAGCATTTGTTTTTAGTATGGTTGCCTGCTGCTGACCCACTTAATTTTGGATAATTTGAAAGAGATCTGGTTTAATATGCTGTCACTGCTGTGCTCTTCTGTTCTAAGTTTTTAGATACAGACTCTGTATAGGGCATGCATGTGCAGTAAGAATTTAATTAAACAAATGATACATCCCCCTAAAACTGATTTGTCTTTAGAAAACCAAGAACTCTTTTAAAGGTGGCTGTTCTCATACTCCCAAGAGCTTTGGCTTATGAACTGGACAAAGTCTGTAATTAAGCAGAACACCCCCAGACACTTTCAGCAGAGGTACTTAAACAGTGGCTGGCTGGAGTTGTAATTCCACAATAATTTGAAGGCCACAGGTTAGCCACACCAGGCCTAAAACACACACATTCCCCTTTTATTTTGTTCATGACCTACATTGCTGTCAGATCAGTTTTCAAAATCACAATCTGCATATATGTAGCAGCGTATCTTTGGTTTCATGCAGTTGTCATTGTAATTCTGTAGCATTAAATTTAATCTGGTCCTTTTTTGTGTTCAGAAACACCTTCATTTGTCAGGCCCCTGGAAGACAGGACTGTGGCCCAAGGTGAAACAGCAGTGTTGCAGTGCATTGCTAGTGGTAGTCCTGCCCCTCGCCTTAACTGGACCAAAGATGATGGGCCTCTCACAGTAACAGAACGACATTTTTTTGCTGCCGCCAATCAACTCCTCATCATTGTAGATGCTGGATTAGAGGATGCTGGAAAATACACTTGCATAATGTCCAATACACTTGGCACAGTGCGTGGCCATATTTACCTGAATGTCATATCCTCACCAAACTGCGACTCTTCCCAAACTTCTCAAAGTGGCATGGAAGAAGATGGTTGGACGACAGTTGGCATTGTGATAATTGTTGTAGTCTGCTGCGTTGTGGGCACCTCCTTGATATGGGTTATTGTTATCTACCATATGAGAAGGAAGAGTGAAGACTACAGCATCACTAGCACAGGTGAGGAGCACTCGGCATAAGTATGTGTGTTTTGATAAGGGATTGGAGTCATTCAGCTCAGCATGACCAGAAGAAAATCCTGTGTTAGGAGTTTTGGTATGTGGTCCCTTTGCCAAGGTGGTTCTTCATTTGGAAAATAGCCTGACAATCTGATGGAGAGGGTAATGGATATTATATGCACATAGGTATGGACAGTCTCTGATACCATGTAACAGTCAAATGAGCAAAGGGACAAAGTAGGGGTTGTATAGGAGAGTATTGCAAAGCAGTAAATGAGCATAGGCAGGATTTAGTCTGGCTGCTTGTGATGATCTTGTAGCTTTTCAACGAAGCCACAGAATTTGAGAGAGAAATTGCCATCATAAATGGCAAATGTTCAGAATATTGGTTCATTATGCTTTGACAAAGGGGTGTTGTATCGCAGTGGGGAAATTTCATTTTTGTGGTTGTGAAAGATTGCCATAAATCAGCATTAGAAAAGAATAAAAGGAAAATATTCCTAGGAACTGCATTCTATCCCCACAAGGTGATCTTTATTTACTTGTATACTGTGAGGTCTATGTGAGCACCATCATTTTTACAGACATCTGCTGGATGATTTTGTTGCCATAGCAAAAATGCAGTATCATATTGCTGTTGTTTTTTTTCACTTTCAGAGGAGGTAAATTTACCTACTGACATTCCCAGTTACTTATCCTCCCAAGGGACTCTGTCAGAGCCACAGGAAGGCTATAGTAATTCTGAAGCAGGAAGCAACCAGCAACTTATGCCTCCCTCCAACGGATATGTGCACAAAGGCACAGATGGTAAGCCCTGATTCTCTTGATCAGAGGTGGACAGAAAATAGATCATGGTCCACTGGCCAGTTTCTAGTGGCTCACCAAGTGCCTGCTAGTTGCTGAAGTTATTGCAAAGAATGCTGGACTTTGTGGTGCTTGATGTGATCAAGCAAAACACTTTTTGCATTCTTAAGCAAAAGTGCATGCTCAAAGCATAACTTATGTGTTAAGTGATCCCAGCATGAGACTTCACTTGCTACATCGCTGAAAGTCCCCTCTGCCTTCCTTTCTACTTCTGTTGGCTTATCACAGTTAGCCTCAAGGGAGCAGATATCTTCTCAAATAACCAGGTACTTGTACCAAATTCATGCTCACAGCTTCTATCCTGTGTAGGCAAATTGTCAAATACTGTAATCAACACACACCCACGCTCTCTGTTTTTTGTGTTCCTGTGCTTCTTTAAAAAAACAAACAAAAAACCCTAAGTGCTACTATGTTAACTGTGATGGGGGAAAGAGTCCTTTCCCTTTCAGCAAATGTGTAGAAGTGCCTCACTCGTTGACTTTTATTTTGAAGCTTTCTTCTTGGGGCTGTGACTTGCTGATAAGCCAGCCAGTTGGCTCAAAGGACTGCCATCTCTGCAAGCTAGGCTTTATGCTTCTGCCATCTTGTAAGGGTCTATAGTGATGACCCATGCCAGAATATTCTGCTAACTACCCACTATTTTGCTTCCACTAGGTGGCACAGGGCCATTGGTAATCTGCTCAGATTGCTATGACAATGCCAACATCTACTCCAGAACCAGAGAATATTGTCCTTACACATACATCACCGAAGATGACCCACTTGATCAAACGCTTTCCAGCCTAATGGTGCAGATGTCTAAAGAGCCCTATCCAGTATGCCCCCAGCATGAAGCCATCACTCTAGATAGTCTCTCAGGTGACAGAGACATGTCTGTTTTCCTTAACAATCAAGACAGACTACATGAGAGGAAGCCATGCTCTCAACCATGCAGCAGTGGTAAGTGGTGTATTTTGATGCTATTGTATCTTGATTTTAAAATTATTCCATTTTCAGCTGAATAAGAGCAAGGCAGTCTGTCACAGAACAGATAGTTAAAGTACTAAGTGGCTGCATTACAAAATAAAATCAAACATTCTGCTTTCAATATGATATGATACAAGTATTCCTTAATGCATATATTCTTAACACTTGCTTCAGCTCACTTAGAAATCTGTTCTGGTTTTTGCAGGTTCAAAAGAATATTCTTGTGGTTGTGTTTTTGTAGGGAGCCTCTTGTTTCTTAGGCTTGTGTTTGTTGGTTCTAGCAATAATTTTGCAATATTAGGAAGAGCAAAACCAGTTTGACTTAATAATGTGCCTCTCACTGCCAGAATTTCAAAGACAATGGAGAACCGTTGTGCTGGGAGCTTTCTTCATAAATTCAGTCTTTCTTTTTTTTTCATTTTCCTTCCACAGATCCTTTTCAGCTGCCTTTATGGGGCATCAATAAAGATATGGGATCATTGCATCCTCACTTCTCAACTCAACCAAAGACCCACGAGGTGCCTCGAGTTCTGCAAAGTGAATGCATCACAGAGACTGAACGTGAGCAAGCTATTTCCCCCAAACCTTGCCACAGGTTACATGAACATAACTTTGACTTTAACAGGACTCGGAACATACAGGAACATCATGAAGCTACATAAAATGCATCAAAAGTAAGAAGCCTTAGCAGCAGGCTTGGAGTTAACAGTATCTTTACTACCTCAGGTTTGGCCTCATGGTCAAAGATGTTCCATGCTTGCAACAGAGGCTTACAGAACAATCTTAGGCGTCTCTACCCAGAAGTAAGTCTCTTTCAAGTTAAATGGGTCCTACTCCCATGTGTATGTGTGTAGCATTGCAGCATCAGTGGACAAAATCAGTGACTACAAGCTACAAGTAAAGAGGGAAAAAGGAATGACAGAGTCCTTTCCTTCTGTTCTGCATAAGATGTGCACAAGGCTCAACAGTCTAATGAACTGAATGGTGGGCAGAAAAGAATAAAGGATACACAGCAATGGACATGATAAATGAGAGGTTTTTGTTTGCCTGGGAGCAATCCCCTGAAAGCTTCACAGATGTTGTTTCCTGCTGAAGAAATAAACTTGTAAGAGCCCATTTTCAAGATCCCTCAGTAATCGTAAGCATGAAGCACTTGATTGACTTATATTCTCCTCCTGATGACTAGTAGGGACTCATATCATTGTGCCCAATCACAAACTTACTCTACCCTTTCTGTGAATAAATACTTCAGTTGTAAATACATTTGCATAATATAAATATTTTGTATACACTACTAAACACATTCAGGCTGAAATGTTAAAAAACACTATGCCAAAAACTACATATTGTCCTGTCATTTGGACGTTTGCTGACCAGATATTATAAATGGCTTGTTTCCTAGGATTGAAGGCTTGAGGCCAGTTTATACAATCATGTTTTGCACACGATGGTTATAATTACCATATGATACTTGGTTTGTAGAAGTTTTCATTATGTGATGGCTCTTCACACATTTTTTGTCTTAGGTGTGGGTAGTAGCTGTCTTGCATGGGGCTTTCATGTGAACTGGTCCATACCAGGGCAAGCCCAAGTCATTGTGCTACCTGAGGTGGAAGGAAAACATGGTGCCCCTGCCCCTTTTCTGTACAGAAGCCAAATGGATTGATGGTTGAACACTGGCAGTGGGCAGCATCCCTGTCACATCTGAGGGCAACAGACTAGCTAAGAAGTGCAGGGTAAGCCATGGGGGCACTCAAATGTGTGTATTCCAACACTGCACTGCTGCTACCCTTTCCCTAGCTTCTGCTGCCTGAGGCAGCCATCTCATTCTACCTAATGGTGGGGCTGGCCTTGCAGAGGAGCAGAAACAAGGTTAGATATATGTAATTTGGGCACCAAACTTAGCTCAAGTGTTTTCCTGTGTCAGTTACTGTTGAAAGTCTCAGGTAAATGAGCTGTCACGACTGCTGTGAAAGATTAACACCATGGCAGCACTGTGTCCTAGAGATTAGAAAGATGGAAGTGATAACGTCTATATGTGGATGAGCCATCAAAGGTTAGGTAGAACTTTTATATCTCAAATAATGCTTTCCGGTGAGATCTGAGAGAAATCAAGTGTCGGACATACATGGGTCTTCAGATTTAATGAGGTGAACACCTGTAGCTAGCCAGAGGAAATATTGGTTATTCCAGCTGTCACAGCACGAATGGAAATGAATTTCTCACCCTTCAAACATGCTGTTGTACCCCAAATTGTCTCCTATAGCACATGATCAAAAGTAAGGGGATTTGGGGAGAAATTGCAAGCAAAGAAATGTTAACTCAGGGTAAAGAAGGTCAAACTATTAGTTCTTGCTAATCTTAACATGCTGTGACATTTTGGGGTTCTAGAGTGCAGCTTGAAGACATCCTGCAAGCTGTAAACATGGAATTAGATATAATTATATTATCTATGGCCTGGCATGTTCTTAAGTCGGAACAAAACACATGAAAAACTATATATGCAGATTAGCCACAACTCCTGTTCTGTGCAGCAATCTTTCCATACAGCCCAGTAAAAGGTGTTACCTGGACTGTTTGGGTGTCATTTTATATTAAGATGATGTGGGTAAGAAAGTCCTGCCAGGACAATCGAGATCCTAGTTAAGTTAACTTATTTGCATACAGCTCATTATGAGTCAGACTGGGCCAGGTTGATTGCAGGCTTCCTTTTAGTAGTTAGAATTCCGGGATTCTCTTATGGCTGTGTATCCTGTTACATGAAGCCGGAGTTCTAGCTGAGAACAACTGTACTTTCTTCTTCCTTTGTACTTAAGAATCCCCAGAGGGCTTGTCCCAGTTACAGCAAGAGCCCAGCCAGGCACCTAAGCTATACAAGTGCAAACTCATTTCATGGCAGTTCCTTGCCTTTATTTTATTGGCAGTAGTGGATAGTGCCAACTCTCATGCTGCTTATACCTGCTTTATATTACGCCCAAAAGTCTTACAGGGTTCTAAAGCAGGGGCCTTCAAAAGTGTCTTAAACATCTAAAGCCAAGTCAGCTTGTGGTCCACAAGAAGCCTAAATCCGCTCTTTCTCGGAGCAGAGAGATGTAGCCATCTATCTTTGTCTCTGCCAGGTGTTTGCTTCACAGTACTGAATGTATATGACCAGCATTAGAGTATCACTGCTAACTGCTGCCTCCTTCACTGCTTGATGCCTTATTGTCTGTGATAGCCCATATCTGATCTATAGAAGCAAAAGTGAAAATACTGGATATGCAATATTTGGGTGGGGAGAGGGAGGAGGAGAGCCATTCTATCATTCACAGAACAAAGGCACTTTAGTCTCAGATGTCAGGGGATTTGGTCTTAGGCCAAGAGTTGTGCAAGAGAAGTGTCTTTCATTTAGACAGCCCCTTGTGAAGTACTACGTGCTTTTAAGGGTAAGAGTAATGCAGTAGCTAAAGCTGATCTGGTCTGCTTCACATCTTTTGAAGAAAGGGCAACTGGCATGAATTGCTCTTTTGTAATCCAAGTCAAAAGTGTGTCATGATGTCACGCTGTGGTTAAAATCATTCATTAATGGAAAGCTGTACTGCAGTGGTATCTCATGTTGCTGATTCTGCATGTACAGCAGCACATGCCTCCAGTTAAAGCATTCCTCTCCTGCCTGATGTAAAGCTGTTCCAGTAAATGAGCACTTGCAGCTCTCTTCCCACCCACCCCCACCCACCCCCCAAAAGTTAGGGCGGCTTGACTTTCCCATAGAAAATCCGGTATGCCTTATTCAGGTTTTAGGAAAGAGGCTGGCAAAGTGTACAGTGACAAGGTCTCATCCTGTATCAACATGCATTACTGGAGTGAGATATGCCAGGATTCATATGAACTATGGCATAAATGGTGCTGAGTGTTCACGCTAGAAACTTAAAAGCATAAATACAGAGAGAAATTTACCAGCCCAAGCCTTTTCGTCAGTCACTCAGCTTCAGTGCTTTACCATCGTGGCAAGATTGTTGTGTAAAGTAATTCACAGAGGTTTAGAGGAGTGATAGGATTTAGCAGTAGAGCTGGATCTTTGAGCTGAGCTGAGAATACTCCTGCACACAGAGGAAAGAATCTAAGAATTGTGAAGTGCCTCATTCTATGTGTGGTATAAATTGTGGGGGGCGGGGGGACTCCTTGGGTGAATTTTCTCTCTCATTCTAAAATAAGAGGCACTGTAAGGGATACTGTTTGGGGCTGAAGCAAGGGCACTTAATTTTGAAACATGCTTCACCCATCTCTTCTCTGTTTAAATTGATGGGAGGAAAGTTCTTTCCACTGACTAATACTTCGATTTTTGCCAATGCCAAAGTAATTGTAGCTGGACATCTTTAAGGCAGCACAAACCAATGCCTCCTTGCTTGCAGCTGTCATTTCCTTGTATCTATTTATATTTTTCTCACTTATCAGAATGTATATTTTGTATAGCATGTGTAATATGTTTGTCTATTGTAATATACCTTCATCCAATAAAGAGACACAGTGAACTCCTTGGTTTTTCATGGTAAATATAGAGGAAGAGGAAAGTCTTACAAATAACTAAGTGCGTAGACCATTTCTTGTGTCCAGTATGAATATGTTTTACACTTGTACTGAAGGAATGAGTTCCTGTTGAATGTTATTTCTGGTCCTTGGAATGTTGGTAACTTGTATGTGGCTGTCCTGAGCATGCTGAATAACTAGAGTGAGTCTGAACTTGATTTTTATCCACTCCTGAGCCTTGATTTCCAGTGACATGATAATAAGCTACCACCATGAAAAAAGAGACTTTAGGTAGCTGCTACAGCCTTGAAATTACATTGGGAAGACATGGGTATTTCACTTATCTGTTAAAGCCACTGGCATATGTTGAAAAGAATTGTCTGCAAATGATATGAACATATTGCAAGGCTATGAGTACTAGGCTGTCAATGTTGCTATAAATAAGTTGCTACCCCATAATTACTTTCAGGGCTTCTCATAAGCATAATGAAGAAAGGAGGCAGGCATAAAACTTCAATATGCACCCAACGTCTGAGTACCAGTGAAAGTGTATACCAAAGTTTCTATTTGCTGTAATGTTGGCATGTGGACCCCAACAAATGAGAGTCCTAAAGAATTTTCTGGCTTATAGCACCCAGATACTTGGATGCTATGAAGCTGTGCAGCTCCTCACCTTCAGCTTGGATCAAGAAAGCAATTCACACTATAGATTTAATTGGGCAAGATAGGGTTGTATGCAGAATTAGCCATTCAATTTGAAATATATGTGGAGGAAGAAGCAGTTCAGCATGTAACTAAAATTGGCCTTTAGTGTGGGTTGAGTTGTGCTTCGCTAACAGACTTTGCTCTGTGTTCACTTTGACACCTGGTATCAAAGATCTCATTTAAAGAAACACATTTTCCACGTTTACCCAAGGATGGGTTACATGTTTTAACATATATCAGAATGCTGGTCTAGAAGTGGGATTGTGTGAATTCACTAATTTCCCCACCATATTAATCTTAAAAATGTATTAAATTAAGCCACTGTTATCTGAGGAAAGCAAAATACTGAATCTGAATATTCTCTGTGAGAGGTCTGAAGTGGTTGAAAAAGGATTTCAGAAGGTTGTATTACATACAACCTTCCCCAATTTGGTGTTTTTCAGATACTTTGGACTATGGCTGTCATTAACCTGGGCCAACCAGCTGTGCTGGCTGGGGCTGATGGGAGTTGAACTCCAAAGCATTGCATAGTCTTTAATGGCCTGCCTTCCTCCATCATTCTCAGTATCAGAGCTGCACATGGGGGAACCAATCTCATAAAAGAGAATTCAATAAAACCTAAATTTTAAAAAGACTGCCAGCTGGCATTTGGATGTTTCAAAACTGGCCATCCCATATCTGAGGATTGGCACTTAACTGCTTGCATGTGCCGTGGCAGCCATTCACAATTTTGTAATTAAGTACTGTGTTATCTATCACGGCTTTGTTCCAGTATTCTGCTTTCCAGCTGAACAGCAAATTATTTTCTGTTGAATTCAAGCTATACACCTTTTGCGTCACTTAGTTCCTGAATGTGTGTATGCCAAGGGAAAGATAATGTTTTGTGCCTCTTTAGCTGACACCAAATGCATTTATCTGCACAGGGAGTTAAAAGTCCCTAGGCTAACAAATGTAGGGCACACAGCTATGGCTTTCATGGCTTAACCATTATTCAATCCCCTGAGTAAAATATACTTTTGAGCAGAGCTTTCTGAGGCAACTGAATGAAATATGTGACAGACCTGTCCACCTGCTCCTTTGGCTGAGCTTCAGGTACCAATTTAGGGACTTCTAGTTCCAACAACCACTTCAGGGATCCCTTCAATCTAGATGGAAGATTACTTCCAGATTGTAACCCCCATTGTACTGGCCCAGGGCCATTTTGGTAACTCTCAAGAGGGTTAATCTATTAGACTTAGCATACTACCAGTCTTGGTGGTGTTGGTTGATAAAGGTAAGAACCATAGATACATTCAATTATATGTGTCAAAACTTGTGTTTTGTTAATTGTTCAGAGATTATCCACCATGTTGTTGTTGTTTAGTCGTGTAGTCGTGTCCGACTCTTCGTGACCCCATGGACCACAGCACGCCAGGCACTCCTGTCTTCCACTGCCTCCTGCCGTTTGGTCACCATACCGCATACTAGATTATGTGATTGCCACCTCTCATACAGACACTCTCGAGTTTTAATATCAGCAGAGAGGCTGCCTTGGCAGTTCTAGCACCTTTAGAAGGGGCGTGGGGGAGCCAAGATGCAGTATTTCCCCCCCACAGAAGTGTATCTGGCACCTGCATTGTATAGTTTTTGTCATAATTTGAGGATGCACATCTTTACCATGGCCTTTGCTATGTTTTTAGAATCCACCTTATTAATTTGATTGTAAATTGTTTTAGCTAATGTTAATACTGCGCTTTGGCACAGGGACCTTACGGCGAAGGGCAGAGAAGAAATAAAACAATCCACATTCAAACATGCGATGAGTTCTGGCAAGACTGTTTTTAAAAAGTAAATATCAAAATGCTAACTTCTGCAGATACTACATGTGCTTTTAATAAGATACTGTCCTGAGCTTTTGTAAACCAAATGTAAAAAGTACAAATGCCAAAGCCAAGGGACACAAATGCTTTTAAAATTGCATTTTAAGGTGACATATCAAAGCGGTTTAGTGGCTAAGGGTGTGTGGTTTTGTGACTCAGAGAATTCCTGGTTCAGATTTCATCTCAACCATATTGTTGAGGGGACATTGCGCATGCTGCTGTTCTCTCACTCTCAGGTTCCCTTCTGCAATACGGAGGTTGACTTTCCTCTCAGAATTAAGGCTGAATACAACACACTTTTAAACACTTTATGAAATGCCAACTACAGTGGTACCTTGGTTCCCAAACTCAATCCATTCTGGAACTCCGTTCAACTTCCAAAACGTTCACAAACCAAGGTATGGGTTCTGATTGGCTGATTGGACCTTGAAACAATGCCGATAGCCGAAATGGACATTCGGCTTCCAAAAAACAGTCGCAAACCGGAACACCTCCGGGTTTGTGACATTCGGGAGCCGATTTGTTTGGGAGCCAAGCTGTTCGGGAACCAAGGTACCACTGTATTAGTATTAAATACAATTTCCAGTACATTTCTACCATTTTCTACTAGCTTGCAGGAATGCACTGGTTTAGAATTCATTATGATAGTCTTTTTTTCTGATGAAGATGTTGGTGCTTCCATCATGGGCGTAGCCAGGATGGATGCAGGGAGGGCAGCTGCCCCCCCATCAAGTATATAAATAAAATACATAACTAACTGACCAATTACGTTGCGTGGCACTGTGGGTTAAACCACAGAGCCTAGGACTTGCTGATCAGAAGGTCGGTGGTTCGAATCCCCGTGAGGGGGTGAGCTCCCGTTGCTCGGTCCCTGCTCCTGCCAACCTAGCAGTTCGAAAGCACGTCAAAGTGCAAGTATATAAATAGGTACCGCTCTGGCGGGAAGGTAAATGGCGTTTCCGTGCGCTGCTCTGGTTCGCCAGAAGCGGCTTAGTCATGCTGGCCACATGACCCGGAAGCTGTCTGCAGACAAACACCGGCTCCCTCGGCCTATAGAACGAGATGAGCGCGCAACCCGAGTCGGTCATGACTGGACCTAATGGTCAGGGTTCCCTTTACCTTTACCTATAACTGAGTTCTGCCCCCCTAACATAAAGCCTTCCCCCCCAAAAAAACCAAATCCTGGCTTCCCATTCTCCTTTGCCGTGTTGCTTGCTTGATGCTCCAAGCCTTTGACTTGCTCCACCCTTTTCTGCCCGCCCTTTCTTGGTAGTAAAATCCTATCTTTGCTACCTGCTAAACCAGCAGGCTACACCTGTATGAGCCCTGGAAAAACATGCACTGGGCACCCCAGCTGCAGGGAGTGATGGTTGACTCACATTTGATATTCAAGTCACACACTTGGCCTGAGGCCACTTCTAGTAGGAGGGAAAACTTTTGCCCTACTTTTCTCTTAGCTGTTCCTGCTGCTGCAGAGCTAAATACCGTCACCCACAGGACAGTTTCTCAGCTGCAGCAAATTTCAGACTGCCTTGGCCAGAACTGTGCTTTTCCAGAAGGGCACAGGCTCCAGCTTTGCTGCCAGCTGTCGAAACAGCCTCTATTCACGAAGAGTTGGCTGCAGCCCTGCTTACTCAGAGCTTTTGCCAGAAGGGGGGGGGGTAGTATTTGCCTTTTTCACAGGCATCCTTGCAATCTGAGTATGTCTTGTCCAGGCAAGGAGTTTAGTTCCAAACTGCTATTTGTTTGTGAACCAGAACTATACTTGCCAGTATAGCTGAATCCCACTGAACAAAGATCCATGCTGGGGTTTTAAATCAGTATTTTGAAACTGAAAATCAATGGGCCGTATCCAGTGCTGCAGCTCTGCTGACATAATGGACTGCCATGCATGCAACAGAGCTTCCTTTTCCTCTCCTGCCCCATATGCACCCTCAAGATTGGCTCCAGAAGATTGCGGGGCCCTCTGGAGCAGATTTAGGGGGTGCATGTGGGGGAGAGGAAAACAAGTCCTGTTGTGTGACTGAAACCCCGTCGGCGCAGCATCAGATGCAAACCAAAATGTCTTAATTATAAACTAATGATTACAGAATCTTGCAACAAGACCACCTGGGGTTGCTGTTAGAAATACCTGCTTTCCTATGAAAGCAGAATAAAATTTAAATCCATCCGTTCTACCTGCAAATATGTCCTGGCAAAAGCACTTTTGGCAGTACCAACATGAAATCTGGCATTCTGACTTCATTAGTATCCTTTATTAATATAGTATCCTGTAAACCTGAGACCTGCAGGTATAGGGCAGTATACAAATTTACAAAATACAGGCATTCATGCTACATGGGAACTAGGGAGCAGGGGTCCAAAATCATGTGTGAATAGGAATTATGTAATCAGCTCCCTCCAATTTTAAGTAGAGCAGACAGCTTGTAATCACAAATAAAATATACAGCTAAACTACTTTTGGTGAGGGGGGAAGAACCCAAACTT